GTCATAGGCCTTAGAGGACTAATATTTATAGTATACAGGGTGTTCCTTAATGATATGCGAATATTTAAGGGTGTGAATAAAAAAAAATTATTGTTAGTTTGCTTTATAAACTATGGTCCAAAAATGTTTCCTTACAAAAACTCGGGGTGTTGAAGTTTTAGGAAAAAAATGGAAATAAATTAATATTTTCAGAATCGCTTCAGATATTTCACTGATATTTAGTACGTAGTGAAAGTTAATAAAGTTGCATATTTTTCAATGCAAAAATAATTTTTATTTTTAACAGTGGCGTGCATACGGGTATTGACTTCGTGTTTAAGTTTTAGGAAAAAAATAGAAATAAATGAATATTTTCAGAATCGCTTCAGATATTTCACTGATATTTAGTACGTAGTGAAAGTTAATAAAGTTGCATATTTTTCAATGCGAAAATAATTTTTATTTTTAACAGCGGCGTGTGTACGGGTATTGACTTCGATATTTTTTAAGAAAAAAAATGGTATGTCAATGGTTTTTTGACAAATAAAAATTATTTTTGAATTCCCCGTTCAATTTAAAATAAATGATCGCTCTTGAATTGTTTTCCACTCGTTGAAATATCCCTGGAGTATTTTTTATTCTATCACAAGCTGCAACTATTCTTTCTCTTAATACCTCTACAGTATTAATGGGACCTGTGTACAGTAGTGTCTTAAGATAGCCCAACAAAAGGCAATCTAAACTGTTGAGGTCTGGGGACCTTGGTGGCCATTCTTGGGGCCCACCGTGGCCAATCCAACGATTTGGATAAACATTTTGTAAATAATTACGAACCGCTACACTGAAATGCGCTGCTGCACCATCATGCATATACCACATATTGTTTCTTATTACTAACGGAACATCATCAAGCAGCAAAGGCAACTGTTGTTGAAGAAAATTGAGGTAAGTCTGTCCGTCAAGTCGTCCCGGCAAGAAGAATGGGCCAATAAAGTGGTTGCCAATAATTCCTGCCCATACGTTAACCGAAAATTGCTGTTGGAAATGGGTTTCGGTTACGGCATAGGGATTTTCTTCTGCCCACAAATGATTATTGTGGAAATTCTGAATGGCATTTCGAGAAAAATTAGCTTCGTCTGTGATTCAAATTGCGGATTTTGTGCAATTTTTTCAATACCACTGACAAAAGGTCACACGCCTTGGAAAATCAATGGGAAGTAATGCCTGTACTCTTAAAATATGGTAAGGATATAACACAAAATCCACTAAAATTCTCCACACACTTTGATGGCAAATATTTAAGTGTGTAGCGATCTTCCTCGTACTCGTTTCAGGATGTTCTTCGACTTCGTGCAGCACTGCTTCCTCAATTTCAGGTATTCTCACACTTAGTGGTCTACCTTCAGATGTTCCTTTTCCGACAGAACCAGTTTTAACAAGACGACGATGAATATTAGAAAAGGTTCGACTATCTGGCAAAGCACGATCGGGATATTTCTGGAGATAAATCTTCTGGCTTACTCACCGTTACCGTCGGCAAGGCCATATACATAACGCATTTCCGCCATTTCTGCATTTGAATAATTCACCATTATTAACAAGATTGTAAAAACTAAATAATGAAAAAGATGTTACAGCGAACAGATTTGAATAACAGAGACTTGTCAGATGTCAAAAGTCAGTGACATATTCCAGAGCAACTATATATTTATTGCTAAATTGCATTCTTCAATTACTACATTAATTTTCTCGGACAATAGAACGGTTTTATTTTTTTACTCAAAAATGGCGCATCGAAGGAAAGCAACTCAAGAGAGATCATTTGTTTTAAATTGAACGAGGAATTCCAAAACAATTTTTAATTGGCAAAAAATCATTGTCATACCATTTTTTTCTTAAAAAATATCGAAGTCAATACCCGTACGCACGCCAGTGTTAAAGTTAAAAATTATTTTTGTATTGAAAAATATACAACTTTATAAACTTTCACTGCGTACTAAATATCAGTGAAATATCTGAAGCAGTTCTGAAAATGTTAATTAATTTCCATTTTTTTTTCCTACAACTTCAACACCCCGAGTTTTTGTAAGGAAACATTTTTGGACCATAGTTTATAATATAAAGCAAACTAACATTAATTTTTCATGTAGATTCACAGCCTTAAATATTCGCATATCATTAATGAACAACTCTGTATATGTATATTCATCACTAATATTTGATGATTAGTGATACCAATATGACAACGGACTTCGCTCCTGTAGATGTTAGCCCATGACATACCAGGTGGAAGTGTTATTCGAAACGGGACGTGCTTAAATTGTTGTTTCAATTTTTTATTGCTATCGGTTATTTATCCTAGGGCAGCTCTTTCACTCCGACAAGTATGTACAATAATCTGGTAAAAGAGACTTTCTCCAATTCTACTAACTGTGAGCATATCAAAAACAAGAGCCAGTCATTTCAGCTGGTCGGAGTCCAGATTACTCGTCGATCGCAACAGCTACCGGTAAAAAGCTAGGTTGTTTGTATAAAGTTAAGCAGTACTTTTCTCCGCACAACATCCTCACTCTGTACAAGGCCCAGATAAGACCTAGCCTCGAGTACTCCTCACATTTTTAAGGTTCTACATTGCCCATCCCAGATGCTATTCCACTGATCAATAACATTTCTCCAACGGAAAATCTCGTGACCCTTTCTCACCGACTGGCGGTCGGCGACCTTGCTCTCTTCTACCGGAATATGAACAGGCTTTGGTCCTCAGAGCTCTCATCCATAATGCCGGCTCACGTTAGGCCTGCCAGACGGGCCTGTCCGGCTTCTACGTCCCACCTCAACTCTGTCGAACTTCCGCTCCTTTGTTCCCAGGATGTTGATATTGTGAATCAGTCTGCCTCAGAAGGTTTTTTCCCTGTTCTACTAACCTTCGGCAATTCAAAAACCTGATTAACAAGGGTCAAGTCCCTTATAGCAGTCGGTGCCCCGGTATTTAGGTTTCTGCCTCAGTATATAAAAAAATATCAACTTCTTCATAGCAGGCATAGTATCTTGGTAGTTAGGCTTTGCCTTTACGACTGCTGCATTAAAAAAACAACATGAATGTTATTCAATTTTTTAGATTCAAGGGTATTAAAGTGTTCTAGGTTAGCGTACGGTGCGAAGGTCTATATTATACTCCTATAATCAAATACATTAGCAATCGAGTATAATATTATCCCACTTAAGTAGCACATGTTGATGACTGTCTCTGCCTACTGATTAATCATGCCATTGGCGTGGGTAGGACTTATTTATTAGGGTTGAGCATATTTATTTTAGTAAAGCTATTTTCAAATATCCGCCGCGTGTTATGCGAACGTGAATAAATATTTTTATATATGAATACGCGATTTTTAAATATTTTTAACTGCAATCCTACCTGAACAGGGTGATTCAGAAAAACAATGGCATTATCTTTGTGGCCGAAGGTACGTCAAAAAATGGCGTCAAGAAGGTTGACTCTGCACTTCCAACGCAATACCGTCGTCAGTTCTTAAAGGATTGAGTTTAGCACAAAAAAGTACTAACCTCAACAAATTGCGATACAATCGCCCCCGAGCGATTTTTATATTTTTCGTTTTTGGTCTTTCTCTCCGTGGACACTGGACCGATTTTCATAAACTACAAAGTTTTTTCATTCTTGGCGTAGTGTGCAAAAATTTCATCCAAAACGGAAAAATATTTTCCAAGTTATTAAGGAGCCAAGGATTACCGAACAAACCGACAGACCAACGGAAATTGGTGACATGATTTTTTCAGATGTGCATGTCATATAATATCCACAAAATATAATATCTCATTTTCGATTTATTTTCTCGATTATAATACTCCCTTGTACAGTAGGAAGTAAAAGTAACAAATAAAGTTCTTATAAACATGGCTCATTGATCATTGAACTTTGCGAAAAATCAAAATTCTAGGCGTTTACCCAATAAACTTGCGGAAATAATTTCAGTTTAAAATTTCTGTTAATCGCCCATCGACTTCTCCCCTTGTCAATTGCTCTGGACTGTGGAGCATCATGATTTCGGGAATATAAATGTTGTCCCTTGAATTTCGGAACTCGACTTACAGTGCATAGTGTAGGTCCGCACGGGTATTATGCAAAAAACTATGAAACGTCAAAGAAAACCTATAAAATGTCAGCTTGCAGACTAGGTAGTTCTTAGGGTGCAAACAGTCATTCCACGTGTTCTCACTAGGATCGTTGTTACAGGTATATCTATGGAGTAATGACTCAACTACACGCATTGTTGGTTGCATATGTTTTGTGAAGCAAGTAGCCTGTAGTTTTCATCTCTGAGAAGAAAGATGGTTGAATAGCAAGATCGCATCTGGATGATTATGTGCATTAGTCTGCATGTGTATAAAATCAGTGATATTTGCTGTATGAGAAAATCATTACTGAATATGCTGCCAATGAAATGTATATATTAGCTGTGCCCGACGAGTTATTTACAAGATTCAAATGAAATTATCATCAACACATATTATTATCACACAAATCCTCACTATGCACCTATGCATTGCCGTTTCCTTCTAGCTATAGTATACAAATTTACAGCTTAGACCTCCAGTAATGCCATCTCTGAAGCAGATTTTATATCACATTAGAGCCAAACATTGATAAATGGAGCATCATGACGTTTAGGCAACACGTTCAAGTAGAAAACTAACTCACAACGTGTCCATCAGCTAGTACTAAGTTAACATCTTGTAGAAAAACCTAGATAATGTCACAAAAAACCAATACGTCAAAAAAAATCGAGATAGTGTCACTTTTTAATATCTCGCTTGTTTGCTTTCCGATGCGACTACACCTATACCGTACCAATGATTCTTAAAAAGTATGAAACAACACAGAGACTAAAAGCGAACAGATTCTATTCAGCTTGAAGCAACATCAAGCTGGCATCAACATGACTTTAAATTTATAATACAACTTTATATGCTCCGTATTAATAGCAATGTATTTTTTACAGTGCTATGAAAATTCTCCTGGCTAAGCTGCCGAGACCGTGGATAGTCGATGAGAAAAAGGACGATGGATATACTGCCCTTCACTTGGCCGCCCTAAACAATCATGTAGAAGTCGCTGAGCAACTTGTATTACACGGAAAAGCAAACATGGACTTGCAGAACGTCAACTTGCAGACCGCACTTCATTTAGCTGTTGAAAGGCAACATACCCAGATTGTCAGGGTAAGCATGAATCAAAAGGAATAAGTATATAAGATACCTTGATAAACTGAAAAGGTTCTAATGGTGCCACCAAAAAGATCTACATCATTAATCCACAATGGCGCGAAATATGCAAAAGAAAAATCGTCTCATATAAAGTGTACTTCTAAAAACAATGACATGTCTAAGGGCCGTATTGTCAGTCGTTCCTACAATCATAGGACGCCTTTATGGCCTCCTTGATTTTCATAGTATTTTCTCTCCTTCAGAAACCCTGGGGTATTTCTAGATTTCTACTGTTCCGTGTCAGCATCAGCGCTCTCCTATTGTGAAAGTATGTATAAATAGATATTTGAAAGAAAAGCGCTGACTCGTAACAGTAGAAAACTATGAAAATCAATAAGGCCATAAAGGCGTCATACAATATTGTAGGAACGACTGACGATACCGCCTTAAGTAGAAAGTACCAAGTAACAAAAAATAATTCTCTGGTTTGAAAATCAGAAGCCGACTGCATGGACGCCAAGATCCCCAGATCTATACTAGATTTTCCATTTTGGAAGCATGTTCGCAGCAAATCCATTACATTTGACATCTGACGAAGAGGATAACGTCTTTCACATCCTGCTTCAGTAAAAAATCTATTCGGACTCCTAAAATCAAATAATTCTTTTATTTACAGTTACTAGTTAGGGAAGGTGCTAACTTAAATATTGCCGATAAAGACGGAGACACTCCACTGCACGAGGCTTTGAGACACCATACCTTGTCTCAACTTCGTCAACTACAGGACGTACAAGATGTTGGAAAACTCTTAATGGGTCTAGGCACGCAAGGTTCTGACAAGAAATCATCGGCCAGCATTGCTTGCTTCTTGGCTGGTAAGTGACATTTATCAAGTACAAGCTGAAATCACGCGCAATAAGACCCATGTTTTTGGTATCCAAATAATCGGTTCTTAAGCTTTGAGGGTTACCTAAGCTGTGTATCCCTTGGTATGTTGATTGTCTTAACCTCTGACAAATTTATACTTGAGTTCGGTTTAGAGACACTTAAACATCAAGTGACGACTATTTATAAATTTGATGACATCTGCTCATTTTTCAAGGTAATGGTGCGGACTTGACCATCAAGAACAAGAAAAGCCAAACTCCACTAGACTTGTGCCCTGATCCTAACCTGTGCAAGACTCTCGCGAAATGTCACAAGGAACGGCAAAGTGGTGAAATGGACCCTGGACCTCATCACAATTTGGCACCAGGAAGTGGGCAACCCATCAACACTGTCGCCATTCCATCTACGTCTACAGCGGCCCAAATGGTTGCAGCTGCATTACCGGTTAGTATCACTAATTAATTTATTATTACTCGACGAAGCATTGGAGAGAATTGGTTTCAGAGGAAACGCGCACTCACTGATCGAAAATTATCTGTCAAATCACCCGCAATCTGTCCAGATATCAAGACCGTTTAGCAAGGAAATGTATATTAAGTGTGGTGTCCCACAAGGAACGGTGTTAGATCCACTGCTATTCAATATATATTTAAATGATATTTTCCAAAATAAGCAGCTTTGCAGATGATACTGTAATATTTATATGAAGGCACTGACTGGTCTGATCTAAAAAAAATAATTGAAAATGATTTTGTCAAAATTATTCGGTGGTTTAATAGGAGAAAATTAAGCATTAACTATTCTAAAATACATTTTTTACCATTTGAATCTTATGCTAGACATCTGCCAAATTACACAAATTTCCCCTTCAATATTAATGATCAAAAACTGCAAATTAATGGAGCGCCAAACATGGAGTGGTCTTGGATCCTATGTTCCTCACATATCTATAATTTAGATCTTTTACAAAAAAGTATTCTAAAAATGATGTTTAAAAAACCGAAACTTTATCCCACTGGCAAATTATACGCAGATGCACAAATGTATGATATAAGACAGCTTTATTTCTTACACAGTATCACTCACTACCATAAATTTGTCAACACCGACCAAAAAATTAAACATAATCATTACACAAGGTACAAAATTCGTGGCACAGTAGTTCCTCAGCAGCGGTCATATCTTTATTTAGCGCCAAAATTTTATGAAATTATACCTAAAGATTTAAAAGATTTACATTTCGGAAATTGTTTCAAAAGAAATTTAAAAAAGTAGCTACATTCTACATCTAGGACTGAAATTCATAAACTTATAAATAAGAACATCAAGTAAATACATAATTTACTGTGGCTAATTTTTGTCCTTTTTTGTCATTTGCATTCTAAAGTTGCAACTTAAAATTATTGGTCCATGTACAATGCCTTCTATTGGGCTTGTTTTGTTTCTATATTTATTTACTCATATTTTTTTGTTCTTTTTGCACATTAAGTGAATAAATATTATTATTATTTCCATAATTGCTAGTTCCTCATCACCTCAAATGGTGCCTTCACGATGCTGCACTCTGTACCTGCTAAACAAACTGACCCAACTCTGTTTTTTTTGATATATTACAAAAAATAATTATTTTTATATAAATATCGCGTTTTAACTTTAATTGGTATTTTCATCAGTGTATACAGTATGTACAGATTACAAAATTCATCAGATTCAAGTTGCTTATTTTGAAGATTTTGAGTCAAACCTTTTTGCTCCTCAAACTTTGCAACTATTAATTTATTTTGTGTAGGAGTGTAGAATGTGAGTTTTCTTTTGCAGATGAGTAGCACACCTTCATCATCCAGCCAGAGCCCTTTCGACGAGTGCCTCGTATGTTCGGACACTAAGCGAGGTGTGATGTTCCAGCCTTGCGGACATGTTGCTTGCTGCACCAGTTGTGCTCCTAGGGTCAAGAAGTGCCTTGTATGCAGAGAAAGCGTTAGTGGCAGAGTCAAGGTAAAACTACTTACTAAAAACATGGTTTTTGATAAATAACAGTAGTATCCTTTAAAAAAACGAATTATTAGAAATTCCATATTGTATGCATTCCTTTTTACTCTTGATCTATGAGTGACACTTCATCCAGGCAATAATTATATTGTTACTGGTGGTGTCACAAGTACCATTATAACAAACTATGGTATATTCATATCTCATTTACTCCGAGTTAGAACAAACATGACCACTCGACATTCGCTTCAATTCGCTTGTTGCTGCCTGCCCAGGCATTTATGACCCGCCGAACGGCGCGCACTGGTGTTGGTTTCTTCGAGATTTTAATACACTATAGAACTGTCGTTGTGGATTTACAATACTTGAGAGTATTGTAACCCTGTACCCTATAAGAAGCCATCATTTTTTACACCAAAACGCTAGAAGAATTATGTAGCTGCATTTAGCTATAATCGTCAGTTACAGGTTGCACCTATTTATGCGCTGCTTCTGTACCGAATTGCATTTAGCTATAATTGGTGGTTGTGAGGTGCAATTAGTTATAGTTATCAGTTAAGTGACAGTTGTCCTTAATTCTATTATAGCATTGATGTATTCTACCTAAACATACCTTATGCTATATTTTCGCGTCCAAAATAGTTATCCGTGCGATGTTTCTCCTTTCGGCACTAATTAGAAACCTACTTCGAAAAGGTCAGTATCTCGCTCATAGATGGCGCTCTGTAGCACGTGGCATATATATGGCTAGAGCGTCATCTATGAGGCACTAACCTTTTTAAAGTAGATTTCTCATTCGTGTGGTGAGGAGAAACATAGCTGTGACAAATTGTCATAGACGACGCTCTCATTTCATCTCAGCTTCATTATAGCTAACTGCAACTTCTAAATGTCGCTTATAGCTTTAATTGCAGCTTTTAACTGACAGTTACAGCTAACTGCAACTAGTTGATTGGTAATTTTATTAAATTGCGACTAGTGACTCACAATTATGCGATGCGATGTCGCTCCTACGTTTTCGTATACTCAGTGACATTGGAAGTGTTACACCCAGAAAAAAATAATTATTTCAACTTGATTTTTTGGTCATGATGTAGTCTTACATCAAGACTGAAACGATAACATTCTCACGAAATTTTATTGACAAGAATTATGTGGTCGGAACTTCAACTGCGTTTTTAAAAAACTTTATTTGGTTCCAACAATAGTTTACTGTACCGAACCGGAATTACAGTGCATGTGTGTTCGCTGTGACCGAGATTGAATGACTGAAAAAGGATGTTTAGCAATAGTTTATGGAACTAAGTATTTTAGACATTATCTTTTTGGACGAAAATTTAAAATTGTAACAGACTGCAAACTGCTTCAGTGGTTAATGACTTTAAAAGAACCAAATTCTAGATTACAAAGATGGCGCTTAAAATTATCTGAATTTGAGTATGAAGTTATATACAAAAAAGGTAAAGAAAATAAAAATGCTGATGCACTTTCTCGTATTCAAATTCACGCTACCGAAACTGACCGACAACCTTCTACATCACAAATCCAAGATGAAGAAGAGTCCCCATTTATCCAACTACATAATTCAAGTGATGAGAAAGAAAATTTATAATTCTGTTGGGCGACCCCGCAGCTGAATACACTCCTGTATACGTCTAAGCATCGACAAAATGAGATGATCGATGTCTGGTTCTGGTACCTCATTCCAAGCAACTCGAACTTCGTGGATTAGCTGTGGCAGAGTCTGTGCCGGATTGTGCAAAGTGGAGTCTCCTCCCCATCATATCCCACACATGTTCGATGGGATTTAAATCCGGTGAACGGGGTGGCCACGGCAAAACATTAACGCCTGCTTCAATATGGGGACGTATGTTGTCACTTATAAATTTGATGTCGCTCCTACGTTTTCGCATTTTTAAGGGGTTTCAATAAACTGATTTTGATTTTTTTCAATAGTGATTTGCTTGGCGTTTTTCACCATGTTAACGACCAGCGCTAAATTTTTGAAATTTGCTTCTGAACCAAGGTATTTTATTTCCCAAGGACCCAACCTACTAAACGCCATATTTAAATGCATTACATCTATGGGTATGTCCCTATTAGACATTACCATTGACTGTGCCCACATAGGGACACACGGTCTATGCAGAAAACATTATTGGGACTTTACAGAGCATCATAGGTCAAGCAGCAATAAGCAAATTTCCTTAGTAACATATTCATCAAAGCCTTATTGAGATAACCGAGATATCAAGTTCGAGAAATACGACAGGTACGACGCGCGTCAGTTCCCAAATCAGGTGCCGCGCGGTGTGTAGGGTAAATCAAGTCACAAGTCTGATTTCTAAAACCGAAATCGATGCATCTCTGTTACAGCAGTCACGAAGTTATGGATCTGATGCTAGTTTTTGCTGAGTGTCTTCAAGATGATTGATACTTAGCAAGTGTGTTGAGACCGTTTCTCTGGATGTTTCTGCCCTAAACAGCGTAGGTTTCTGTATATCGATCCGTCGATATGGACACAGTAGAAGACCTAGACATCCCCAAATATTGATTTAGGAAGAAGTTAGCATGTGTTTTTGAATCGAACAGCAATAACTTCGAACAGTATTTACGAGCAACCTATTTGCCAAGACAGTACTTGAAATTTTCTATCAAATGACTAGCAAGTAGTTTCAGTCGTACGTTTTTGCCGATATTTCCCAGCACATTAGCTTTGTTATTTCAAACTGAGTGATTGGAAAAGAATAATTCCAACTTTCAGGGCACCTTGTATAAAAGTTGTAGGTTTTATCTCGATCGTGCTCTTCCCTTGACTTTAAAGAAAATCAAAAATGTTTATCTCTTAAATCTAATTTGTGTTCCAGATCGAAGAATGCCTGGTGTGTTCCGACAAGAAAGCATGCGTCCTGTTCAAACCGTGCATGCACATGTGCGCATGCGCTGCGTGTGCGCGACTGATGAAGAAATGCGTCACGTGTCGCGCGCACATCGAGCGTGTGGTGTCGATGGCCAGTGGCGGCGCTGAAGAGGATTCGGGGACATTAGAAGTAGTTGAAAAGGACGATAGGGAAACGGCAGTCACAGTGGTTGCAATTGCAACTGCGCAGGAAGAACTCCAACAGAGGGAGACAACTGGAGTGGCTCAAGTACAGCTAATGAACAACGGAGGATGGGATGTTAGCGCGAATGATGTACAGAAGTTGCAGCAGCAGTTGCAGGATATCAAGGAACAGGTTGGTACAGGTTTACAGTGGAGATTTAGGCCAGATTTCCTCCAGAACATAGTATAGATACCCGCAATCGCTAAACTGAAACGTTACTTCGCAGTCAAATAAGTCATTTAGGAAAAAGATCATAGCCAAAACCCCCAACCGAATGCAGCAGCGTTTTTCGACAACTAAGAGATCCCACCTATTTTAAATAAAAAATTGCATTTTTATATCTGACATGATTTCTGGGTTTATAAAATTTTTGTTCGTGTGCTAAATGTTCTGTATTTCCCGCCGAAAGAATGAGCTAATTTGACTAGATTTTTATTTCGGCTATCTGTTGAACGCAATCAAGCATATTAGGTTGGATTGTCAACTTCACAGGCAGAAATAGTGTCACATTTATACGACTCGTTAGGGCATTTTCCGTCATAGCTTTTTCGCATAATATTACTTTTGAGGGCAAGTACATAAAAATGTGAAAGCACATAATACTTTTTAAACGCTAAATATTATATACAGGGTCGCGCATCGAAAACGAAACAGACGCATTTACTGGCAGCTCAGTTTTTTTTTTGGAAAAACGCTCAGACCCGTCGATTTTGTTTTCGAGAGGGAGACAAGTTTGGCAAAAAATCACGTACAGCCCCCTGGGCGGGGGTGACCCCAGCCCTAAAATCTTAAATGGAAAGGTGATACTTTATTTTAAAGGTCTTGCAATTCCCTTTATAATAATGTAAAATATGAGGTTGAGTTCAGTAGTTTTGAAGATTCATTAATTTAAAGCTTAAAGTAGACTTTAATAGGTACATCAGATTAGTTTGTACTACTTTCAGAAGAAATTTGACGGAAAAAATTTACTTAATAAGTGAATGCCTTTCTTCACTACGCCCACTACGTAGAAGTGGGGGTTTTAGGACAACTTTATGTAGATCCTACGTACCCGCAAATTGGAGACTGTGTGTGGAGTAAGTCGACGTACTGTCCAACGGATTCTAAAGGCCCATAGTTTTCATCCGTATAAAATTCACCTGGTACAAGAACTTAATGAAGACGATTTTGATCGGCGATTACAGTTTTGTGAATATATGAGTGAACGAATTATAAACGATGAACATTTTCTATTCAACACTTGCTTTTCCGACGAATGTTCCTTTTTCTTAAATGGCGTAGTAAATCGTCATAACTGCCGATATTGGTCCGATTCTAATCCCAGAATTTATCATGAGGTTCATACACAGCAACCACAAAATTTAAATGTTTGGGCTGGTATTTTTGGCGATCATTTAGTTGGTCCTTTTTTCTTAACTGGAAATTTGACCGATGAAATGTATTTGGAATTACTGGAAGACGCCATAGATCCTGCATTAACAGCCATAATTGAAAATCAGAATGATCGGCGGTACATTACGAATAGGTTGATGTTCCAACAAGATGGTGCCCCACCACATTACGCATGACGTGTTCGACAATATTTAGATCAGATGTTTCCAGATCGATGGATTGGTAGAAGAGGTGCCTTTGAGTGGCCCCCAAGATCGCCAGATTTATCACCTTTGGATTTCTTTATGTGGGGTCATTTAAAAAGCAAAATCTATGCTACTCATCCAACATCATTAGAAGGCCTGTGAGAAAGAATTATGAATGAGTGCCTTCAAATGACTCCCCAAATATTGCAAAATGTGCGGCAACGTTTTGAGCAAAATCTTTATTATTGCATGGAGAGTCATAGTGGCCATTTTCAACATTTACTTGCCTAACGGGTCAGTTCATTCTTCATTTTTAAATTACTTTGCTGCCAAATGTATTGATCTCCGCTAATGATGATGTATTAGTTTTATTTAAGCTTTAAATCAATAAATCTTCAAAACTACTGAAATGAAGTACATTAATTTTATATCATTATAAAGGGAATTGAAAGACCTTTAAAATAAGGTATCACTCGACCCCCCTCTCCATTTAAGATTTTGGGGGTGGTGTCGGCCCCGCTTAGGGGGCTGCACGTGCTAACGTGATTTTTTGCCAAACTTGTGTCCCCCTGTCTGAACGTTTTCCTAACGTATCCACTATGGATCCAGCTTTCACCAGGCTACTAACTGTTTCCTCCAACCTAACAAATAAAAACATGTAGCAACAATCTCACGTACTATTCTCCTGACGATGATGGCAGAGCTCATCGAAAGCTCGAGACAATAAAGTAGAAAGAGTCATTCTTGCTTTAGTCTTGTCGAAGTACCCAACTAAAGGCTGAAGCTTTTCAGACCTAACTGGTTGTTTAGACAAGAATTACCACGGCTCACGCTATATATACATATGTCAATGATATTCCCTCGGAATAAAAAATGTTGTAATCAGATAAAGCATTGCTGAGCAATTATTATTGTTCAAAAATTGCACTTGCTTCGACAGAATAGACAGTAAGCAATTTTAAGCGATGAACTGCGGTTATTCCTAGGTTATGATCTAGATTTTTCTGTCACTTGCTTTTCTGACACAGAACAAAGAGCTGAGAACAGGGTTGCTACACGCAACTGTTTTGAGATATAAGAAAATATAGTCAACGCCAAACAAAGTGGCGTGCACGTCATCAAGGTGGGTGTGTTGAAAAATTTACATTGTTGCCAAACTTTTTGTAAAATAATAAAATTTATTATTTACATATCTAGGTTTATAAGCAATATTAACCTCAAATGAGAACAAAAATAATAGTATAATAAAATTATAGATCTGTACTTGCATAATCATTAAGTATGACAATTATTGATCAGATGACACTATGAAACTACCATATTTAATTGATAGCTTAAAGGTACTGAATAAAAATCCAAATGGGGTCCTCCAAATTTTATGCATGGTATTTATTTTACAGAATTCATACAGAAAAATGCATTCTAAAATTAGGTAAGCTACTGGTGTAAGCTTTTTCTGTACAATAAAGTTAGTCGGAGTTTCTTTCTTCAGCGCTGTCTGAATCTGAATCTTCATCACTCTCAAAGTTGATTATTAAAGGTTCGATGTCTGGTCGATCAAAAATTCGTTCTCTTTCATACCATTTAAAAATTTCTTGCTCAGTATGTCGAACACTATTTTTCCACATGTCTGGGGTAACAGTTTGTAGAGCCTCGTTCCACATATCCAAACAGTCTTTTTCACTGTTACCATCTCTACCAATATGTCTGTTATAGTAACCTTTTGCTATGCCCCAAATTAACTCAATAGGGTTAAATATACAATGGTAAGGAGGCAGACGAAGAACTTTGTGCCCATGTTGTTCCGCCAATTCATCAATCACGTATATTTTAGGTGGTTTGTTTCTAAAAAAGCAGTTATTTTAAGAATAGGAATAAACAAAAGAAATATAAACTGTCGACCAAAATATATATAATTAAGAAGCATTATGTACCGAGCAACAATACTCAATAGCTCTGTTTTAAACATTGTGTTTAAAAATGGTATGTTTTGATTTGTCAACCAGTCTTGGATATTTTTTTTTGTCCATGCATTGTTGGGCACTTTGTTCAATATCATGCTGTGATAAGGGGCGTTATCCAGTATAATCATAGATGGACTCTCCAATTTTTCTAATAACTGATGTTGAAACCATTTCAAAAAATTGTCCTGGTTCATCTCTCCATGGTAATCGCTCAATTTTGTTTTCGAAGAAAATATCGCTTCACTACCCTCAATAAACCCATTTTCATTTCCAGCATATAATATAATGTATCTAAAATATATTAGTTTTAAATTTTATAGTGCAAATTGTGTAAAAGTACATACCTTTTACCATCTGTTTTAATAGCTTTCACGCTTTTTTGGTTTCCATTTTGCCAAGAGCGACCTATGGTCCCATTTTGAAATATCCAAGTTTCATCGAGGAAGACAAACTGGTATAAGGCCTCAACCTTGGCTTGATTGTATTGCCTTAGAAATTCCACCCTTTTCAAAGCTATACTTGGTAGTTCCATGAGCCCTCGTCGCGGATTGTCCTTAAGCCACTTAAATCCAAGATCTCTAAGCAACCGCCTTAAAGACGTGGCACTACCATCAAATAATGCCCTATCTCTTAATCGAGACCATAAAGTTTGTATCGTAACTTGTTCTTCTGAAACCATGTGTAATATGACATTATAATTTAGTTAACAAATTAATGCAAATTTCTGATAAGTTATTATAATAAGATCTTACTTTTGTGATACATATTATAGATCACTTCTCGAATGGCACTTGTATCCAATGTCGCTGTGTTGGTTACACGTTTAATATAACTCCGCTTTTTCTTGGGCGATTCTAAATTTGCATCACTTTTCACACCCTCGGAAATACGACTAACTGTCCTTAAACTAATTTTTAAAGCAGCAGCAACACGCTACAAAAAATGAAATAAAATTTCACTATTATTAATATACATTACATATAATTATTAGTAACCTACCTCTTGAACAGCATTTAAAGGCAACAAAGGCCCGTTGTTGTCCCTTTCTTGCTCAAAGTAGTGCATTAACGAGGCCACGAGTTCCTTACACCGACTATTTAACTGTTTGGGCATCTTTATATACCAAAATTGCCTTTATCTACTCGTAAAATGAATAATTTTGTTTTGAAACAAACAGTTGTTGATTTACAGTATGCGGGGCCAAAGGATTTATAAAGATTTGAAATGCCACAAATTGATTCAGTGTCAAAATTAATACAAATGTCAGTTCTCAGTTTAAATAAGTTTCAAGGTGACAATGTGTCAACGCTGCGAAATCGGTTTAGTGCGTTTACATGTCGATAAGTGATTGGAGCGTTTGCAAAACATTTTATTTCGCATAATCCGTCTAAATTTATCAGAAAGCAACTTATGTGATATTTTAATAACAATGTTTATATGACTATTAACCATAATAAGAGAGTAATGACCATTTTACAATTTATATATCACATTAATATGAAACTGCAATAGAGCAATTGTTTGTGATAGAAACCTAGGCATTAGGTCGGGGAATTTTTATCGTGATGACGTGCACGCCACTTTGTTTGGCGTTGACTATATATACTTTACGGTGATATTAACAAAGCACCTAATTACTTTATATATTTTCTTTTTTTTTTAATGATAACTTTTTACGGAAAGTCAAACGACAAAAAACAAACAAAAGGCACTATTGTGTATAAGAAAGGGTTATGTTATATTCATGGGTTGATATACCCTGTTTCACGAGTATCTATCACGGTTTGACGTCTACTGAGGTGAAGAGCTGATCAGCAAGTGGCAGTTTTGTGTTACTCTGCGACATTGGCGATAATGAATCGGGTGTAAATCTTATAAAACTTGTTTGTAGCGTTTTGTTTTTTGTATGCCAATGAACTTTTCTAAATAAAAGAGTTGTTAGCAAGTACAAAATGAATATGTAGCGTACAAACACGCAAAAGAAAATACGACTCTGACTACCTGACGTTGACGGATCGGTCAGAATTATGCGTCCTGTGCCTTTTTTGTGAATTTTGAGATATTACTAGATAATCAGCTGTCATTCTACCGTGATGGATACTCGTGAAATATGGTATATGTGGCATTAATACCGCATAGAAACCACCACATGCGTAAGGTTGTTGTTGGTCTTAACTGTCAGTGACATCGACGTCACGAAGGACCAGTTTTGTGACTGCACCTTTTGGCAGCTGTTACAAACCGCGTCGCTTAAAATGAAGAACTAAACACAACCGGTTATAGTGGGTTGACAAAAGATGTCGTTATTTACGTTATTTTTCAACTGAATACATTCTGAATCACCTGGCCAACAATTTTTAACATTTTCTGTTCCTTTTCAGACCATGTGTCCAGTCTGTTTGGACCGCCTGAAAAACATGATTTTCCTGTGTGGTCATGGACTCTGTCAGATGTGTGGTGATCAAATGACTGAATGTCCTATTTGTAGAAAGGCTGTCGAGAAGAGGATCCTTTTGTATTGAAATGATGGCAATCCCATTACATAATGCAGAAAATATTTTACCAATGATAACCTCTGATCGGTTAAGTAATTGCCCGACAGAAATCAGTAAGACAGTAGAATACTTTCCAAATTGTTTCTAACGTAAAACGTTGTGTTTTCCTGGTCATTAGTGGCTGTTTTATATTTTCGGAGTTAGAAATTATGACAGGCCACAGTGCTTTTGAAAAAACTGCAATGATTTACATTGATTTATGGAGATTTAATTATAAGGTTCAACATCCTTTCCAATGCATCAAAATGATCACTCCCGTGAGTCCTCATTGATATTTAGGTTAGTAGGATGATTATACTTATATAAGTAATAGGTATATTTATATTTATGCAAAACGTAGTATTCTTCGGATTCCAAATTGACCATATAGCCAATTTCGAAATGTCAATAAAAACTAGATATTGAGTGCATTCATCAGCAAATTGCAGTACTGAGGGCTTTTATGTTAGAATCTATTGGTTTCGATTCAAAATTAGTGTCACATTTGACGCCAATTTAGATATCAAATGGATTCTGACGTAGAGTGCTTTGTCGTGGATGATAGGATTCACAACATTTTCATTGGTCTGTTTATATTAATGCTTTTATTCCATCTTTTATCCACCCATTAGCTAAAAAGTTTTGACTATAAGTAATAAACAATATGCTTTGTAAACCTTAAATCGGTGTAGTATGTAAGTATGAAATTTGATCAACAAACTGTGAAATGGAGTAATCAGGTAACTCGTACAAATAATATTAAATGGAAAAAAAATGGCAAAACTGTTCTCGACTCAGCTGGCATTTTAATGAAACAACACCCAGTGTCACTGAGACAGTACGACATTTATGATAACACCGTGGACGTTCCATTTACTTTTGTATGCATACTGTTCTGAGGATAGCGATAGCTTTTCCACAAATACATTAGTATTTACTTAAGGTGGCACGTCCGCTTTTATAGATTTTTTTCAACTACCTGTTTGCAGCACTATTCTAAACCCTTTTCATCTGATAATTTCATAATGTGTATAGAGATGACTAAAATATGATGTTTTAATTTTTTTGTTTGTCAAAAAATGCATTTTTTGTGCAAACTTTAATCAGAACTTGTTAACAAATATAAGCACAGCTCTGAAATTGTGTGTGAATATTCCTCTTTTATGAAAGAATGAAACAAGTGAATTACTTTTTTTCTTATCACGTTTCTTTTTCGAAAAATGTTTGATTTTCTTGAAGCCTCGTCCCGCAGCAAGTTGAGTTTTCAAAAAAAGCAAAGATTTTTCGAAGAGAAAAAGTGATAATGATAAAAGAAATTACTTGTTTCATTCATCCATAAAAGTGTAATATACACATACAATTTCAGAGCTGTACTAATATTTGTTAACAAGTTACGATCGAAGAAAAAATCAACAATAAAATGCACAAAATATGCATTCCATGACAAAACAAAATTAAAAACAATTTTTTTTTCGTCATATCTTTACACATCAGGAAGTAATCAGATGAAAAGGATTTAGAATACTATTGCAAACAGGTAGTTGGAAAAAAGCGAAAAAAAGGGACGTGCGGCCTTAAGGAAATTTAGGTGTTTGGATCAATGCGAGGGGGAGGTGGCAGCTGCATGCCTTAGGGCCGTATCGTCAGTCGTCCCTACAATTGTAGGGCGCCTTTATGGCCTCCTTGATTGTCATAGTTTTCTACTTCTCCGTGTCAGCGCTCTATTTTGAGGTTATGTCACAAACATCTATTTGCATCAAATTGTGCTTGCTTTTGAGTTATATCATGTTTTATCAGCCTGAAATTTCCTACAATTTAAAAAGAAAACATATCTTCACAATAGGAGACCGCTGACGCTGACACGGGACAAGTGTAATCTAGAAATTTTTGAAGGAGAGAAAGGAGTATGACAATCAAGCAGGCCATAAACGCGCCCTACAATTGTAGGGACGACTGACGATACGGGCCTAAAGCACTTGACCAGTGCTTCTGAGAGTAAATGCCGTTGTAACAATTGAAAAGCAGAGGTGATATACATATAAGGTAGGGGGACGCGCGTCTCACGATTCATGTCTAACAATGTAGTTTTTATACTAAAATACAGCAATATATACCATTTTCTTAAAAAAAAAATGGCAGACTTGCGGGTCTAGAGGGCGCCTCCCTCGCTCCCCTCTAAATCCGCCAATTGACCTCTAACCTAACCTCCTAATGCTTACTGGGGAAGATTTCTGACAGTGCATTAGAAAACTCTGTTGATTTCTAATAAGTTCATGATTTATCTAGTTTTAAAATGTGTATATTTCTTTAAATAATGTAAGACTATCAGGTTGTTAAATTGAATATACGTTTCTTACTTTACAGTGTTTTATTTTTTCGCATTAACTTTCAGAAAACCTCAGACAATATCAAAAGTGATTGGTTGCCTCGTTGGCTTTCGTGGAACATAAGTGTGAAATCATTATCTAAAACCTATTGGAAACTATCAGGAAATAGTTCATCTATCGCCCGATAGAGGACGCTGTTGTGCGGTTATTAGTACATGCTGCACCAATTTGAATGACTACCTGGGACAGTTCATTTCAAGCTCAGTAAACCTCGGTTTTTGTTAGGGGGAGGAAGCTTTTTTTTTCAAAAAAACGATGTATCTAAACTAATATACAATACCACAAAAGAATTCTTATTTTCTTGCAAAAATGTGGGGATTTTAACCCCCCTCACGACCATTTAAGTTTCTTGATCTTAAACGATGAGCTGAAAAATTGTGCCACCCAAATCCCGACCAACCGCCCCTCCTACATTCTTTTGACCTAGTTAAATTTTGTGCGGTGTGTGGGAGTGAGATTATAAAGCGCCATCTTTATTATAATAGAAGAAAATATTTTTATTAATTTCAAATAGAAATCTGTAATAATTTCATTTGATCAACGCGTAGCTTATGAAATATGATTGAAATAATGGATTCCTTGTTGGCCTTCATGGCACATAAGAGTGAAGTCATTACCTAAAATCTATTAGAAACTATCAGGAAATACTTCATCTATCGCCCGATAGAGGACGCTGTTCTGCGTTTAATACTATATGCTTCACCATCTTGAATGACTACCTAGTACAGTTCATTTCAGGCTCAGTAAACCTCGATTTTTGATAGGGGGAGGGAGCTTTTTTTTCAACAAAGCGATATATATAAACTAATATAATACAAAAGATTTCTTTTCTTGCAAAAATGGGGGGATTTTAACCCCCCTCACGACCATATAAGTTTCTTGATCTTGAACGATGAGCTGAAAAATTGTGCCACCCAAACCCCGACCAACCGCCCCTCCTACATTCTTTTGACCTAGTTAAATTTTGTGCGGTGTGTGGAAGTGAGATTATAAAGCGCCATCTTTATTATAATAGAAGTAAATATATTTATAATTTTCAAAAAGAAATCTGTAATAATTTCATTTGATCAACGCAAAGCTAATAAAATGATCATATTTCTTCTAGCAAAAATTAGGAAATTTAGCGATTCTCACTACCATTTAAGACCAATCTTAGAAAATGTGTGGGGAAATGAGCATCTGAAATAAGTACGTTTTGGGGCATTTAGCGTCAGGAAAATAATAATCAATTTCAATATAAATGTATATTTTGGAGTACTAAAACAAATAGAAAAAATACAATTTAAACGCTACCTATTAAGTAAAAAAATAATCGAATCAGAACGTCCACGGAAGGTGTAAAGGCATTCAGACACAAAAAAGTGTCAACAGACGATATTTTATACAAATACTAAATATCAAGAACATTTGGCTTCCACAAATGACAAAATTTAATGCGTACTATAGAATAGCAATAAATAAAATATACATTTAAAGCTATTGACACACCATTAATAACTGATCAGTCTGGTAGATCACTTTTATAAAATAGTCAATGAAAATTAATTATATATTACCAGACCTGAGACAATAAGTGGGACAACACTTAGAATTCACAGGACTAGAAAGATATGGAGTCCAACCAAATGTTCTGAAACAAAAATACTGAATTAAAAATTAGATGTCTTCAAAAGAAGACAATTGATATTAAGGTTTAGGGTACAGGGCAGTTAGACATACATATTATATAACAGATGAGAAATATTTGTTACAACTATCATTCAACTTCGCGAGAAATAAAAAAAAGTACGGGTCACGACTTTACCAAGAAGTGTTATTTTTTTATGATATAAACTATACTCTGCGTATATATAGAGAGTAAATAGTGGAAGGCAGCAGACTTGTCTATAGTTAATATGAATAGAAAAATCATGACCCAAACTTCTTTATTAGTACACATATCAGTCACCCCAAACCGTTACAAACAATATTTGCCACATTTGTATACAATATCCATAAGTGCAGTCAGTAGAAAAAATCATGAATATAGTATCATCAACATGGAACAATTTCATTTGTGAAAACTCGTGCAGAATGACTGAAATCAATTTTTATATATGCAGTAAATAATGAGAAATAATCTGCCGGTGGATCCGAAATATGTTCGTCAGAAATCTGAACAAAACGGATTTTTATCATTTTATATTGCCACAAAAAGTTTTCTCTAGAAACTGTGAGAACAGCAATTGAGATTGTGTTGTGAATGATATATTGCCTTTTAAGATAATAATAATATATAATAATAGTTAACGAAAGAAACCCTATATAGCGTTGATTACCCTATTCGATCAGGGTAATAAAAATTATAACTACCGGCAACAAAAATTATTTCATACCAACTAAGTTAAAATCCGCATTCCTAGCGGATGAATCACATCATGCGAAATCTGACGAAATAATGCATTTCCGTCAGAGTTCCGACGAACATATTTCTGACAAAAACGGAATCACTGGACGACTGACCTAAAAGTGGCCGTACATTAAGTGACAAGTGGCGACCACAGCAAAGCCACTAACTGCTGCCACAAGTTGGGAAATACAATTTTCATGCATTTTGTACGGGATCGAAAACCTAGCCGGATGCTGTAGGAGTGGTCAATAGTAGCGCTATTTGTTGCCGCATCTTGTCACTCCCTATCAAATCATGGACTAAAATGTGCTACAGCTGTATTTGAAACATGCCTTGTTTTAGTCTACTGACTGAATGAATATGAAATCGGAAAAAACAGTACACCCACGCTTACCAGTCGATATATTTAGTGACGTGAAGAAGTGAAAGAGCTTTATTACTAAATAGTGTTTTCCTCCATTAAAATGCAATGACATTATTACAAAGGGTACTATAAAGGTTTTGCAATATGACTTAACACACGGACGCAGGAGGCTGCTGTTTAGACATGTCCATGAGTGCATAGTAGCCGCCAGCAGCACGTCTGCTGATTTAGTTGTTCATTCGTATTGACAGTGTAAAGTGCGGACTATGGCATCGTGGTCACAGTGAGAGGACAGATTTACGGTATAAATTTACGCACGGTTTAAGCACAGACCAGTGTTTAGAATAAATGACGCTTGCATTAAAGAATGATTGTCCTCATCGTACGACTATAATCAGGTGCTACAGAGAATTCCAAAGTGGCAATTTCACTCTGTAGTGGAAATTACTCTGAACAAAGTCAATAAATAAAGCTGTATTGCAAAACTTTTATATTATCCTTTGTACATGTGTATTCTTCCTCTTTGTTGTCGACATAGTAACCATTAGATAATTGACTATTATTGGGAAAACCGTCTGAGAATTTGACAGGTACATGTGCAACCACATATTCCACCAGAAGTCACCCAACCCAATGGAAAGCCGCGCCTGCGCGAATATAAGCTTCATGCTGTGTGGCAGGTGGCATCGCCAACTTACAACAATAGGTAATGTCCACGTGACGTCACGTACCTCCGACGTTCTGGTAAAACACACCTTATATTCCTTGTGAACCGTATTGGCGCCGTTTATTTTGTTTGTATGAAGCTTTATAAGTTGCTGACTTGTTTTGTGAACGTTTTCAAATACTTTGAGTTGAAGCGACACCACGCTGATTTTTATATGTAATTATCAATACCTGAAAAATCTTAAACCTTGTTGTTTGGCTGCATAGTTGCAATTGACAATACCACAAGGCATTTTTTATAGTTCGAGCTTCTAATATATACAACAGTAATCCACGAATATCCATTAATACTAATTATTACCTAAAAGCGCTAAAATAATTCTCGCCTACAATTTATAGGTTTTGTTATACCGCCCCGAGCTATCAAAACTGGACATTACCTATAAAGCCACCGTCTTCAGGCGCCTGCCACCTCTGTTTGTTGATCGGGTTATAAGATTTCATTTTCCGTCTTATGGATAATTACCAAGGAGGTTTATGGATGACCTTTCCTTGGAATATTGATGTCATGGTTAATAACAAACAATTGTATTTAAAAGGAAACATGAGCCTGTTTTTATCTGCGATCTTACTTGCCAATATATGGCTGTGACAATTGATTTGATATGAATGTTCAAATATAACATTGAGTTGGGCATCGTCTTGGAGAACACGTTAATCATTGTTGCAACCCTTACCATATAATTTTCCATTATATCATACATCAGACAGTTTCATGCGAATTATAAATAAGTCAGGAACGTATATGATACTAGTTGAGCAAAAAGCATTCTAAGAGGTGTTAGTCAACATTTTCAATTGATCCTTGAATGCACTCCACTCTTTACTGGTATAACCCAGCTTCACTTAAACCAGCATTATAACAAAAAAATGTAAAATCTGCGATTGCATTCCAATGAAAGAAGAATTAGAAAATACACAGCGTAGACCACCCTAAGAAATAACTCTTATCAATTACCTGAATGTGTACAACTTCATTTTGTTACTAGGATAAAAAAGTGCATAAATTATTACGTTTAAGAAAGCCCTATTTCAGACAGCTGCTTAGAATGGTTCACCCTGCATAAAATGACTTACAAATCTAAACAGCCGGCTTGTACTCTGGCAACTTCGCGACCTTCTCTTTCTGATCATCCGTGTCATTTGCTGCTATCATAAGGGTGAAACACAATCCCATGGTCAGTCCGAGTATCTTGTATCCTGACAGCTTGGTCACCTGAAATAATCAAAGTATGAGATAGTAGAGTCTTTTGAGGGCGGGCTTATACAACCTTTTAATAGCCATAAGCATAAACATAAGCATAGTCACAGTTATAAGTTTGGGGTGCATTTGTTCAACTGTCTTAATCACAGACAGGCAGGTTTTTTAATTTAACAGATGAAGCATTCAGAAAATAAATTTGATGGATTTAACCTTACTTTTTTTAGTGTGCTTGATATAGAAACAAAAATTAAAGAAAAACCGAGTGCGCGAAGTTGTTTCAAATGATTTATTGAGCAGTTGAACAGCAAACAAAATAATATTGCAACCACCCTGTATAGTTCGGTAGACCACAATTTTATAAAAACGAACAGATACCTGCAGATTCAAGCTGCCCGCACGGGTATTATGTAAAAAAACAAATAACCTATAAAATATAAAAAACCTATATAATGCCATCTTGCAGATTAGGTAATCTTTAGGGTGCAAACAGTCATTCCACGTTTGCTCCCCAGGATCGTCGTGAGCGTCCATCTATGGAGGAATAACTCAACTACATGAAATGTTGGTTGCATATGTTTTGTGAACCTTAGTGTTCTGTAGTTTTCATCTCTGTGAAGATGTGAAACAAGGAAAGTTGGTTGTATAGCAAGATCGCATCTGGATGATTATTTGTATTGGTCTGCATGTGTATAAAAACAGTGATATTTTCTGTGCGAGACAATTATTACTGAATATGCTGCCGATGAAGTATATATATTAGCTGCGCCCTATGGGTTATTTATATGTTGTCCTTTCTGAAGACAGGTTATGTTCAAAGTCATAAATTACAATTTTTCCTGTTTTGTTTGTGTTTTCAAATACTTTGAGGAGCACTACGAGAAATCGACACGGCGCCCGCGTTATGTAATGGGATGTCCAATAGGGACGCAGGAAAGTAAACGTCAATTTGACATAGACGCCATCTTTGTTTTCTGTCACCGACATGTCATTTTGTTAGTTGAATGTTTACCATTGATCGCTATGGAGTCGTATTCGATTGAAGACCGCATTAAAGTTATTCAAGAGCACTACAAAAATGGTGCAAAAATAAAAAACACGTTTTGCGCGCTTCGTGAACATTTCGGTCGCAACAACCGCCCAAACGAAACGACCATCGGTCGTCTGGTGCGTAAATTCGAGGCGACAGGTTCTGTGGCAAATCTGCCAGGCTCTGGCCGGCCAAGGAGCGTTCGCACACCGGAAAATATTGCTGTTGTGAAGGAGAGTGTGAGAGACGATCCGAAACAATCAACAACGCGTCGATCCCAAGAATTGGGCATTTCGAGAACCAGTTTGCTCCGCTTTCTCCACAAGGATTTGAATGTACACGCCTACAAGATCCAATTAACGCAAGAGCTGCGTCGGGCCGACCATTTTTCGCGCCGAACGTTCTCAGATTGGCTCCTTGAACACCGCCAAATTGATGCAAAATTTTTCATCAAAAATCATGTTCAGCGACGAAGCGCATTTCACTTTGAATGGGACGGTAAACAAGCAAAACTGCTGCATCTGGGCGAAGGAAAATCCCCGTGAGTATCAAGAGCAGCCGATGCATCCTCAAAAAGTGACTGTGTGGTGTGCATTGTGGTTAAAAGGCATCATCGGACCTTACTTTTTCGAAAATGCGGCCAGGGACGCCGTTACCGTCAATTCTGAGCGATATCACGTGATGATAGAGGACTATTTTTTGCCGCAACATGAAGGAATGGATATGGCCGATGTTTATTTCCAACAAGACGGTGCAACATGCCACACAACCAACGTCAGTATCCATCGATTGCAGTCCTTCTTCGGTGATCGCTTGATTTCGCGCAGAGGAAATGTGCCATGGCCACCAAGATCGTGCGATTTGACTCCCTTGGACTTCTTTTTATGGGGATATTTGAAAAGCAAAGTCTACGTCAACAAACCAGCCACCCTCCAAGAACTCAAAAACAACATCATTGCCGAGATAAACGCCATAGAACCGACCATCTTGCAAAATGTCATTGAAAATTTCGACCATCGCGTGGACGTCTGTAAATCCAGTCGTGGTGAACATTTGAGCGTTATTATTTTTCATACATAAGTGGTATAAATGAACCTTCAAAATAAAGTACCCAACTTGATTTGAATATCAATCTTTCATGTTTTAATATGCGTCCGTTTTGGACAACCCCATACAATAAGACCACAAATTAGTAATGACGCAACACACATCAAACATTTTCGCAATGCCTCATATCTGGGCGCTTTGTATTTTCTATTGACATTGCACAATAAATTTCTATAAAATTTAAATGACTGGAAATAAAAAGTAATGTAATAAGCTTTTCACTTTCATAAATATTCCTGTTTGAAGCATATTTTCTCACCGGTTCCTTCACCAACCAGGGATTTTCTTATCTCTCTCATTTTTTAAATTCAGCAAATTTGCATATGTTATTTACAGACTGAATAAGAAAAAGTGAATTAGATACACAACTAATTTCTAGCTATGATTCTCAAGCAAATGTATATGAGACAAGTATCCAATGGAATTATCATCAACACATATTATTAGCACACAAAACCTCACTATGCACCTATGCATTGCCGTTTCCATCATTCTAGCTATAGTATACAACTTACAGCTTAAACCTCCAGTAATGACATCTCTGAAGCAGATTTTACATCACATCAGCATTGATAACTAAAGCATCATGACGTTTAGACAACACGTACAACAAAACGGGTTCACAACAAGTGCTAAGTTAAAATCTTGTGGAAAAACCTATATAATGTCACAAAAAAACAATGCACTGTCAAAAAAAAATTGACATAAAGTCGCAAGATACGTAATACCCGTGCGGATCTTGAGACTATTGAGAAAGTTTTCATATGGCGGATCTGACACAGCACAGCCAGATATGTCGGACATAATTTTCCCACAAAAAGGCACGAAAATCCCTCAGAATTGCAATTTTACAAAAAAAAAACAAATCACAGTGAATTAATGGAAAAGGGTAGGTTTAGCTCAAAGAGCGGGGGTATGTTTTGTATCCGCAAAATGTGTGGTTTCTTCTAGAAAATTATGTTATATCCCAAAAAAATTCCACAAGATTGCAACCCTGTCAAAGCACCACTGGTGCTTCAGATGTCAAGTTTCTGGATTGTTTTTGCAGCACGTGTAGCATTACCGTAGTTTCTCTTGGTAATTATGCAAGTTTTAGTGCTCTTATGAGCATAATCAGAAGAGATAAAAGTTACGAACTTCAACTATTATTATGCTTATTATTATGACAATTTGTATAAATGAGTTCATAACGCATACGGATTTCAATTATTTTGCTCATTTCGACGATTTAATAAATCCAATTATATAACGGACAATATTAAACAACGCGGTGTCATATTCAAACCGAATCTCACAGCATTCCTCTGTTGCTTATCTAGATAATTTTTAAATTTTAAGGATTCTAGTTGTTAATGCCAAAGCTCCTCTTCAACCAATTCACATCTTCATCTTTGCATCCCCCTTTCAATCTAGGCAACCATTGCTGACAAACCTACTACCCTACGCTACATTCCCACGATATTTCATCACAATATACTATAACAACAAATAACAACTGATTATCTAGTGACATTCAAAATAACCCATATTATCAACTGCCAAAAACATTTGAACAACGCTTTTATGTACTAATAAACATTTCTGTATGCATACTTCATGAAGTACTTGAGAGAAATATAGGTATTTTATTGTCAAAATTCCCTGTCGGTGAGATTATGTATGTGAAAATAAATGTTTAACAGTGTTTGGTGTAAATAGTTCTCAATACGGCAAATACACTACGATCAATAGTACCCAGTAAACACAAAGATTGCTGCCCTTGCCGATTAGATGTTGATCTCAATAGACGTTAAAACATGCTGAAGTATCGTGAAAAAGTATAAAACTTTAACCAAGGGAAAAGGTCCTACAGGCCATTCAGCGATAATGACGAATAAACGAAAAAGCTTTCAAGTGCAATGCATACTTGAAATTCCACCCACATCGCTGTAAAATTTGGTTGAATCGTCTTTAGGTGTGAACTCTTCACAACTGTTGATAGTGATGAACACACCAACGCAGAGCCAAAAATCCAATTATTGGAATGCATTGCCACTAACGTGGGCAATCGCTCAGCTTTAAGCAGATCTATACGACAGTCATTGGATCAATATTGTTCAATGCTAAACGAAAATCTTGTTTTATTCCATTTTGGCATCGACCTGCTGTTTCCAGGGTCCTTGACATCCCTTACCTAAAGGACTATATCAATAAACAAGCGCAGCGACGAGTCGTCAAGGGAAATCGCACAGCAAGCCTCTGTTGCGTGAGTCAAATGAGAGATCGCTAGAGGTTCAAGTTCTTCTATGACGACGAACTTCAAGTTAAAACAAGATCAATTTAAAAGTTCCGGTTTCTGGTTAACAATTAAAAGGCATTTTCCTGGCTTCTTTCTTCCAGACCTTATCTGGTACCTAAACAACTATACCTGACGGACCTATTGACCTGCAAAAGGGTAACCAAGAGCAAAGTCTTCATAAACCACGCTGGCAGACCAGATCAAACAAGATCGGCCCGTCCTGATGAATGTCGGGGATTGAAACAAAAAAAGGATCAAATGCATTTGAAAAACCGATTACAAAGCTTCACAATAATAACTCACCTCCTTAGGTACAGTGCTGCTCTTCTGCATCTCCCCATAGCCCAGCTCCCCATAGCACGGAGATCCACCCCACGAAATCACCGTCTCATCAGCTGCCACCACAATGGATGTCTGGGCTGTTCCCACATATTTAATAACCCAACCGGCCAGATCGTGGATAGGCTTCGGGTACATGTTGGCCTCGCCCGTTTTGCGCGTTTGGCCGAACATGAACAGCCCGTTGTGTTCGGTGATGGCCAAGGAGTAGGTGGAGCCGCAATGGACACTGCGCACGCCGCGGGATTGGCTATCGAAGTACTTTATCAACCGAGGAACCTGGAACAAAAATATTGATTTTTGAGATGGTCTGGAAAAAAATTGGGCATTTCGAGAAAACGGTAAGTTTCCGTCCTTATTGTTATTAATTACTTTAAAGGCTTCTGAAAGTTCACTCTAGATCACTTCAAGGATAAATTCAAAATAAGTCTAGCATTCGAGTCCAAGTCACGTCACATAGATTTTCGGGATCGTTGAGTCCAAATCAAAGACAAGTTTGTGCCTAGGAAGGCCTTTGAAGAGGATTTTAAGACCACTCAAAGGAAAAAGTTAAATAATCGTTTCTGACCACCTGCCATAATAAGGAATTATACAGGGTGTTTCACAGGTCGTGGTCAAAAATGAAACATCATATACAGGACCGCATTTTAAGGGGGTTCTTTTTTCGTACAGGACTTCATTAAAAAGATACGAGGTGTTGAAGTTTAAAAAAACGTCAACTGGAATGAACTAAAATTTGGAATATGGATTTAGTTTAGAATTGTCCACACTCAAAAGTCTCAACTTAAAAGTAACGTGCACCAGTGGCGGAGATACAGGCAATTAGTGGCATTATTCTTCCAAATAAAAATAGTACGCCACGTTTTTTTTTTTCTAAACGCGCAATTTTTCGAATTTTACCTTCAATTTGCTACAAATAATAAATTACTCTTGAGTTTTTTTCCTAGAGTGCATTATTTTCGTAAAAATAAAAAAAACAGATAATCTAAGCTTTATTTCAATATATTATCTGACAGATACAAGTGCGGCATCTTTTTAATAAAGAAAAACGTATTTCCGCAAAATTTGATGTGGCTTAAATTTGATGAAACGCAATATCTATTCTTTCTTGTAACTGATCAACAGTATTAATTTGTTCAGCGGGCACTAGTTGTTTAAAAGCGCCCCGTAAAAAGAAATCCAGGGGTTCAAATCAGGAGACCTCGCAGGCCGTTTCTTCCATCGTTGCCTAAAATGATTAGCCATGCGGTTATGTCACGACGAACATGCGGTGGGGCACCGTCGTGCTGATACTACATTCGTACTCTCGTTGCTAACGGAGCATCATCTAACACTTTTTCTATGTTATTCTCCAGAAAAATTAAGTATGAGTTTCCATTTAAACGTTGTGGCAATACGTGCAGAAACAGTTGGCCAGTGAAAATGCCGCACCAGACATTTCTAGAAAATCTGTTGAAACGAACGGGGATTTTCTAACGACCAAATAAATATGTTCATTATGAGAATTAAAGATTCCACTCCTCGTAAAAAGCGATTCATCTGACCACATAGCCAAATCAATAAAATCTGTATTTTGATTATGCATTTGCAGTAGCCACTCACAAAAATTTCGCCGTTGCACTTCGTCGTCGGGTTGCAAACATTGCACATTTTACCGATGGTAAGGATGTAAAACTTCCAGATTTAAAATTATCCACGCAAGGCTTTGGGAACATGATAACTGGGCTGCGATCCGCCTAGTACTTGTACTAGGATCATCCAACGCCGAATTAATCACTTCCAGTTCCTCTTGAACAGTATGCCGGACACCATGGCCTCTAACTCCGAGAAGTTTGGCAATTCCACATTGCCGAAGTCTTAGAAATGAACACGTAAAAACCTTTGGAGTAGGTTGGCGTCTGATAAGAAATCTACGTTGATACTTACGAGAAGCCGCTAAAGCATTTCCATTACAGAACCCGTACACAAAAATAATATTGGCGTACTCATCATTGCTAAATTCCATTTCACAACACTCAAAAATGGAAAAAAAACTTGGCTTACAAAAAAATGGTAATAGTAACTATAACAACCGTATAGCACATAACTTTGACAAACTATGTACCTTGTATCTCCCAAGAAACGTCAAGTTGGTATCCAGACCTCCTATTTTATTTTGAAACTAATTGTATCTCGGCTCTTGATGAATATTCTAATTTGTTTTATTTTTATTTTTACGAAAGAGAGCCAAAGCTTAGCGAGAGAAAATTTCATTTCGTTCATAAATTTACAATTTATTGCCTCTCCTCATCAAAAAACACAAGAGTAATTACACTGGACAACAAATTTTAGTTTTTTAATTGTATCTTGTGGGAAAAGTGCACTTCTTTGTTAATTTTGGGGCGCTGAATCCAAAAATGACAATGAAATAAAAAAATTAGTTGCGGTTTAGAAAAAAACTTTTTATTTTTAAGGATATATTAAAAAAGTAACAAGATTCATATACTTATAAGAATTACTATATGCGCTGTCTTTTTGCTGTTCTTTTATGGATCGTTTCTGGAGCATCTCTACCAAGAGTCCAACAGTAGTCTGCAAGCATGGAAGGATTCCACTTTCCCTGGTACCTTTTTTCCATTGTTGAAATATCCTGATGAAAACGTTCGCTGTGCTCATCACTTACGGCTCCGCAATTGTCAGGAAAAAAGTCCAGGTGTGAGTGTAGGAAATGTATCTTAAGAGACATATTACAGCCCATCTTTTGATACGATGACAGCATATTTTTGACAAGGGTTTTATAGTTATACATAAATATGCCACTGGTGCTCATCGTATTTTATGCATGCCAATAGGTACTTCATATTGTCATATGATTCTTTCATATGAACTGCATACCCTACAGGAAGAGATGGTAAAATATTTCCACTATGCAATAACACTGCCTTTAAACTCAATGTTGAACTGTCTATAAACAATCTCCATTCTTCTGGGTTATAGTTTATATTTAAAGCCGCCAGTAAGCCATTAATGTTACTGCAGAAAACCAAGTTATTCTCCATATTGAAAAATGGTTCTAAGTCTTTGCGGCGTTTACGAAAAACACATACCGAAACATGGTCTTCTAACAAGTTCCACTGCTGCAATCTTGATCCAAGTAACCCTGCCTTACATTTTGGAAGTTCTAAATCTCTTACAAGATCATTTAAATCTGACTGTGTTATTTTGTGCGGTTGGTGGCATGACGTGCTCGGTATAAAATCAGGATCTCTTGACGTTGATGGCATATCTTCTTCCTGACGAATCACTCGATCGCCATGATCTGATTCGTTTTCTGATTCGCAAGTGTAGGATTCTGGGGGTTTTGGAATAGGATTTTCGTCACTGTGAGGCACAGGTCTCATTGCAGATGGTATGTTTGGGTAGTTAATAACCGATTTTTTTTTCTTGGACATACCTGTGGCTTGTCCAACACAAGGTACCATGCAAAAGTAACAATCATTAATATGATTTGTAGGCTCTCCCCAAACCATTGGGACAGCAAAGCGCATAGACCGTTTTTTGCCATTTAACCAGCTCCTCAGACTTGAAGCACATGTATTACAGCAGATGTGGGGTGCCCACTGTTTGTCTTGATCACCTAGTTTACAACCGAAATAAACCTGATATGCCTTTGTTATTAGTGGAGTAATAGACCGTCTCTGAGACGCAAAAGTCACATCACCACACACGTAACAAAACTGATCTGGATTGTTTACACAGTTTCGAGACATCTTGCATGAACGCTGTCAGCCAACTGAGGAAAAAATGGCTAATATAAAACAATATAATGTACACGTATGTATAACGTAACACAATCATGCCGATTACATCATCTTTCCTTGCCGAATATAAAAATGTAGCACGTGCATTCTTGTGAATTACAGTATATTAACACTGTCACAGCAGGAACACATATAATTACCGTATCTCTAAAACTTGAACTAATATTGAAAAAATAAGTTTCATTCCGGTTTTAGCACATTAAAAATAGTAATATTTTGTTGATTTTATTTAGGATATTTTTTGGCTGTTGATCAGTGTTATTTGTAGCAAATTGAAGGTAAAATTCGGAAAATTGCGCGTTTCGAAAAACAAAAACAGTGGCGTACTATTTTTATTTGGAAAAATAATGCCACTAATCCCCTGTATCTTCGCCACTGGTGCACGTTAATTTTGAGTTAAGACTTTTAAATGTGGACAATACTTAGGTAAATCCATATACCAAATTTTAGTTCATTTCAGTTGACGGTTTTGAAGATATTTTTTTATTTTTATCTTTTTAATGAAGCCCTAGGGGAAAAAATGTTACATAAGCCCGCCCCTTAAAATGCGTCCTGTGTATGATGTTTTATTTTTGGTCACGACTTGTGAATAATCACCCTATGTAAGGTTGTATTTATCAATAGTTTGCAAGTAATCAAAAATTGGCGGTACATTTTTGACAAGTTTCGCATAGATAGACTGTGCGATGCTTGCATGCGTTTGCACGATGTAAAGAAACTTACCCAGCTCGGTGCGAAAACATCGATTGAAATGATCTGAATACAATCTACTATTAGTAGACACTCAACATAAAATAACATCAACTCTATCTATAAATTCATTATTGCTATAGGAATATATCAATTTCGGTTTTTCAAATCCGACTGATCTCTAAATTAACCTACACACCGCGCGGCGCAAGATTTGGATAATGACGCATGAGGTACCTTTTCACGTTGGTTGCAGGGCGATTTTTTGCAAAGCTTAATATCTCGATTCCAACTTTATGGTTATATTAAAAGCTGAGAATATTACCAGATCCAGAACATTTTCGAGCCTGACGTGGCATTATTCCAAATACAACCATCAAACAATCTTTCTTTTTAACGCTATCAAATAAAACCTCGAAAACTCAACGCGTTGAACTTGTATTATAGGAGAGTTTATCAGCTTTCATTTCAAATTTCCATTATGATATGCGAATATATAAGTGTCTGAATCTACATGAAAAATTAATTTTAGTTTGCTTTATAAACTATAGTCCAAAAATGTTTCCTTACAAAACTCGGGGTGTTGAAGTTTTAGGAAAAAAATGGAAATTATTATTTTCAGAACCGCTTCAAATATTTCACTGATATTTAGTGCATAGTGAAAGTTAGCATCCAGGTAGCATCTATACAATTCTGGGTTGCGTCCCGCATTTTCGATGGGACAGGACCTAGAAGGAGAATGACAATCTTCTCCGACAGTCAGGCTGTGTGAAGGTATTGCAATGCAGTGGGGCTCTGGGTAGTTTAGCAGCGAGGCATCCGGTATCGTCAGTGTGGGTACCAGGGCACGCTGGGATAAAGGGTAATGATATGGCGGACGCTCTCGCGAAAGCAGGATCTGCGGGCAAGCTTGTTGCTCCGAAACCGGCACTAGCGGTGCCCGCGCAGAGTCGGGAGGATATCGGAGAAGTGGATCTCTAGACCTCTTCGTCAGACACGGGAGCTCATTTAGGACGCTGAGCTAAAGATGGAAGCTTTTGCTTATCTTTGGGTAGAACCAACCTAAGGTTGTTGGTGGGGCTGCTGTCTGGCCATGACACAAGGAGGCGTCACCTGCATTTGGCGTGGGTGGCTGAAGAGTCCAAGTGTGAGCACTGCGGGGTACAGGAAGTGTCGTCTGCACAAGTTCTGTGTCTACGACGCTTTGAGCTACTACAGGCAGACTATACTGAGGTACAACACTTTGGATCCCCAGAAGGTTGAAGAGCTGTTTATCGTGGCTATACTCGCTGGAAAGGCGGAGCATGCGGCTTAGGGAATGTAGTGGCGCATAAGGGGCCTTTATGTGACCTATTCACCGGGTCCTCATGGTGGCCAGTATGCCTCCAATTTCATTTATTAATACATTCAAAAAATTCTTTTTCAGTATATCTTTTAGCTTCTATTCACTTAATATTGCATTTGAAAAACTTGGGAGTATTTTAAAATGTCTTTTTTTAGCCGCTCACCGGTAAAAATAAAATATCAGATTCTTTCGCCTCTTCATACTAAACCAACTCTTACCATTTCATCCTTCTGTTCCGCATGTCCCAATCTCCCAAACCCGCCGAAACCCCACGAGAATGCCCTCTTCTTGCTATCGATAGCCACCGTGTGGTTCTGGCCACAACTAAAATCGACGATCTGCTGCACGTCAACTGGCGCCACGTGACCGTCCTTGGTCTTCTCGATGTACAGCACGATGCGTTTCGGGCTGGTCTGGTAGTTGAAGCATAGCTTGGTGCTAGTCTTGAAGTATTTGCCGTCCGTGTTGTGACCCAATTGGCCGTACTCGGGCAGGCCGAAGGAATGAAGACCGCCCTTGACGTCGAGGATCACGGAGAATTCCGCACCGCAACCCACCTGAAAACAAATATGGGACTATAGGTCCTTTCACGGTTTTTGGCGTGTCGCAGTAAAACGATAGGAATTACTTTCATACACCCTGCTCTCTCACAAGATTATGTGTAGACGTTTGCACAGGGTGGCTGGTATGTAACTGACTGGTTTGTATCTTGAATTTAAATCAGTCAGTTATACAGGGTATTTCAGTTTATTGTTGCATAACTTTAAGAATCGATAGAACTTTTAAAATTAATGCATAAAGTCTATATAAACTTGGGTTGAAAAATGTGTGGCTTCCGAAATACAGGGTGTTTAAATTTGCTTTTTAAAATAGTTTTTTTTAAATATTTCGAACAATATTTGATGTATAACAGTGAAAATTGGTATGCAAGGGTTTTTTGGTACGACAAAACGAACCATGGGCATAGTTTTACTGTAGCCGCGAGAGGGCGCTATCTACTGTACCTGTAGTGTATTAAAATGACCGAAATTTTTTTCTTAGTGCAATTTTTTGCTTTTTAGATAAAAAAACTGATTCTTCGCACTTTTCTGCATAAAAAAGCTTTCCTGTGAGTTTTCGTTAGAGTTAGCCGTTTTTGAGATATTTCGATTTTTAAGGTTCGATGCATTTTTTATTATTTATGGGAAAATAATATTTTTTTACATTTTCGATTTGGGCATTACAAGTAATTAAGATGATCGTTTAGATTGTATTTTTAAACGCAGCAATAATTACTAACTCCAAATAAACACAAAAAAAACAGAATATTAATTTGTTTAATTTTCAAATATTATTTTTAACAAATTAAATTAATTATTTACAACTAAAATGCTATTGGATAGTTAGGACAAACATACAAAATCTAAAGTAGTTGCTCGAAATGTAAACCCAATTGTTCAATACACAATTCACATCTAGGAATGATCGAACGTGGTATAGCATTATTCAAATAAGGCCTTATTTCATCACATGCATTCCTCATTCTGTCTTTTAGCATATCTCTTGTGGTTACGGGAGTCTGGTACACTTTTTCTTTTAAAAATCCCCACACAAAGAAATCTAATGGATTTAGGTCAGGGGATCATGGAGGCCAGGCGACTGGTCCTCCACGGCCGATCCATCTTTCTGGATAATTTTCGTCCAGCCAGTTTCTAACTATTCTCGAATAATGAGCTGGACAACCATGAAGCTGGAACCAGGCCAATCTTCTTAAATCTAACATAACATCATCCCACATATTTGCATGTTCAGCCTTTAAAAATTCCAAGAAGGTCGCAGCATTTAACCTTGCAGGCAAAAGGTAGGGTCCAAATAGTCGATCACGGTAGATACCAATCCACACGTTCACACTAAATTCATGCTGAAAATTTCTTTCCCGAACTGCATGCGGATTTTCATGCGACCAAATATGTTGATTATGAAAATTTACCACTCCACGTCTAGTGAAGCATGACTCATCGGTCCATAAAACGTTACTTAAAAACTCCCTATTATTATCAGTTCTATCAAGAATCCACTGACAAAATGTGATTCTTCGTTCTCCGTCCCCTGGCTGTAGTCCTTGCACAGGTTGCAAATGGTAAGGACGTCTATGGTCATTTCTAAGAACACGGTGAACATGGCTTGCTGAAATTCCCAAGGCACCAGAAACTCTCCTAACACTTGTGGTCGGATCTCTATCAAACTCACGCAGAATCATACGGGTAAATCTGCGCTGACGAACATTTATGTTTTGATCCCTTTGGAGATTTCCAAAACCATTTTCAATTATTTGGCGATGCACTCTTACAAATACTGAGCGAGTTGGATGTCGTCTGTTTGGAAATCTTCGTGCGTATTCTCTGGCTGCTTCTGCTGCGTTTCCATTTACAAAGCCATACACAAAATGAATATCCGCTAACTCTTAATTGGAGAATAAAAATGGCATTTTTAGAAAACTTACAAAAAAACAGGTAAAAGAAACTAAATTTCGTGCATTCACAATTGCAAAAAAACGTTTCAGGTTTCAACAAACAACAAAACTAACTGTCAACTAATTGACGTTTAACCTTATTCTGCTTTGAATTCCAAAAATATTTGCAGGCACAGCCTACTTCTAAAAATTATCGAGATACTGACTTTTTAACGTTATTTTATCATAAACAATTGAAAATGCATCGGACCTTAAAAATCAAAATATCTCAAAAACGGCTAACTATAACGAAAATTCACAAGAGAGCTTTTTTATGTTGAAAAGTGCGAAGAATCAGTTTTTTTATTCAAAAAGCAAAAAAGTGCACTAAGAAAAATTTTTCGGTCATTTTAACCCTTTCGGTACGGTTGCCGGATATATCCGACAGGAAGCAATATGGCCCTGCGGCCTGGTGACGGATATATCCGTTCAAGGTTATTTTGTATAATGACACTTGTGCCGTTTATTTCCGACTCTTTTGAAAACTTACATTCACCGAGAGACTGCCGACGACTTTATCCGACGTATAACGCATTGTGGATGGCCTGCTGTCGGAATAACCCGTCAATGTCGGAAATATCCGACGGCAGTCGAGCATGGTAGCATGCCATGTACCGTAAGCTTCAGAAGCGTCAGTTCGTTCGATCATGTCAAACGAGGAGGCCAGTTCGTCTCAGGGCACTAAGCGGCCGAAAAGGCGTAAAGTAGATTGTAGCGGATATTGTGGTTTAACTGAGGAGGAAGTCAATAGTATTTTAAGTCTGGTAGATGAAGATATTTACTTGTCTGACGTTAGTGAAGAAGACCCCTTTCTCGATAGCGGAAGCGAATATTGTCCATCTTCTGAGGACTCTGAGAGCGATCTGGATGAATTGGAACCGGAAAATGAACAAGAAAATCAACAGGAAGAGGTAGGAAACGTTGAAGATAATATTACTCACCAAACAGTTCTGGAAATAATTTGGACAAAAAATGAGTTTCTACCGAAAATACACGAATTTGACACGACCAATAGCGGTGTAAAAGACCAAAACCTCGACGAAAACTCAAAGGAAGTCGACTATTTTCTTAGTTTGTTCACAGAAAACATAGTGGATGTTATTTTGGATGAAACAAATAATTATGCACGCCAACAAAATGCAAAAAACTGGAAGCATTTAGAACGTTCCGAATTTTACGTTTTTCTGGCTTTGACGTTGCTTATGCCTCGCAATAAAAAAGTGAACTTGAAGGAATATTGGTCCCAAAACCACTTACTGCTTTCACCTGCATTTAGCAAACATATGTCAAGGGACAGGTATTTTCAATTACAAAGATATTTGCATTTCTCCAATAATGAAATCGCTCCACCTGGTAATAGATTGTTCAAAGTTGAGAACGTGCTAAATATATTGAAAGAAAATTTCCAGTCTCAATTCTATCCATTTCAAAATTTGGTTATAGATGAGAGTATGATTCTTTTTAAAGGAAGACTCAGTTTTAAACAGTATATCAAGACCAAGAAACATCGTTTTGGAATTAAACTCTACGTGTTGTGTGATTGCGAAACAGGAATTGTCTTAGACTTTATAATATATTGTGGAAAAGACACTAATATAAAAGCAGAAGACAAGAATAATCTTGGTACTATAGGGGCCGTTGTTGCAAAACTTTTAGAGCCATACCTCAACAAGGGACATTCTCTTTATACGGATAATTTTTACACCAGCCCTACACTTTCAACTTTTTTGTTACAACATAAAACAAACTCCTGTGGAACTGTAAGGCAAAATAGGAAACATATGCCAGTAGGTATTTTATAAAAAATTAAAACAAGGAGATACTGACTGGAGAAGTAGTAAAAATTTATTGGCAATAAAATGGAAAGATCGGCGGGATGTTGTGATGCTGACCAGTATGCATGAAAATAGAATGGTTACTTTGCCGAAAATAAATCGATCTACATATGAAAATGTAATAAAGCCGTTATGTGTTCTGGAATACAACCGTCAAATGGGGGCTGTCGACAGATCAGATATGATGCTGAGTAGCGTAGATTGCACTCGAAAATGTCTGAAATGGTATAAGAAGTTATTTCTCCATTCGATTAACATAACATTGCTAAACGCACATGCAATGTTTTCCACAAGACATACTAAGAAGACTTCATTCGCCAATTTTCATCTAGCGGTTATTGCTCAACTTATAGAAAGGTAAAGATTTCTTTGTAGTTTTCGATCCTATTTGCTAAATGCTTTTTTTTTGCAGGTATGGCATAGTAAAATCTATACATTGCGATTTGGGCAATGCCAGACTTCAGAATAGACACTTTCCGGTGTCAGTTCCACGAAAACCAGGCAGTACTAAGGTTGGATCCAGAAGATGTTGGGTTTGTTCCCATACAAAGCAGAAGCAAGCAAAAAGAAAAGAGTCCAGCTATATGTGCCCAGAATGTGACGTTGGATTATGCGTGGTCCCTTGCTTCAAAATATATCACACAGAGGCTACTTTTTAATGTTTAATGTTCTAATGTTCAATGTGTTTATGTTTTCTGTAACTTTATCTAATAAAATAATTGTTTTAATATAACTTGCTCATATTAATTCATAAAATGTGGGTAGTTTTCTTAGGTGACGGATATTTCCGACGGCAGGCCAATGACCAATGTAAAAGTCTCAGGCCGTAGGAATAAAAATGTTCAGTGACAAGCCGTACCGAAAGGGTTAATACACTACAGGTACAGCAGAGAGCGCCCTCTAGCGGCTACAGTAAAACTATGCCCATGGTTCGTTTTGTCGTACCAAAAAACCCTTGTATACCAATTTTCACTGTTATATATCAAATATTGTTCGAAATATTTAAAAAAAACTATTTTAGAAAGTAAATTTAAACATTTCGGAAGCCACGCATTTTTCGACCCATGTTTATATAGACTTTATGCATTAATTTTAAAAGTTCTATCGAATCTTAAAGTTATGCAACAATAAACTGAAACACCCTGTATATTAGCCACCCTGTATAAGCTCACAGACATACGCTTTTTTATTTGACTTACCGCCTTGAAAAGTTTCTCGTCCACGTATTCGTCGCTTTGGAAGAAGTGCGTCACAACCCAAAAACTGCCACCAGGAATAATGCCACAAGTTAAACTTATTTAGTAACCGCTAAATAGCGCGAAGTGACAGCTTGAGACTCAATACTTCACATTCGAAAATAATGTATGTCAAACCCTTTAGCTGAGTATTCGTCAATTTTGAGTTGTGACATTTTTCTTCAAAACCGACGGTATGAGCCTCCCGCATCTATGCTTGTCACTGTCAGTATTACAAACTCTATCTCCCAGTTCGGGTGTATGTACAAAAGCGAGTAGCAGCTGCAGGGATCCGCGTGTGCAGTATTTGCACTTTCCCTTAGGGAAGTTTACGTACTTTTCAACGTCACATGGATTACTGAATGTCTATACAACTATAATTTCAGATTTTTTATTTTACAATGTCTGAATAACGTTTAATAGAAAATGTCTGGACTGTCGATAATATTGAAAAAAGGAAGGAGGGAAGGAAGAGGAAGGGGATGAATGATAGAATAAAGGAAGGAGAAGAACGGGGAAGGAGGGGCTGGAGCCTCAAAATGAGAAAAATGGATATTTTGGAAAGAAAAATTAGTAAAAAAATGAGTAGTTCAGAAGGTTTCCTGTGCGGTTATGTCATTGATATGAATGAAACTGCTCCATCTACATGCTGCTGACAATTGAAAATTGAAGCAGCAATTCTGAAAGCAAGTATCAGCAAGTGGAGAAGTAGAAGAACAACTCTGTTTCACGAGAATCCATTCAAAGGAATAACAGCTGATTATCCAGTAATATTTCTTATTACTTGCTAAAAATTATTTTATTTAGAAAAGTTCTTTAACGTATAAAAAACGATTCAAGCAAGTCAGGTAGGAATAAAATAAGATAAACAGTTTTTACCTTTGACCGTGTTTGAACGTATAAATCGACACATTTCAATCTTTTAATTTACCAGTATATACCTTGATAATAGGAGGTCCCCGATAGTTGATCCTAGTCGGCGTGAGTATCTGCGGCTGCAGATTTCCAACACCGCACTGTCCCGACCTGTTGTCACCACACGCGTAGACGGTACCCGTATCCGTGAGGAACAGCGTGTGGTTGCGACCACACGCCGCGCCTATAATGTTCATATTTGCAAGAGCCGGGACCAATGTGGGGGTTGTCTTCGATTCAGTGTTGTCCAGGCCTAGTTGACCGGACGTGTTACGACCGAACGTCATCGCTTGGCCTTGTTCATTCACAACCACGTTGTGGACGGATACGCAGCCGCTGGCTACATAGCGAATCTATAAGGAAAATGAAATAAATATTCATCGCCGTATTTGTATCTTACTAATAGAATGTGGAGATAAATCAGAAAAATAACCACCGAATAAGTTAAAGAAATTACATTGAATAAATATGCTACATACAACTCCAATCAAGGTGCAATGGTGTGCAACTGCAAATGAAACGAACAATGTGAAAAAATAATTTGCTGACATTTAGGTGATGTGATAGCTAAAGTCTCGCATACACTGGAAATGGCAGGGAAAAGCATTAAGGCTGCTGCCAACCAGCAGACATGAATGATTTCTTGTGACACCACAAGCTATCTTCAACATAGCATCGCGTCCACCACCTTTTCCTGGATCCTGACACACAGAGGAAAACCATCATCTTTATAGTGTGAGGGAGTATGCAGTGCAGTGACAGAATCGGCTGTGTTCTATGAGATATTTTCAAGTGATGGAAAGCATATACCCCAGTGTTACTCTAGATGTTTACAGGCTAAAAATCCCTCTTAATTATTTTCTTTTGCCACTCCTAGGTGAGCACTAATTGTTAATGTAAGCGTTTTATTTGAGGGATGCATAATTTATTGCAAAGTTAATTAAGTTTTTGAGGTTCCACGCAATGGAAAAAAAATCAGATAAACTAAATGTGCATTTTGTTTTGGAACGAGCAAAACAGATTATTTTAATGAGCCATTGGGAAAAATATGTCATATATCATCTGGAAAACCATCCCCATTTAAAAATTCCTATCTATTAACAAAATTGTATTTTTAGGTACAGTTAAGATGGAATATATAAAACTGACATGCTGGGAAAACATCAACCAAATTATAGGTTTGAAACCATCAGTTTATCAATTATACAAATTTGGTTAAGAGGAGAAAAAGATGAAATTTATGAATTTAGTTTTCTCAGAAAAGAATATTGCCAGTTTGGAAGAAGACTGTCATAACTAAGAAATTGCCAAAACAAAACCAATCAACTCTTGAATAATCCATATTGATATCTGGAATAATGATGCATGCTAAACTTGTTTAACAACCGCTAGAATGTGTGAAGTACTTCCCATTTTAAGATGTCTCAAATCAAACCCCTCAGTAGAATATTCATCAATTTTAAGTTGACAGTCTTCTTCCTAATTGATGAAATTAATAGAATTGTGTATGTCAATAGAAAATATGTATTTACAAAAGTGTATTGTCTTTTTCTGTGTGGTCAAGATCTATAGGAAAGTGTTCATAAAAATAATTGAAAAATAACTACCAATTTGCTGGTTTGTAACCATTAGTTTGACTATGGTGCAAAATGTGTTATAAAAATAATGTCACCTAAGTTTGTACAACATTTTATTTGTAAGATTTTGTATCTGCATTTTCATTCCCTTTCTTTACTTTGTCGATTGACTTTTTTCCATCTAATAATTGTTTTTTTGGACATCGTGAATTACTGAAAGATTGTGATAAATGCAACATTTTTCACGATTCATTGGGATAAACAAGGCAATCACAAAAAAATATAACAGACTGCTAATGATGTTAGGGTTTAAAATATATGAAAATAAAAAAATACAATATGCACAAGGACTGCAGCAAAAAAGTAGATACTGTCATATATGACATTTTGGAGGTCATACTCATGCCATAACTTCGTATTTGTGAGTTGTTGCATGTTTAACTTATACACAAGAGTCCAATACATAATTCTGAGCAAAAAAATCTTTTTATATTGAAATTTGCTTTTCCAAAACACCATTTTTCATCAATACCTTGCAGTGAAATAGCACAAAACATGTGACAAAAAATAGACCACAGGGCACTCTTACTGCTAAAGTTTATTTGACTATTTTTTATATTTACAGAATCATATTTAGAGTTTTTTTCAGAAAACTCGGATTTTGGTAGTCTATTTTTAATATTTGCAGAAATATATCAACGCTACTCAGATATTATCCAAAGCCACTTGATTATTATGTTATAAAAATGTCATGTCATGGTACAAATAATGCATTGGAACTTTGAAAAACTAATATCTCGAAAACTATACTAAGTGACATATAAATCCGAACACCCAGTTTAAATGGTTTTATTTTAATAAAAGTTGGTGAATGTATTTATCTTACTGTAAATAACAAGTGAAAAAATTTTTGAGCCTTATCAGTTGAACATTCCGGTTTTTATACTGCTTTTTTTTAATTCACTAATGCTCTAAAAATGAATATTTCAGCCGCAGTAAAGAATCAACGTTGGCGGATTTTGGTTCTTGACATCCTTTACGATCGGTTACGATGCCTAGAGTGCGGAGACCTGTACGATTTCGTCAACTTAGTGAGTTTGATAGGGGCCGTATAGTGGGGCTTCGGGAAGCTGGACTTTCTTTTCGGGCAATTGCAGTTAGAGTGCAAAGAAGTGTAGACACTGTGGTTAGGTGTTGTCAGGCATGGCTTCGAGAAGGCCGTACGCAGAGCAAGGGGCACTGGACGCCGCCGTAGAACAACAGACCGTGAAGATCGCCGCCTAAGATTATTGGCCTTAAGGGACCGTTTCTCCACTACCAGGTCCATTGCAAATGGAAGTGTTTACCGACGAATGAGAAGTTTTGGCTTGTTTTCATACTGGCCACACTGGGTCCTCCCTTTAACTCGAGAACACCGACATAATCGCCTTGAGTGGTGCAGACAACGGTCACTCTGGTATCAGGAATGGAACAGTGTTGTCTTTAGTGACGAGTCTCGATTTTGTTTAGGCATGCACGATGGTCGTGACAGGGTTAGAAGGCGACGTGGTGAAAGGAGGAATCCACAGTTTTGTGTTGAAAGACATGTTCACCACACTGTTGGAGTTATGGTTTGGGGTGCTATAGCTTATGGTTCCAGGTCACCTTTAATCTTCATCAGAGGTAACATGAACGCGCAGCGTTATATCCACCAAGTTCTAGAACCCCATCTTTTACCCTATCTTGACACCCTGGCAGATCCAACTTTCCAACAAGATAATGCCCGACCACATGTTGCAAGAGTCACAATAGACTTCTTTCAACATAATGATGTCACATTGTTACCATGGCCACCAAGATCTCCCGACTTATCCCCAATTGAGCACGTGTGGGATATGATGGGTAGGAGATTGCTCAATTTGCAACGTTCTCCTCAGACTCTAGAAGCACTTCGAGAAGAGTTGGTGGTTGCCTGGAATGAGATACCACAGGAGGACATTGACCACCTGATCAGAAGCATGCCTAGGCGCGTTGGAGAATGCGTAGCACATCAGGGTGCATCCACACATTATTAAAGGTCAAAGGGCTTCAAAGCAGAGCAATCATTTTGAAATTTTTATCATTTACTTATTATGCTTCATTAAGTACTTATACAAAATTTTATTAAAATAAAACCATTTAAACTGGGTGTTCGGATTTATATGTCACTTAGTATATTAGCTTTAGACACTTCTAACAAGTTAACATTTTTTGTTGTGGAAATATGAGTGAATAAGATTTTTCGGTTAGTTGTTGCAATACAGGGTAGCACAAAAAAGTTATGATAAGTTATTCACTGTAATAGTGCTGTAAGTGGCGCGCTCTAAAAGTTGAGGCATAAAAAATAACGGATTCTTGTTTCTCATACTAGAAAACCTCCCTATACCGAGTTTTATACCAAAATCTGAAATACTTCTCAAGCAATAAGGAAAAATAGAAAATAAAATTGTAACTTTGATACCCTGTATCTCGCAAACTAACAACTTTTGAACTAAGGTATGTTTAGGTCAATTCACATGTTTTGGTCTGTAGTTAAGTATCTCCAGTTTCGAGATTTCCCAACCTTTTGCAAACACCCTGTATATGGTATGTGTATGATTACTAGAATTTCTTAATTAAATACATATCAAAAACAAAAGCTATGATATAATGCTAACTTCAAACATAGATTTAAAGGATGTATAAGAAGGATATTTATACAAAAGTTATACTTAGATTTTTAAATTTAATCACTTACTATTAGCTAAAAAACATGTTTATTTTTTTATTTTTATTATGATGAAACCTTCATCACTAAAATGTCACTCATTTGTGCTTTTATTTCATAAGAAGGAATTGCTGGAAAATGGTAAATGGCATTTTTTGTAAAGAATTACATATTAGACTATTATAATCATACAGTAATGGACAAAAGTATATAGACAACCTTTAGAAAACGAATTCATACTTCATTGCTCCATAAACAAATATGTTATTAGTAGAAAACTAAATTCCTTGTTTTTACATTATCTGCAATGAACACAATACAAGTCTGAATATAAGCAGTTTTTTAAGAGGGATAAAAATATGTAGACAAATTCTTCTCAACATTAGTTTAGTACAGTTTCGTGTCAGAAGAGGATGAGTGTTTCCACGAAAACTGTAAGTAGAAGATTAAATGATTTGAAGCCGCTAATCTCGAGGAAAAGCTGTAAGCACCAACTACAATTTGCACGGTTGCATCTTGATTGGAGCATCTGTGACTGGAAGAGGGTATGTTTCAGTGATGAATCCAAGCTAAATATGTTTGGATCAGATGGTGTTCATTACGTTAGATGTCATAGTGGACAAAGATTGAACCTCAAGAACAGTTTGCCCACTGTCAAACATGGAGGCGGGTCTGTTATGGTTTGGGGGTGCTTTTCGGGGTTTGCGATGGGACCTTTACATAGGATAGATGGCATTATAGATCAGTTTGTATACAGAAACATACTAAAGCATGTCATGTAACCCTATATGGAAGACAATATGCCCTTAGGATCAACCTTCCAGCAAGATAATGACCTGAAGTACACTTCAAATCTCGCAAAGAAATTCTTTCTGGATGAAAAAATACCAGTTCTAAAATGGCATTCACAGTCTCCCGATATAAGCCCCATTGAAAATCTATGGGAATACTTAGATAAGCAAATATGAGATAAAACTTATTCAAACAAGGATGAACTTTTTGCCACTTTAGAGCAAAAGTGGAGACAGATTGATGAATCTTATATCAAGAAACTTCTACAATCTATGCTGAGACGATGCCAGGTGGTGATTGATAATAATGGTTATTCTACAAAATATTAACACACACATGGTTGGTTTTCTATAATTCAATGAACTTCTGCTTCTTTTTTTCTATAATTGTTTTGCTTTGTCTATATGTTTTTGTTGATCATAGTTCCAGTTTTTTTCAATTGACTTTTTATTGAAGGGAGTCTAATGAATTTATTTATGTTAAAGTGAGTATTATGCTAAAACAAATTATGTATATAGGTTGGTGTATTAATAAAACAAGTTAAAAAAAAATACAGCACAATATTAATTTGTCTATATACTTTTGTCCATTACTGTATATGGTATGTGTTTGATCACTGACATTTCTTAGTCAACTACATACCAAAAACAAAAGCTATGAAAGAATGAATAAGTAGGATATTTATACAAAAGTTATATTTTTTAGATTTTTGAATTCTTTTTTTTGCTAGTTCATTTAATGCATATTAGGCTTCAAATTGTGCATATATGTAGCTTAAAGATAATGTATGAACCAAATATATAGAATAATTGCTGATAATATCTATGTTCAAACTAATTAAAAAAAATAATGCAGTAATCAATATAATAATAGTAATTATTATTACTATGTACTTAGGAAACAAAGAATAATTTTTAATATATAAGCGCATGCTAAGCATACAATAAAATTGGATACTCATCTATTGTTTGACACTTATTGGATATTCATAAATAAGACGCATGATTAACCTTGAAAAATCAGCAGATGTAAATAAATAAAACAGGATAATTTGGAGATTGAGCCCTATGAAAAATGGAAAATAACATTTGGGGCACAAAACTCTTGTTCTTCTTTTGTAATTCTGTAAAAGGTGGAAGTTTCAGCTTACCCTTAGATCAGTAAAACGATGAGGCACATGGACATTAGGATGTACTTTCTGCCCCTTCACTTCTCGTTTCCCCATTGTGTCCCAATTCACATTTCCAAAAAAAACCAATTGCCCAGCAGGCTTTATCATCGAATTGAGCAGCTCTTTTGGAAGTGGCGTGGCCTCGTCCATAACATCCCCATGTCCAGCTATAAGGACTTCATCAGGCTGGGTGGTATTCTCATTATCACTGTTATCACTCAAATCAGAGTCTACCTCACTGTCTTCGTGCCTTTTGCCCTTTTTGTTGACTGGTTTCTTGCCAGGAGCACGCTTCCTTTTGGTTGACATCCTGAAGAAGAGCTGACAGCAAAACGTAGACAAAGTAATTAGATCACCATAATGCAAATATTGAAATCGCTGGATTTTCCAACTCACCTTACGTTATATTTATATTAAAACCTTTAAATCTACAACTGCAGATCTCAAATAATGCTAATATTTACAAGTGGTTTCAAATTAGAAAGAAAACCGGCTACACAGCCAACAAAATGGCTAATCGTCCCGTAAAAGAGGGGCAAAGACATCCAAACAATTTATTATATTCCACCTTGTTTTTTATTAACGGTATTTTGCCTGTGTTCACATAAGGACAAATTGCTGCCAACATAAAATCGGAAAATTGAAATATTGAGACGTTGTGTTTAAATGTAACGACTCGAAGACGTTTGTCGTAGATAAGCTGAAAAAGATTGACAAGTCAATAGGTTCGTTCCCATCAGCAAAAACTGTCAACATTCGACGACCGAAAAAGGGGCGTGGTCACATTTAGCCACGACCACTTATTAAAAATCATGGCATTTTTTCATCTATGCAGACATCTAATATCTGTCCAAAATGACATTTGGCGTAATACTTATAACCTGGATATTGAAAATTTATTTGAAAAATTTGATTTAGATTTTAAGAATTAAGATGATTGTAAATCAAATCGGAAAAATTTTCCACCCATGTGAGTACCTTATTGCAGCTTGTTTATTGTCAAATGACTCCTCGGGGTGCCTTCCTGGCTACAATCCCAAATTCTGAAGGAAATCAATTCCAGATACACGAGTTAATAACTATATTTCCCGTTTCAGGTCTTTTAAATATTAGGTCGTACCAAACGCTAGGCCGCTTAAAGTGGAAGACAGACAGAGGGCTAGACCAAAAGTGGAGAAAGGAAAGAGGTCTGCCATTAAATCCAAATGTTCATGGTGTGTTGACAGATAGCCCCGATTACACATTCCTAGATGGGAGGTTGACACCCTACGGAGTCGGCCAGAAAATGCGAATTTTGAAGCAAAAAGAAGTTTTATCACAGGTTATAGACCTGACAGAGGAAGTAGACTTTGCAGTAGAGAGACACAATCGCTTGCTGATTGAAGAAGAAAATAAGAAGAAGGCTATACTAGATAAGAAGTTGAAACCAAAAGGATTAGCCTTGTTAAAGAAGAAAAAATAGTATTAGTGTATAGTTTATAGGAATTAATAAAAATGATTTCAAATACAACTTTATTTTTGCTTAAAATTAACATACTGTGGGAATTGCACTAGGTGTTCAATGTATTTAGCCAAAGCTAGTAGCATAGGTTCGCTAAGATTTCTCCCCATTATTTGCAAACTCAGTGGCAGACCATTTTTTGATAATTTTATAGGAACTGATACTGCTGGAATACCTAGAAAAGCAATAAATTATATATTTAGTGAATGCTCCTTATCTGTTTCAATGTTACACGTTTGAATTAGCTAGAGTTACATGTTGCAATTAGCTAAATGATAATTATAGCTGATTGCAACTTTTAACAATTATAGCTAAATCCAACTTTTAACTGCCAATTTCACAAATATATTTTTATATGATGTCCTTTCCATGCCTTCATACCAGAAATATATTTATATTAACAGCCTCAGAACTCTATGATTTTCTGTCCATATGAAATCATATACATATGAACTAATTTTCATTCATAATTTGGCAACCATGATTTCATTGGGCCACAAAATCATGGTATAGATTTCAGGTGTTACATTACCTGCCATATTTGCTGGCTGAGTACAAAAATCCTGAAATGCACATTGATCCCTATTTGTTTTCTGTATAAAATCACTGTAAAGTGGAGCTTCAGTAAGTGTTGTTGGAGTAAGCAGCAACTGTGCATCTTCCCAAACATTGTCAAAATCATTCATGATCAATCTGCGCACTTTTAGCGCCTGGTTAAAATATTTTTCATAATTCCTACAATAATATAAATTAAATGGAATATGCCCAAAAATCAAAATACACTTGTTCTGGAGTGTAAAAGGCAACACTGCAACTTGATGCATGGCTAGAAGCCTCCTCTACCTCTACTCAACATCAAGCACTGTTGCAATTTTACTTCTAATGGAAGTGGTTATAATTAATGGTATACCTCGACGCATATAATATATCCTTTTCATTTTAGTGTTTACCTTCCCAAGAGGAAATAATTCCCTGTCAAAATCCTATTTTTGACAATATCATTGAACGCTGTCCTCCTACTAACAGCATACAACTTCTCTGTAGAATGATCATCATCAGCTCTATAACCATACTCAATACCATCATACCTGGCCATGTTACTAGCCACTTCACACTGATTGAGTACAGAGTAGCAAACTATACTGTACTGAGTATGTGGCATTGAAACTTCTTTAACAATAGCTCCTTCATTCTGAAGAGTTTGAGCTATTTCATCCCACATATCAAGTACCTCATCACTTAGATATTCGCAATTATATTCAATGGGTATTCCTATTTTCAGACCTTTTATGCCCATCTTGTTAGCTGGTGGTAACCTTGAACAGTAATTACTAGATTCAAATAAATTATACAGGAATAGACCATTACAAAATGATTATGGCACATGTGCTGCACAAGATGAAAATCACTATATTGTCAATTACAAAAGTTGAAATTAGCTGAGTATACTGTCAATTGATTCAATATAAAAAAAAACAGCTATAATTGTCAATTGCAAGTTGGAATTAACTACAATTGTCAGCTGCATATAACAATTATAGATGATTCCAACTTTATTATAAAACAAATTACCTGATTTTCTTAAATGGTTTTGTCAAGCAAGTAGAGTCTTGCTTATCATGACCTGCCACAGCATTTAATATACTAACAACATCATCCACATTTCTTGCTAGAATGCCTGGTACATCCATAGAATTTACTAAAGGAATCAATCCATGTCGTGATACAAGCCCATATGTTGGCTTGAGGCCCACCACTCCACAATAAGATGCTGGATTTCTTGTTGAGCCCCCAGTATCTGACCCAATAGCTCTAAAAGAATTAAACCAGTATTTTTTTCTAAATTCTTAGTAAGGAATTACATATTGTTGTAAAGTCTAGAATAAATATAGTACTTTTAAAGAGCGGTGATTGCCTCATTACTGCAACAGTTTTTTATGAGGTTTGTGTTGATTCCTTGTAAATAAGTAGTAAGTCTTTTTTAGCTGTAATATACTCTAAAATAGAATAAGTTTTGCAGAAAGCATCATATATACAGTAGGTTCATTCTACAAAAAGATATACACTGACCTACCCAAAACATACCCCAGATGCAACAGCTACAGCGCTTCCTCCACTGCTGCCTCCAGCAATATGAAAATCATTAGAATCTGCTTTGCACTTCCAGACGTTTTTTGTTGGCCCATAAATTGAATCAACTGTGCCTGAACCCATAGCAAATTGATCTAAATTTGTTTTTCCTACCAGAACTGCCCCAGCATCCAGTAGCCTCTGACAAACAGTGGCATTGTAGGGAGGTGAAAAATTCTCCAACATTTTCGATGCGCATGTTGTTTTTATATCTTTTGTGCAAAAATTATCTTTTACCGCTATTGGAACACCGTCTAAATCCGATTTTGACTGTTTAGATTTAAACCTCTGCAAAGAAGCTTCTGCCTGCTTTTCTGCCTCATTTTTTGACACAGTGATGAATGCATTGAACTGTTTTGTTTCTATTACTTTCTTCAAGGAGGCTCCTATGAGATCTGAGGGTGTTAAAGCCCCATCAAGGAAGAGTTTATTAACCTAGAAATACCATATATCAAAAGGACGCTCGTAGGGTGCTATTATTTTTCATACTATTTTAATATTGGTATGGAGTACTTTATCCATTCCCATAAAAAATTATGAACACCAATTGATTGAAGAAAAACAGATATAACGAATTTGAATTTTTAATTTTGTAATAACTAATGACAACTGGGACAGAACAGGCACAAATTGAATAAGTACATATAGTGGATACCAAATAAAACCCGATGCACGTCATCGATCTGGAGCTGTGCGCTGTTGCCAGAATTTGCACATTTTCTTTTAAGCAAATAAATTTAATAAAATAAATTGTTTATATATACCTACCATTTACTATAATACCATTATATTAAAAATAAATAAACTTGTTGTAAAATTAAATTCCTTTCTGAATAAAAACACCTGATTTGGTAGATATTCAAAAACACAAAATATTTAAAGAACATAAATTGTTTTCTCGTATTTTAATTAATTTGATTATTTATTTATGATATGGGAACTACAACACTTTTTCAATTCACATCAAAGAGAAGAAAGAACTCGGGTGATGCGATGTTACACAATACCGGCAACTAGCGGCAAGGAGTACTCTTTATCGAGCCTGATATTAACCGCATGGTATGGTTCAGTTGTATATCAATTCCGGAGTTTGATTACATTATACAGAATATATTTTGATGTTTTAACTATTCTGAATCACTGGAATCAGAGTCATCGTTAACATGGATAATAAGGTGAAGAATTTCCTGTCTATCCATTACTTGTTCCCTTATACCATTTCATAATTATCTCCTCTGTATGTCTAATGGAGTTCTTCCACATATCAGGGGTAATAGTTTGGAGTGCCTCTTGCCACATTTTTAGGCAGTCATTTTCAGTGTGGCCATCTCTTCCAATATGCCGATTATAGTAATCTTTAATTAGCTCAATTGGGTTAAAAATACAGTGGTATGGAGGTAACCGTAAAACTTTATGTCCATATTGTTCTGCCAAGTTATCGACCACATACATTTTGGTTGGTTTATTCCCAAAAAAAAAAAAATAGGAACAAAATGCATAAAGATTGGGTATTCTGCTCACTGTGCAACAATCGTTCAGATTTGAATGCTTCATGTGGATACTGTATTTTTTGTTCAGTTAACCAATTCTGAATTTCAGCCTTTCTCCATGAGCTATTGGGAGTTTTTACTAATAACATGCTATGGTATGATGCATTATCCATAACAATCACAGAGGGTTGGGTCAAGCTTATTAGTAATTGATTTTCAAACCAATATAAAAAGTTTTGCTGGTTCATTTCACCATGGTAATCATTAAGCTGGGTTTTCGATGAAAATATGAGCGACGCACCTTCAACAAATCCATTGTCATTGCCAGCGTGAACTATGATATACCTACAAATGCATTTCATTTTTATATAGAGCTTATTTTTCTATACATTTGAAAGCCCACCTTTTTCCATCAGCTTTGGTACTTCTAACACTTCGCTTGGATACTTTACACCACTTCACAGTAACTGTTGTTCTGAAAAGAACAATTTTTAATTGGCAAGGCAACGATTCAAAGCTCAATTAGCGCAAAACTCACAAACTAAACAATAAAGAACTAATAGTACGACAAAAGGACAATGGCAACTGATGTCAACAAATGAGAAGTGGCAACCTCACATTTCTCTGCACGGCACTACCAACCGAATCGAGACGGGGAAATTTAAACTTCAAGTAGAAATGTCACATTGAATGTAGTCAACTGTTGGTAACCATGATTTTTATGAATGACATCACCTATGACGTGCATCGGATTTTATTTGGTATCCACTATAGCAAGGAGCATAAAGCGCAAATCACAATCTCGGGACATTGAAAACAGTCTCGAGTCTAGTTATAGTCCAGTCGACATAGGATAACAATATTTTATTTTGCTTCCATCGTTTTTAGTCCGGAAAATCACATTTGATCTACAAAACTCCAAATTTTTAGTGATTTCAAATATCGAGGACAATATTGGAAAAAGGGGGAAATCTGTCAGATGGTGATGGAACTAGTAAGAACATGTTGTAGCCCTGGACTAAATGGGTCAGCTCGTTACGTATCGATGTTAAAAATTCTAATTAAAATGACAATAGCTTAGTTCCTCTGAGTTTGACAGAATTAGAAATTAGGTTATGTTAAAAACTGTTTAATAAATATACAATGTGAAAAACTGGGACTAAAATTGATATACAAATAAATATGCTTGAAAATGATACCATTTGCAGTAACATTAATAGCTCTGCTATCAACATGTGTTGCTGAAGAAATAATACTAAACTATACAGTGGACTGCAATACACTTCTTATGGGGCAGTTTCTGTGCCCAGACCCTGCTTACATACCACACATGATAGATCCAAAAACACAGCAACTGCGGGGCTGTACAAAAGAAAATACAGCCAAAGGTATTTATTGTACTTGCAAAAATGATACTTTGCATATTCACAAATCTGTTTTTTAGTACAGTGCATAGCGGTCGATGGTCTCAACTGCAGTGAAACTGGCAACAGTACCTTTTTCAAACAGATGCCTTGTGAGTGGACGTGAGTATCCTAATTCTATAAATCAATAACATTTTCCAATTTCTTGTGATTCCATTTCTAAGATATATCTGTTATATTCTGAATTACCTACTAAAAATTGTCTGTTACAGAAACGGATACTCATTTGAGACTGCACTGCTACTATCAATATTCTTGGGCATGTTTGGCTTGGATAGATTTTACTTAGGATATCCTGCCATAGGACTGGCTAAGTTCTGCACTCTTGGATTTATGTTTTTGGGGCAACTGGTAGACATAATCTTGATAGCAACGCAAGTAGTTGGCCCATCTGATGGATCAAGTTATATTATTCCATATTATGGACCTAGAGTACATGTTATTAGAAGTGATAATACAACTTACAGATTAAAACAGGATAATTGGTGATATAGTAATTAAGCTTAACTACATGTATAAAGAACTAGCTGGAATATAAATATTTTATAAATACTTTGTATATAGATAATTAGATATAGAATTGGAAACAAATAATATTCTCTAGAATTGAAGCTGCTGTTTTTTTTTTCTTATAATTCATTTTCAGATGTTTTGTTGTACATTAAAGAATATCAATGAAGAGGTACTATGTATTTTTAGAATGAAAAAAGTCAACAACATTGCATGCAAGCTCCTCCATCTATTATTCTTGAACCCTCATTTAAGGCGGCTCTGACGCAGTGAGTTTCAAGCCATGTACAAGGGTTCAGCTGCTTCAAAACTGACACTCCATTTTTCAATATTTTTGAATGAAATTCATACAGTATGTTGCGAAGATAATTGCCTAGGGTGCTATAGGAGCACTTTTTAAAATTTTGTTTTTGCACAAATTTTATGATGGTTTGAAGTGCGCACTTTTTCTGTTCAACTTCGCGATTTTTTTAAAAAGAACCTATTGAAAAACATGAAAAAGTGGCTCTATAGCACCCTGTGGGGTTTTGTTTTCAGCACTCTGTGAAAATTTTATCAAAAAATAAAGCGTCAATTTCGAAGGGCGCAAACCTCTACAAATCGTATTTTGAACGAATTTTGTTTACTGTTTCGTGCTGCCAACCCAAGCGTTGCGGCGCAATGTACGGACTAAGAAAGGACGTATTCAGATAATTTGGTGGCCCTATTTCATATAATATCCTACTCCTCGATTTTAAAGCCGTTTTACACGTCATTGGCGAGAAAGTATTGTAATCGCGAAAAATTTCTAAAATGAGATGTTATGTTTTTTTAAGTCATATGACATATACATATATCACGAAAAACTGTATCACTCATCAACTTGGAAATAACCGCTCGGATTTTTATGAAATTTCCACACGGTGTTACTACAGGGTGGGGCAAAAGTCGCGAAGGGATTTGAAAAATTAATAACTTTTTTAAATTTTAATTTTAATTTTTTTCCCTAACACAAAACTAAAATGCAATGTTTGGAGTTTGTTTACAATTTAAGTGTGAAAGATTACATCACGCAAATGACCGCCATTTTCAGCCTCGCAAAGTGCAGCTCTTGCAAGAGCATTTTCCATTACCCGAGTCAGAATATCTGGCCCCAAAGCACTTACTTCTGCTCGAATATTATCTTTTAGTTGCTGCAGGGTTGTGGGTTTATTAATATACACTTTTCCTTTCAGATATCCCCAAAGGAAATAATCAGGGGCTGTTAAGTCCGGCGAGCGGGCGGGCCAATTGAATCCTGAATTTCTCGAAATTAAACGTTCGCCAAAAATCTGCCTTAGAAGGTGCATAGTGGCTCGAGCAGTATGCGCAGTGGCTCCATCTTGTTGGAAAGTCATCGTTTGATTGTCAGCAAGAGCTGGTCTTAAGAAATTTTGAATCATATCACGATATCGGTCGCCATCTACAGATACAGCATTCCCATCGTGGTCTTCGAAGAAGAATGGTCCAATAATTCGTTGAGACGTAACTGCGCACCATACTGTACATTTAAGCGGATGTAATTGCCTTTGATGAACCACCCTTGGGTTCTCGGTACCCCATATTCTGCAGTTCTGCTTATTTACGAAGCCATTCAAATGAAAATGGGCTTCATCGCTCATGATCAGAGAATGAATAAATTCATTATCTTCTCGAGCCATTCTTTGCAAGCGAACTGCATAAGTTAGTCGTTCTTGAAAATCTGCTGGTTTTAGTTCTTGCACTAGCTGCACTTTATATGGAAACAGATGTAAATTTCCTCTTAATATTCTGCGTAAAGACCTTTGAGACATCTGCAGCTCAGCAGAACGTCTTCGGGTTGAGGTTTCCGGATTCTCCTGAACACTCTCCTGAACGCGTTGAATGTTCCCTTCATTTCTTGCGGAACGTGGCCTTCCGCTTCGTGGGAGATCCATAACTGTGCCTTGTTGCTGAAATCGTGCCACTAAGCGTCGAATCATTGATTCAGAGGGCGAATTCCGCAAATTGAAATGACGACGATATGCTCGTTGAGTTTGAATTATTGAATGGTGATATTCAAAATAAAATTCTATAAGTTTGGTTCGTTGATTGAGGTTGTAACGCTCCATAATTAATCTCCAGGATTTATTTTACACGGTCCTGAAAAAAAAAATGAAAACAAAATAAATTTAAAAAAGTTATTAATTTTTCAAATCCCTTCGTGACTTTTGCCCCACCCTGTAGTATGCCAAAGCTTTGTAGTTTTAGTCCAGTGGCAACGGTGCTATAGGCAAAAAAGAAAAAGTAACAATTGCTGAAACTCCGTTTTTGACGTTACAGGGGTTCCTTATCATTGACAAAAAAAAAATTGTACTGCTTAAAAAGTGGAAGGTGATTCTAAATGTTGCATCTTTGATATCAGTGAAACACGTTCTATTATTAAGAAGCTTCTGATCCCAGTGATTACAGGAAATTTAAGTAACGAAAATCCGTCGAATAATGTGCTCACGATTTGAAAAAATCGGTACCTGCTCTATAGGTTTGACACCAAGAGCCAACAGGTCTATCTGCAACTGCCGACAGTAGGGAAGAATGAATTCGGATATCACTCCAGTCAAGCATAGGGGAATTTAGCGTGGAACTTTAAAATTATCGATATGTCAAGGAAATATGTTTTTGAGAACGATAATTTGGTAGATTTTATACCTGCATTTTCATTTGAATTTCATGACCCGTGAAATGTATCCATTTCGCCGTTACGTTCAATTTGTGTTCTGCAGTTTGTGATGTTTTTCTGGATATAAGCAGAATATAATTGCCTAAGGTGCTATCAGAGTGTTTTACAAAACTTTGTCTTTGCGCAAGAATTATGGTGGGTTGAAATGCTTACTATTTGTTCTCAACTTCTTGATATTTTAAAAAGATCCTAGTGGATAAAATCGAAAAAGTGGATCGTTAGCACCCTGTGGACTTTGTTTTTAGCACGCTGCAAGAGTTTCATTTGGAAATAATAAAAAATGAAACGTAAGCTGTGAAGTGCAAATCGGTTTTTGGGCGAAATACGTCTACTGTTTCGTCCTGCCAGTCCAAGCGACGCGACGGTGCGTTCCGACTAAGAAAAAATATATTCAAATAATTTGATATGTCCTAAAATAAATTCAAGAACTCAAATTACAATTCGTTTATTCATATCAGTAAACACAATTATGTTTACAAGGGTCATGTGGTACATGGTATAACAATTGAATGAGAGTCATAAAACTATTTTATGCCATCAATAAGAGGAAACAGTTAGGTAGTTTTTGCAAAGCAATAAACAGGTAGGGTTATACCTGAATTAAGTACATTTCTTGTCTACTGTAATAGGTAGATGGACGCGATGCTGCCAGAAATATATGTGTGCGATCAATAAACAAACCACAAGACTGACCTGCGGTGTCCAATGATTTTTGTATTGCCTTTTTTATTGTGTTACTAGAAAACTCTGTTGGGTATATGATGGAGTTTACTAGAACTTTACAGCTTTTTGTCTTCCTTCTTCTAAAAACTTCACCAAATCTAGACGTTGTCAACCTTATCCTCCGATGAAGGCGCGACAAAGTACAGTCCTGTGATTTGGTGACTTTTTCGATCTGCAAAATCTCGTCGTCACTTTTTTAAGTTTCCCTAAAAATTTTTGCTTAGCAACCTCCAAATCAATGTAGTTAATGTCAGGTTTTTGACTGAATTCGCCATAAAACTATTCATTTTCTTTGGAATTGCTATCCGAATTGTTAGTTATTTTTATATCAGCTTTTTTTGGTCTGAGTTTCTTTTCAACATTCTTGCGTTTGAGTCTTTGTTCCATCTTAGCGATAAGCCAGGTTGGACTAAGCTTAGAACGCAAATGTATTTATTATTATTTTTGACCTCATCATGAATTAAACTCACTGCATTCGTAATTAAAATGGTCGCATATAATGCTTTATTGTCCATTATCAGCCTTGATAAAAAAGGCACTCAAGAACAATCACTCCAACAACAATTCAACAACACAATATCGACGAACAGCAACAAGGGGAGAAAATTACTAAATGATCACTTGCTGAGTACCAAAATAAGAAACGATTTACATTCTAGATCGCTAATCGAAATCCGACTATGTTATTATAAAAATTTACCTTGGTATGCACCCGCAGTCATCCTTTCCTCTTTTGAAGTAGCGCCGACGACCGTGTAGGCCCAGCCCACCCTCGTTTCCTTTTCATCCCCCCGTTACCTCAGCAGATGGTGCTCGTGATTGTAGGAGCCCCGTTAACTAATGATTGGGTTAAAATAAGATAAAGTAGTAAAGTTACATTACACCAATCAGCTTTATGAGATTTGAGAAAAAATTTGCATTGATTAATGTATTATTCTACCTGAAGATAGCTATATATATTCCCACGCTTGAAAATTATCCTAGACAAAATGAGGTAGAGATACTGTAGTGTTATCTATGAAAATTTCTCAGTTGTTTCTCCATTTACTATATACTGAGATCCAAATTTGTCTGAAGGCTGAAGTTCAATGTGTATATAGATATATAGATATATATATAGATACTGTAGTGTTATCTATGAAAATTTCTCAGTTGTTTCTCCATTTACTATATACTGAGATCCAAATTTGTCTGAAGGCTGAAGTTCAATGTGTATGAAAGAGAAGTGCATATAGACGCATATGTTAGAAAGAAATAGAAGCTGCCTGGGTAGCGAAGCTCATCACCGCATTGCCGAGCAAAGCTGACTCGACAATCTGCCGCGTTGCCAATATGTTACACCAATTCCTTGAATTATGATGCATGTTGAAGATATACTGAGTGAGAAAAAGGTAAACACCTATGTATGTTCATATGATATCTCATTCCAGGATACTGCAACTAAAGTCTGTGGAGGGTGTTGCAAATTCAAGAGCCTGCGACGTTTCATGTTCCAGACATGTTCAATTGGAGATAGGTCAAGCGATCGTGGTGGCCAAGGTAAACAGTTGATACGATGTTGATCCATGAAGGCTAACGTAGCTCTGGCAACATGCGGTTTGGCATTTTCTTGGTGAAAAATCGGGTTTTGGATGGTGTTTAGGTATGGAATAAGATGAGGCTCCACTACTTCCTCAATATAGCGTCGAGCGGTCATATTGCCTCTGATGAAAATTAGTGGTGATATGCTACCATAAGCAATAGCACCCCTTACCATAACTCCCACGGAGCTGCGAGAGGTAGCACCCAATGTGGGCGATAAAAAAGGCCAAACTGTCGTATTCGGCGATATTTCGTAAGCATACCAACCATCCTTCCATGCTCTTCACTGATTAGCGATGGCTCGAGATCTACTGAATCTGTCTCTAAGAGCCAGATGTCTTAACCGGCGGTCCAGAACCCCTCGCTTGCTGTCCTCGCCCTTCCTGAGTCCACGCTGGTTGGCACCGCAGTATAGCTGCGTAAGGAACTGTTGGTCCTCCTAGAAACTTCTCTTATCGATAGACCGACAATTCGACACCTCTCAAAGTCACTTAGCTGGGACATTCTACGCGCTCTAGGCATTTTGAGCAATCCCAAAAAGGCTTCTCAATAAGCTACACGAAATTTGACATTTAACTGACACCGTAAATGTACGAAAACGGAATGCGTCTTTATCACCAAACAATACACGCAGCCACCACAAAAACTTAGCAGACAAGCCTGACTATTTTATCACTAACTTGTTGTTCATGACAAGATAAATCGATATGTAAAAAATTCTTGAATTCTAATAAACATACGTAGGTGTTTACCTTTTTTGTCATTCAGTATATGAGTTATTTTATTCTCTTTGACCAAATGATGGTGTTATTTTAACTGTGTCGAATTTGTTTAGGATCGGTTCTAGAGGCGCTCCATTTTAGGTCGAAATGGAAGGTCAGAATCGCCACGAATTCTGCATGATTTGCTTGCTTGGTAACACCGTATCTCGTACATTTCAAGTCAAGGTTTACCACCTCCATGCTCATAGCATAGATAAGCGATTTTGGTCAGTACCCATCTGCCATTTAGCGCTCATTGGGGAGTGTGGCCCTGCTTTGAAATCATTTTCACCTGCGTAAACGCAGTGATAATTTGTATTGCTTAATGGTATTTGTTACATTTTCCGACCGCTCGCTATCGTAAAATGTAACAATAACTTTGGATGTGTTGACTTTATCACCACCTGTGGAAATCAAAGATAATTCTAAAATAAATGAAAACAAGTCGCATCAACATGCAAGTCCTAAACATCCTTAAAATTGTACACAAAAGTGCTGAATATGCAAATTTTAAGGTCTAGCATGATTCCCAGGGCGCGCATGAAGATAAGTGTCTCATAGATAGATAAGTATGAGACACTAACCTTTTCATATGCAGGGTGTTCATTTGAGAACTTCCCACCACGGATTTATCGAAATACACTGAATAAAAGAAAAAACGCCGAAACACTTCAAAAGATTTGTCAAAGGGGACAACTTTTTAATCAAAAACTACTTGGCCCCCTTAAAAATTTTAAATGACAATGGATATCAAGTAGTAGCTTGTTTGGAAGGTCTTTCGAAGTCCTTTATTTTGACGTCTGATTTTTTTTATCGGTCAATTCGTTTTCAAGAAAATTAGAAAAATCTTTATTTATCTTAAATTGTTTAGATAGAAAACAACAACACACAAAAATATCACTTTTATTTCAATAAGTGTTCAAAATGTTGCCCGTTATTGGCCAAACAATGATATAGATATAGACAATGTTCAAACTCCTGACGGACATTATCAAAAACATGTTGTGGGATATTGTGGCAGCTTTCGACGATGCGTTGACGAAGTTCATCCAATCTTTCAGGTTGGGGAGTAAACACAGCATGTTTCAAATGGCCTCATAGAAAAAAGTCTAATGGCATCAAATCAGGAGACCTAGCAGGCCATTCTATAGGTCCTCTTCGCCCTATCCATTTATCTGGAAACCCGTCGTCTAGCCATTGCCGAACCGGAAGAATATAGTGAGGAGGACCGCCGACTTGATGGAAATTTATTTTTCATTTAAAATGTTTAAGGTGATGACCCTGGAGGTTGGGTGAAGTAATTTTTAGTTAGAAAGTGACAAATCTTTTGACGTATCTCGACGTTTTTTCCTTTAATCAGTGGTTTTCGATAAATCCATGGTGGGAAGTTATCACCCGGTATAGTAAATAGAAAAACAGCTTTAACCAATTTTAGTAGATGATCGCCGGAATATAGCATCAGGTTGGCTATCTTCAGGTACAATACCAGTCAAAAGCAACTTTCACTTTCTCTGCAAGTTGATGTTTCCAACAACAATCGCATGATAGCTCTATTACGGAACGAAGCTTGGAGGCGAACGGTGAACTGATCGGATTAGTTAATACGGAAAACGGAAACCCATCCTTATATGACGTGCATTTCATATGAGTCATTCTGTCAAAGTCATCCAGTCATCTTTCACCTGTACCAACGTCAAAGGAAATTATTGATTTGCAAAAATAAAGCAAATAATAAAGTATTTAAACTTTAAACTTATTATTCTTCACTACGTTACGATATTTTACACGAATATATGTAACAGGTATGTATACAAAAGCGTATAACGCAAAGCAACTGCCATTTCAAATTTCAGGTGTGAACAATAAGAAAACATCATGGAAAGTAATTATTCCTCTTATCAAAATGGGGGGCAAAACAGAGAGCAAGACTTCCAAAAGCTCTCACAGACCATTGCTACTAGTATCCAGAAAATATCTCAAAATGGTAAGATCAAATAGCTTAAAGGTATGTTCAATAAATGACGCCCACATCCAATATTGCAGTTTCATCAATGCAGCGAATGGTGAATCAGATAGGTACTCATCAAGATTCCCAGGAATTGAGAAAACAACTGTAAGTACCTAAATAAAGATTAATTTAAGAAAATCTATCTTAAATTATTGCAGACATTCCATCCAACACTATACTCATCAGCTTGTCAAAGATACCAATGGATACCTTAAAGATCTTGGTGCTATACCCAGCTCTCTGTCTCAGTCAGAGCAGAGACAACGCAAAATGCAACGCGAGAGGCTTCAAGATGAATTTACAGCTACTCTAAATGCATTCCAAAATGTCCAACGTAGCACAGCTGCTAAGGAAAAGGAACAAGTTAATAAGGCTAAAGCACAGATCTATGGTGAACCACATTTACGTAAGAAATTTGTTCATTAATCTTTTTTGATTCAATGAATTTATTTGAATGTATTTTTACAAATTACAATTAACTGTCATTTACAAGTTGAAAGCAGTCAATATCCAGTTACAAGTGGCAATTACCTATAAGTGTTAGCTACAAGCTGGGATTAGCTATAATTGCTAGTTACAAGGTGCCATTAGCTATAACTGGCAATTAAGCTAATTGCAACTTGTACCTGGCAATTATAGTTTGATTGCAACTTATAATAATTACAGCAAACTGCAAGTTACAATAAATTATTAACTAATTACTGTAATTGTAATTTGTAACTGACAATTATAATTGGAATATGAGTCTTAATGTTTTTGAATATCTAACCTTGTCTATTCCAGCTGGTTATAAAAGTAAAGACCAGCAGCTGATTGAACTTCAAGATAGCCAATCTAAGCAAATCCAAATGCAAGAAGAAGCTGATCTGAGAGCTTTGCAAGAACAGGAACAGTCTATCAGGCAGTTAGAGGTAATTATTTTTTCTTTGAAAAATAAATGGCATCAAATAGGTTGACAGCACTTTCCATGCAATGCTGTCATTATGTTCAGTACAAGCTAGACTCTCTGAGAAAAAAGTTGATCAAATAGGTAGATACACTTAGTCCATAGACATTCTTATATAAAATGCTATAAAATTATTCTAAAAAAGAAAAACGTAATAATTTACTTTATCAAGATATAGTTAATTCTTAGTTGACCATGAAAGAAACTAACAACAGGCAGCCACTTGTTGGACACCGAATGATTAGGCTGGAAATATACTTTCTCACATGGTTTCATTCATTTTTTCCTAGCAATATTTCACAATTTTCAGAGCAACATAGATGATGTGAACCAAATATTTAAACAACTTGGAGCATTGGTTCATGAGCAAGGGGAGATGATAGATAGTATCGAAGCGAATGTTGAAAGAACCAGCGATTTTGTCCAGCAGGGGGCGCAACAGCTGCGCGAGGCTAGCACCTACAAGAACAAAGTCAGAAGGAAGAAATTGATATTTGCTGCTATTGGTGCTGCAATTTTAGCTGTGATCATACTCATTATAATATGGCAAACAACAAATTAAGGTGGTATTATAAGTCAACTGCCTAGAATATTCTGTAAACCACACAATCTGATAATGAATGAAAGGATTCATACAGAGAACTCCATATACCACTGACGTCGTAATGTGTATGAGAGAGAAGCGCGAATAGCGTGCAATACGTATGTTAAGAAAAGATAGAAGCACCACGTTGGCTAGCAACCCGAGTGACGAAGTCATGGATGCAGAAGCTGCTTACCGCGTAGCCATCGACGCACTCTTGCTAATATAATATTGCACCACTTTTCTCTCGTACACATTGCTGCATCAGTGATGTTTATATAATCACAATTCACATAAAGATTATTTTGGAAAACAAATTTCCTTGGAAAGTTTGCTTCATCCTCACATTTTTTGTTTTTGATCCTTTCTCTCTTGAGTTACAGAATATGCTAGCAAAGTGTTTCTAAAGTGAATATTGGAAGAATTATTTTTTATGTTCATAAGGAGAAATGTTTTATCTAGTCTAGTAAATTTGGTATGAAGTTTCAGATGTAAGTGCTGCCTTGTAAAATTTATATTTTTTGTGAATTTTGTATTCAGTGCTTTAGAAACACGTATTATATGTCTAAAGATACCTAGTATTTGTTAGCAATATAAAAAATATTTGGTACTGTATATTGAGATTGTTGACCTGCTCTAAAAGCATTTATAAATTTGAATTTTTTAGTGCCAATAATTTAACGATTGCATCGAATTTCATTCGTTCATGGAACTCAAATTACTGAAACTTATTTTCCATTATAAATACTGAAAGTATTCGAATCAGGCTTTACCCAGGTACAGTTGATATGGTTAGGGTGGGCAGGCAAAGGAAATCAGAGTTATAACAATTGAGTATTTTCAGGTAGTTGTCCAAGATTTTCCTACTCACCAAGAATTTAAAGACGTCTAATGTCTATTCAAATCTTTTTTGCTACTCAAAACGACGTAATTGTGATGTGACTTTGGAGGGCATCACACATCATTTTGTGACAGCCTGATTTTTACATTGTCTATTCCCAACATCACTTTAAGTTGCTATAAATTAAGTACTATTTTATTGCTGTAGATTTTAACCTCTTACGTCCATATTATGCTTATAATTTATGCACCATTTTTATTTGTATATAAACAGATCATATAATAAATTGTTTTTTCGTTTGATCCAACACTCTTTATTTAAAACGAAACACATACGCCCACTCAGGTTTTAATACAATCCTTTACTGGGGAGTCCGTTATGCAAAAGCCGCCATGTCCGTATCTCCGTTATCTTCGGAGAAGACGGATCCTGCGAAAAGCGCGGTGTATAGTAAAAGTTATTTGAAATTCGTTTATTTGAAACGGGTGCCCTAAACGGAAAGAACTCTCTCCAGGTAATTCATAGTACTCGTCGGGATGTACAAAATGTGCCGTGCGAAATTCCTTTTCTCTTTGGCATAACGGAGATATCGGAGTTTTTACGGAAGTTAGCCATTTTTCTTACTGTTTCATTGAAAATTTCTAGAAAAAAAAACTTAGATGCAGAATCAAAAAAGTGCCGCGCTATAAGGAGCGCTCATCATTTAGGCCCGTATCGTCAGTCGTCCCTATGTTTGTGACATAACCTCAAAATAGAGCTCTGACACGGATAAGTAGAAAACTATGACAATGAAGGAGGACATAAAGGCGCCCTACAATTGTAGGGACGACTGACGATACGGGCCTTAGGTATCGAAAGAGGCCGATCTCGAGTCGATATTTTGATAAACGTAGACTAAAAAAGTCTTTGTACTACGCGAAAATCTACCATTTTTTCGACTTTAACTACCGTTTTTTATCGCATTTCTTCCTCGTACCTCGACGGTTCTTACTTGTCCGTAAAGCGCCGAGTTTCTAGTTTCCGAAACGGTATCATCTTCCGTTAAAACCCTTCGCGAACAGTTAAAAAAAAAACATAAAACCGCGCCGACGTCGAAACGCTACGATCCAGACTCGAGAGAGGAAGTAAAAAAAGATCAGTGCTTAATAAATAGGATGAAAACCACACGGAAGGTAGTATAACAAATTTTAAATAACAATACTCCGTCTTCCAATTACATTATGGTGACAAATTAAGTTTTACTCTGCTGAAATAAGAAAAATTACAATCAAGACACATTCAGTTTTAAGAAGTTTTTTAATCCAGTATAAGAAAAAATGGTGATTATATATATATCACAAAAATAAGCCATCACTGTATGGCACATGATAAAAACAAAAAAAGACATGTATAGTGTACAACATAGAATGGTTACATGATTTCAACACAACAATATACATCCAAATTTGGATTTCTGATAGTGTGAATACAAGTCAGCAATAAAATGTTTTTTCAATATATTTTACCCATGTAATCAACACTATCAAAATACCTAAAATATAGCTATCCATCACATTAATTATCTGTTAATCAATATATATATATCCTCTAAAACACAGTCTTAGTAATCAAAATGCACCTTAGTTTTTTTAAAACAAATATAATGAAAAATATGTAATGTTGGATACTTTGCCATAGTAACTATGACTATTACAGAATTTTAGCACTCACCAAACTGATTTTCAAATATTCCATATCTAGGACTCGATTATCTGGCCCAATCGAAATCATATACAGGGTATTCCTTAATGATATGCGTATATTTAAGGGTGTGAATCTACATGAAAAATTAATGTTAGGTTTGCTTTATAAACTATGGTCCAAAAATGTTTCCTAACAAAAACTCGGGGTGTTGAAGTTTTAGGAAAAAAAATGGAAATTAATAAATATTTTCAGAACCGCTTCAGATATTTCACTGATATTTAGTACGTAGTGAAAGCTAATAAAGTTGCATATTTTTCGATGCAAAAATAATTTTTAGCTTTAACAGTGGCGTGCGTACGGGTATTGACTTCGATATTTTTTGAGAAAAAAAATGGTACGCCAATGGTTTTTTGCCAAATAAAAATTATTTTTGAATTCCCCGTTCAATTTAAAACAAATGATCTCTCTTGAATTGTTTTCCTTCGATGCGCCATTTTTGTGTAAAAAAATAAAAACCGTTCTATTGTCTAACTTGCAAAATTATTAATTTAATTAGAAAGATTTACTCAAAAATGGCGCATCGAAGGAAAACAATTCAAAAGAGATCATTTGTTTTAAATTGAACGGGGAATTCAAAAATAATTTTTATTTGGGAAAAAACCATTGGCGTACCATTTTTTTTTTTAATATCGAAGTCAATACCCGTACGCACGCCACTGTTAAAGCTAAAAATTATTTTTGCATTAAAAAATATGCAACATTATTAACTTTCACTACCTACTAAATATCAGTGAAATATCTGAAGCGGTTCTGAAAATATTAATTAATTTCCATTTTTTCCCTAAAACTTCAACACCTCGAGTTTTTGTAAGGAAACATTTTTGGACCATAGTTTATAAAGAAAACTATCATTAATTTTTCATGTAGATTCACACTCTTAAATATTCGCATCTCATTAAGGAACACCCTGTATATGTTTAGATTTCTGTTTATTGTACGACGTTTCGACACCATTGTGGTCTTTGTTAAATACAATTGACAATATATGTTTTCTGTCTTCCAAAAAACATATCGTGTCTCTTTTCCTTTTTCACATACCTATACAGTGTGTTCTACAATAGTCTGAACGGTCCTGTAACATGCTGAGATTGCGCGAAGTCTTCACAGAAGTTATATTTCCCAATATGTTTTCGCTGTGTTAGAATGTTCAGGTAAAACGGTTCGGTGAATGGTTAAGCTCTGTAATAGTTATAATTATAGAAACATAAGTTTCTATAGCAGCTAAGTCTTCAAAGTCAATTTTTTCATTACGTTTTTTGCACCGAAATAAATGTCATTGCTGAAGTCTGGCAACTAGGCCAACTTTGATCCTTTTTTGCCGACCTCGTAGTACCAACACAGTACTATCACAACCGATCTACTGGTATACCAGCTCCACCGATGTACCTATGTTGATCTTGCACCGATATGGTGCGTGATACAGACAATACATAACACATTATCCATCTTGAAGAATGAACAATTTTCTTTTAAAAGCAAAATTCCTATTAAATGAATTACTGGGTTTCTATTTGGAAAAATAGCTGTGACAGTGAAAATTGTATGTGATTGGCTTAGTAAATACAGGCTGGTTGGGTATCTTCTTTTTTACGAGTATATCCATTACGGTATAATAATATCTGATCATCAAGTAATAGTTCAAAACTCTCCATATCCACAAGTGACATAATTCTGACGGATTCATCAACGCCAGGTAGACAGAACCGCATTTTGTTTTGGTTTTTTATATGCTACAGTTTCGTTTTGTACTTTGACAGCTCTTTTATTTAAAAAAGTTCATTTGCACACAAAAAACCTCCCCTACTGAGCGGAGACGTGGCTTGTTCCGGAAGTTGTATCCAGTATACAACTTCTTCCCGTTCAAGTGATTGTACACGCGTTAAGGAACACCTCAGTACCGATTGCCGGGTGGCGGTACAAGTCCGCCAACGGGCCACTTTAGATCTTTTTAACATCATTAACACGGACCAGTCGACCGAGGCGGTACCACCCGTTTTATAAATGTTTCCACACCTAAGCTATGCAGTCGGTTATCTTCCAAAACAAAGAAACTAATGATGATGGATCGCTCGAATACTAAGAATTCCGGAAGTAAACTCACTCCACTCTCGGAATGTCCGGCTGGAGGGTGGATTAACAGCAACATTGATGCTGTTGATCACTATCTGCAAACCAATCGTCCCGCCATGCTTTTCCTGGCGGAGACAAAAAACTGAGAGTCTGCACTGATTAACTATCTTAGCTTCCCAAATTACGAGGTGCACTCAAATCTGAGAGAGAACGGGGGAGTTGTGGCTTTTGTCCGCAACAGTCTTTCCTGCCCCAGAGATGTTTATTTGGAATCAGACCGGAAGGACATTCTGTGGCTTCGCTTCAACTCCGAAACACCCCCCAAATTTATTTGCTGCCTTTATCGCTCTCCCTCGGACCATAACTGGGATGAACTAGTTGAATACCTCGCGGTCAAGAACGACTTCCTGAACATCAATCACCTCGCTTCAGAGGTAGTTCTCCCCGGTGATTTCAATGCCCATAATGAGCTTTGGATGAGCTCAAACAAGACCGATGAAGCAGGTCGTGCAGTTGAAACGTTCGCTCTTACTCAAGGGTTGACCCAGCTCGTAATGAGCCCTAATTTTTTTCTGGCCACACATCCTGTCCCTTACAGCACTGCTGTCCGGTGCCCCCTGGGTAACTCAGACCACGGTCTTGTGGAGGTTAGGTTTCGGTCAGAACCTGCTGTGGCAGCAGTAACTCGCACAGGCCGCAAAATTTGACATTACGGATATTTCGACTGGGAGCGGCTCTTTCAACCTTTCCTTGGAGAGATGTCTGTTTCACTGTCGCGGACCATCCCAAAAAAAAAATGATCTAAGACCGACTCTTACAACTACGGGCCTATAGCTCTGCTTTCTGTTATAACTAGGGTGATGGAGAGGTGCATAAATCGCGAGCTTGATTAGCGACAGGCAGTATGGTTTCCGGCACCTGCGATCCACAGGCGACCTCCTAGCTCACGTCACGCAATTGTGGAGTAAACTCATCCAGTCTTATGGTGGGGCTCATGTCGTTGCTCTTGACATCACGAAAGCGTTCGATCAGCTGTGGCACGCTGCCCTCTTAAGCAAACTTTCATTCTACGGCCTCCCAGAAAAGCTTTGCAGATGGGTGGCCGACTTTATCTCTGGCCGCAAGATATCTGTCGTAATTGATGGATTCTTTTCTTTATTCCACAATGTCAACGCGGGTGTTCCCCAGGGTACAGTTTAACGCTTCCAAAACACAGTACTGTACCTTGACGAACAAAAAGCGTCCTAGCGCTCATCCGGTTTTGATGGATGACCGAGTTCGGCAAAGAGCCATTCATTTCGGCTGGTCGGAGTCCAGATCACCGAGGACCTGATCTGGCACGAACACATCGCGTCAATAGCGGCAGCTGCTATGAAAAAGCTAGGCTATTTGTTTAGGGCTAAGAAGTACTTTTCTCCGCATGACCTTCTCACTCTATACAAGGTCCAGATAAGGCCTAGCCTCGAGTATTGCTCACAGGTTTGGGGTGCTGCCCCCCCCTTTCGCACCGGCGGGCCGTCGGCGAACCAGCTCTCTTCTACCGCTACACCAACGGGCTTTGCTCCTTAGAGCTTTCTTCCATGATGCCACCGCGCGATGTGCCTGCCAGACAGACCCGCCTGACATTGGCATTCCATCCTAACAGTGTCGAACATCCAGAAATGGACGATACGACGGCTCCTTTGTCTCAAGGTTGTCGAAATTATGGAAGAATCTACAAGAGGAAGCTTTCCCCAGTTCTACTAACCTTAGGCAGTACAAACATCGTATTAACAAAATTTCTTTGGGATCATCGTAGAGGCCGCGGTGTCCCGGCATTTAAAAAACGCTGCAAGCAAATGTTTACAAAATTTACACCCGAATCATTATTGCCAACGTTACAACCTAATACACTTGCTGATCAGCTGTTCACCTCAGTAGACGTCAAAACGTGATGAATACTAGTGAATTAGGGTTTATGTTAATCAATGGTTTCAATCATCAATCGAATTTTTTTATCTGTCACGAAAAATGTCACGCCTGTTATGAGATTGATTATATAGAAACAGATATATGTTGCTACTTTAACCACAGATCGGCAGAGATTGGAAATGTACATTAAAGATATAAATATTCTATCTTATCTCTCAATCTTTCTTTGAGTCCGTTTACCTCTACTGCTCCCCTAAGCTCATTTGTATAACCATTTCCTATTATGCATATGAACAATATGTGTCTTCAAGTAGCTCTTGTGCTTAGTTGTAAACTTACACCTTTTACATTTATACATAGGGACCTCATCAGGATTTTTGTGTAAAAGCATGTGCGTCTTAAGGTACCCTTTAGACTTTGTCTCAAAATCACATACTGTACACCTATGCATCTGAACCTCATCTTTACTCTTGTGCACATACAAAATATGAGTGTCCAAATAACCCCTATGTTTCGTCTCAAAGTCGCATTCTGTACATTTGTACATCGGACACTGACCAGGTGCAAGATGCACTAAGATATGCCGCCTCAAGTAATGTTTGAACTTCGTACTGAAGTCACAGTTATCACAGCTGTACAACGTCACCTCATCTCGGCTTTTGTGTGTCAGCATATGGGTCTCAATATAACCTTTGTGCCTTGTTTTAAATGGGCATATTTCACATTTATGTAAGATCAATTCATCTGGGTTTTTGTGAATCTGCATGTGGGTCTTCATGAGATATGCCTTTGACTTGGTTTGAAATTCACATTGATCACACTGATACATGGGAATTTCATCTGGGCTGAGATGAACCGTGCTATGTGTTTCCAGGTACTTCTTATGTCTTGTTCTGAATGTACATTGGTCACACTGATACATAGGAATCTCATCAGGATTTCTGTGTATCAATACATGTTTTTTAAGGGAGTATTTGAACTTGGTTTGAAAACTGCAATGTTCACATTTATGCATGGTTATTTCCTTCGGGTCTTTGTGCATGATTTTATGCGTTTTCAAGTACTGTTTTGACTTAGTCTCAAAATCGCATATATCACATTTATGTGTAGGTATTTCTTTTGGGTCTTTGTGCATGATTTTATGTGTTTTCAAGTATTGTTTTGACTTAGTCTGGAAACTGCACATGTCACACTGGTGCATTGGGATGTCATCAGGATCCATATGGATCAATCTGTGTGTCTCTAGGTACTTTTTATGTTTTGTTTCAAAATTGCAGTATTCACATTTATACTTTGGAACCTCCTCGGGTCGTTTGTGTGTCAGTATGTGAGTTTTGAGGTAACTTTTGGTCTTCGTTTTGTATTCGCATTCAGGGCATTGGTGCATTTTACAATCCTCTGGATTTTTGTGTACAAGCATATGGGTGTTAAGATATCGCCGGTATTTAGTTTTGAATGGGCAAACTGGGCAAGAATGCATGACAATGTTATCAGGGTTCGAGTGCATTGTCTTTTTGTGAAGCTTCTTGCTGCTCCTGTATCTTGTTTTAAAAGTACAATGCTCGCAGTAGTAGTACTTTGCTCCTTTTTGGTGTTCTCGAACCCTGGAATAAAAAAAAACAGCTTTTCAGCATATTAATTTTGACTTTGCTCTCATAAAAGGGTTGATCCCCATGCTTCTCCTTGACCTGTTTGCAGGTTAACAGGCTACATTACCAGAATCTCAAGTTTATATTTTGAAAAGCTCTGATGTGAATATGAATCATGTTGAGCAGAGAGCCGTAACAAAGTATGTGCATTGTACGGTCTTGACGAGGGTGTGCAGTTTCTTAAGAGGTTATCAAACACTGATAGTGAGAGATTTGAAATGTGGAAAGACATCTTGTAGAAACCAACATGGCAGTGGTTCACAACTAACGTTAAGGGCTTAACGACTGACGTGTAGCAGTACAGCAACCCATTATGCAAATGTATGAAAATTATCTTGTTGGACTAGTGGATAATGCTTCCAGCCACATTACTACGGCTACTCTACACCTGGCAGGCTTTAGATGATAATTTTGCTCCCACTAGGCGGTGCTAATGTCATTGGATTTCAAAATGTCAAACAAGTCGCGTTGCATTTTCGGCAGTTCTATAGCACATGCTTGTTTTGACATATTTGGTAGAAAGGTAAGTTGTCTATAAGACATGATCATCTACATAACTAGCGCCATCTACTTCTAGCTTTTGCGATTACATTGCATCCGCCAGTGCTACCCCCAGCGATTTCCGACTATTGCAAATTAAGTTAAATACGAGAAAAAATGTTAAAGCCTCAAAGTAGGGTAAAATTTTTGACGGAAGGGTATTGTACTATAATACTAGAAAATCAATAAAAAAGTGTGTTGGTGTTAGTAAAGCACAGGGATCAACATTTGTAAGTGTGATAATTTCTGAGTTTGAAAAATGTACCTTCATATATACAGGGTGTTTCCTAACTGAATGTCGATATTTAAGATCGCTATTTTTGGGTCCATTTTAAGATGAAAACTTCATAGGAACTTATGTCCTGAACATTTAAATTTTGAGATACATAGTGGGAATGTTTCCAAAAAATATATCATTTATTATATCTATAAATACGAGTTTAGATATGTTAATGAAATTTGGCATTCATGTGCTATGCATCAAGAGGCATTTTTCATGCACTTTTTTTTTATATCCCACCATTGGCGTTAGCACCGAATTTCACCTGTCTATTTTGGCAGACATCATCTCTGATTTTTGTGAAAATAACAATTATTCTTGAAATCTGCACTCATTCTAAGCAAATTGAATCGTTAAATTTCAATTTGATGCACAGTTTTTGCTTAAAGAAATTAAATAACCGTATCTGCATGATCCTAACAATCTGGTTAATATGACTATACCTACAGAGAAATAGCTTTTATTTTTTAGGTGAAAACCGTGCACCGGACTAAAAAAAATCAAGATTTCAAACCAGCTCATAAATAAATACAGACTTTTATTTTAAGAAATATCAGTGGTGTGCCACTTACTTTCTATGTTGAAAACTTTTACCCTGTATCTCAAAAGTTAGAACATTTAGGACATATTATGTTCATATAAAAGTTCACAAAATCGCACCCTTAAATATTGACATTGGATTAGAAAACACACTGCATAGTAGTAATGAAAAATAATTACGATTTTCGTTTGTATTCAGGCTTTTTGCTTATCCTCTTGACGTCCTTGATGTCTTCCTTTTTTTCATCAATTTCTTCATGCTTACTTTCATCATTACCAAAAGTATCAGTGTCCAATTCAAACTTTGGAAAAGCAGACTCCAATACATTGTACAAATCTACTTGTTCCTCAGTGCTGAGACGTGTTGCATGATAACTTTTTATTTTGTTTTCTACATCCAAGGTATGTATCATAAATACAGAAGCTTTATCAATAAATGAGGAGCAATTCTGGCACACAACTGGATCCTTTGTTATTTGTACATCCTAAAAGTAAAACATATATAACAGCTTTAGAATCGAGTTATAGGTTATCAATCTAAACTACAAAACAGATCATATTATATTTGTAGTATAACAACACTTTGGGATTTGGAAACTACCCACCAGAAACATCATTAGGATAAAAATTCCATTTTCCAAGTAATTTAATGGACAAAAATCGTGATGTATGATGGGGATGGACTTGAGGCAGAAAATGGGTCTTGAGCTTGGACCTACAGAAGTACCTTTTGTCTGCATCACTGATATACAGGGTTTTTTAATGTTTCCATAGAAAATCTTGAAATAAAACTGATGGACAGTTAGTTGCTTTGCAACATGGACAATTTTACCCAAAATCAAATCTCGATATTTTCGGAACCGAAAGAGATATCGAGTTGAGGTATTCGGGAGGTACTTCACCAACTCTTTGAGAACACATACAGAGTATTTTTTTTATTTATCTACTTATACAGGGTGAGCAAAGGAAGTCGTTTTTTTAGCAAACTTTGGGGCTATGTCAGAATCTCAATTTTTGAAGTGGGAAATTTTTCTATGCATCTTTTTTATCTTTGGACCATCCTTAAAAAAAGTAATTTCTCAAATTTTTCGAAAGTTGGCTATAACTAATTATCGAATTTTAAAAAAATGTTACATTTATTCCTTAAAAAGGGACTTTTTTGGGGTTTCTCTAGAGAAAAGTTTGTTTGTCACACTGTTGCATAAAGTGGAATTTCTTGCGGCAGAGGAAAGATTGAAGTACGCATTGAACGTTATTGCCTCCAGTGGCGTGCAGTAAAAGTTTGGTACTTTGACATTATGTAATTGAAACCGGATTTATAAATTTTACTATGCAATTGAACAGCTTAATGAACAAATCCAAGTTGCTACTCTTAATATAGGGAAGTATTCCAGTGGAATAACACCAAAAGCATTTTTTCGTTTGGTAAGACGTGCTAATAACTTGAAAATTTGTATTTTTCGAAATGCTATGATGTTGGTCAACACTGCTATTCATCATTTATCTGGAATTTTTTATGTTTCTCATTCAGCATTGGCGTACGCATCTTCATTGAACATGTTTTCCACTAACTGGAAAATAGCTTCCCCAGGCAAAATTTATATAATACATCTTAGTATTACTCAGTTCTATGTAATAAAAACTATGACTTGTTAGCTATTCTTGATACGCCATTGTTCTTTTTTGTTATACAATACTGTAATATTAAATTTAATGCAGTTCAAACACCTAAATAAACAGTCCCCTGTCGTGTCCCATTTTCAGTAGGAGAAGCTGTATGACAAATGCTGTTACTATTAATGTAAATTACTGATTAAATTATATATAAATAATACTGGGATACACTAAGTATCTTTAAAAACCACAATTATATTTTTAAGATAAAATAATAATCATGAAACTGAAAGCCAAATAATAATAATAATAATAATAATAACGCCTTTATTCATATTTTGTACATGTGAGGGACAAAGATAGCGAAGTTTAGCTTGAGCTACTCTTACACTTAACTACCTTTGTCTGTACTTTAAGCACGATGTTGTGTGCAATTCCAAAAAAAAAAGAGAAAAAAAAATATATAAGAAAAACTAAGGAGTACAGAAAGGTTAAATAACTAATCAACTAAACTAAAGAACACTACAACTATATACACTATGTACACGTATGCCTAAACGGCTCAGAAAATCAGTTATATAAATATCAGGGAAGAGTGAGCATAAATTGCTTGATTTGCCTTCGAAAACGAGCAAAAGACATTTCCCTGTACTTTCTGGGCAAAGCATTGTAAAATACGGCAGCATTATACGAGAAACAACGCTTGAAGAGTGTCATAGAGTATGGAGGTATCCTGATCATAATACGGTCCCTGGTAATCCTGTCATGAATTTCTTGATTAAATATGATCTTTTCTCTCAGGTATGCAGGTCTTGACGCAGCTATCAACTTGTGCAAAAACACTAAGTATTTGCACCGCACATGTTTATCAATTCTTAGCCATTTCATTTGGCTGTATTTGTCACTAACATGGTCAAATCTCCTCAATCCATGAATAAAGCGAATGCAATTGTTTTGAATTATTTGAAGCCTGCTTTTCATCCGTTCATCAAGACATGGGTAATATAAAATATCACAATAACTGAGAATTGGCAACACAAGAGACTCACAAAGTTTTTTCCTCAGTTTAAAGTTCAGAAGGTGGCGATTGGCATATAAAGTGGATACCAAATAAAACCCGATGCACGTCATCGATCTGGAGCTGTGCGCTGTTGCCAGAATTGATATGAGCTCTTTACACCGACTGTTAAGTTGTTTTGGCATTTTGGATACTTTATACCACTTCACAGTAACTTTTGTTCTAAGAACAACTTTTAATTGGCAAGGCAACGATTCAAAGCTCAAATAGCGCAAAACTCACAAACTAAACAATAAAGAACTAATAGTACGACAAAAGGACAATGGCAACTGATGTCAACAAATGAGAAGTGGCAACCTCACATTTCTCTGCACGGCACTACCAACCGAATCGAGACGGGGAAATTTAAACTTCAAGTAGAAATATCACATTGAATGTAGTCAACTGTTGGTAACCATGATTTTTATGAATGACATCACCTATGACGTGCATCGGATTTTATTTGGTATCCACTATAACGCTCTCATTCGACCATACGTTTTTTAGCTAAGGACATAACATGCTCCCTAAATCTCAATTTGCTATCTACTTCAACACCTAAAATTGTAGCTGAATTAGCAATCTGCAGCAGCGAGCCATCAAGGTTAACTTTAAATGTATTCTCCACGACACTTCTCCTTGCGTCGGAACAAAATAGTAATATTTGAGTCTTATCTGGATTAATGTTTAGATTATGGTCACTTGAATATTTTTGCACTTTGCTCAGATCCTGCTCTAATAAGGCAGCAGCATCCTGCGAACAAGAGGCGTCAAAATAATGAATGAGTTGAGTGTCATCAGCAAAGCTTAGTAAATCGGAATGTGCGACAGATTTGTGCAAATCAAAAGTGTATATGAGAAATAACACAGGGCCTAGTATGGAGCCCTGAGGGATTCCTGATGGTATCATACTGACTTCTGATAGCCTGCTGCCTACAGAAACGCACTGCATACGGTGTGAGAGGTAGTTTTTGAAGAATTGGATAGCTATATTGTCAAATCCAATGTACTTTAACTTAGAAAGTAAAAGCACATGGTTAATTTTGTCGAATGCTTTGGAGTAGTCAATTGAAACTAGGGAAACCGCCATTTTTTTGTCCATAGCTCTTATAACGTTGTCGCACAGATTTAATAATGCAGAGGTTGTGCTGTGATATTTCCTAAATCCAGATTGATTTAAAGGAATGATGCCATTATATTCAATAAAAGACTCTACTTGAAACTGAACTGCTTTTTCCAGTATTTTTGACAACACAGGCAACAAACTTATGGGTCTTAGATGAGTAACATCAGTAGGTTTATTGTTTTTTGGCGTTGGTAAGATCAATGCATTCTTCCAGGCTTTGGGAAACAAGCCTCTTTCAATGCAAGTGTTAACTATGTGTACAATATGATAAAATATTATTGGTAAACTAACTTTGATCATTGTAATTGACAGCGTATCAAGGCCTTTAGCGTCTGATTTTAGACCTTTTACTATATCAAAGATCTCTTGAGGACTTAAGATTCTCAAAGAAAAAGAATTAGACGGATTTAGTTTATTGCTTCTATAAAACTCGCACACATTTTCCGGCACACTATCAACATTATAAACTGACATGAAATACCTGTTTATCAGATTAACATCACTGATGTTATCAGGCAAAGTATATTTGTTACAAGACTTTATATTAAGTTTATTTATGCCTGACCAAATCTTCCTCGATTCATTTTGCTCAGAAAGTACTGCCAGATATTCCTTTTTTGCCTTTCGAATATCAATAAGGACTTTATTCCTAATGCGACGATAGTTTTCATAATTAATTGCAGTCTTATATTGCTTATATCTTGCTAACGCAGTAACTTTAGCGTGCATACCTTTTTTTATTTCATCAGTCAGCCATGGCGCAGGTGGCTTAGAAACACGTACAGATCTGAGTGGAGCATGTTTATTGAATAATTCGACTAGGATATTTGTTAAATGGTCAACTTTACTGTCAATGTTTGGGATAAAAAACAGATCATCGACGGAGGAATTAGCGAGATCATTAAGGAATGCTGCATCATCAAAACATTTAAAATCCCTGAAAGTTACAATATTTTGCTTTCTCTTGAATTTATTTAACCTAAGCTGACACATGACAAGTTTATGATCAGATACCGAACCTGCATCAAGTACAACACAGTCACCAAAAATATCTGGGTTGGTGGTAAATATAGGGTCAAGTAATGTTGCTGCGTGATGCGTTACACGGGTTGGGGAGGTAACCAATTGGATAAATCCAGTTGAATTGAAACAAGGAGAGATTATGTTATTTTGTTTCAAAAAATCAACATTTAGGTCACCCATTACAACTACATTATCAAACTTACCCGAAACCTCAGGTAAAAGGGCATCCAACAACCTGACACATTCATTGATATTTTGCCCTGGCGGCCTATACATCACCCCTATAACAATTATTCGCCTATTGATGGTCATCTTTACCCACAAGCATTCCAAACAATTGCTTGCTTGCGCATCTAGGTCTAAAAATTCAACACGCAAGTCAGACTTAAAGTAAATTGCCACACCACCTCCGCGCGCTTCCCTATCACGACGAAAGAGATCATAGCCATTGATACTTACAGAATTATCAGTGACGTCAGTGTTGAGCCACGTCTCTGTCACTGCAAATATATCCAAGTCATCAGTATTTACCAAGTTGACAGCTGCATCAAAGTCCGACATAAGAGATCGTACATTGAGGTGGCCAAATTTCAAAACACATTCTCTAGCTGCCATAGTTTACTCTACTTTTAAGATTTTGAAAATATGTTGCATACATTGGACATTCTTTGTCATTTGCTTTGTGAGTAGTACCATGCTTGGTATGAAATTTTTCGTTATGTTTATGGCAATTTATACATTTTTCCATATCACCTTTACAATCCTTCACTACATGACTACCTGAACATTTTAGACAAATCACGGAATTAGCCCTACAATTTTTTGCACTGTGACCAAAACCACAACACTTATGGCACTGAATTATGTTGATATGATCAACAACCTTGTATCTTCTCCAACCAACGTATATGAAGCCTTTATCAATAATTTGCTTTCTGGCGTGTGGAGAAAGCTCCAAAATTAGATGATGGGCACTACTTATCTTCAGCATAGTAACAACTTTCATGCTGGCATCATTTACATCAATGCCATTCTGCTTAACAATATTATCAACTAGTTTATCATCCGTGTCCAGCTCTTCATCACTCACAAAGTTTTTTACAAGGATGCGAGGGTTATACTTTACGGGTTCACTAATGTGATACTTCGCCCCCAAATTTTTTTAACAGTCCCCTGCCACAATTTGGAAATGGCGCTAAATTATACATATTGGCGCGGTTGTTCTCTTTGTGAAACCGAACAGATCCGATGGGAAGTTCACAAAGCGGCAGAGGGAGAGGGTGGACGTCATGGTTATTTAGTGTTACTGCTGGGTTTGTCTGTGAACCAGGCGTCTTGGTTGATAGTAGTAACAGTACACTGGTAAGTAATTTTTTTTGTTGATTTGAGTGATTAAATTGAAATAATTATATAGCATAATTACCCACAAAGTATGTTTTCATGTCTCTCTGTTCATTTTGTATAATTCTTGAATGACTGTAGGCCAAGAAACATTCTTTTTTAAAATAACAGTCCTTTGGGCACAGTCCCCTGACAATTTTTGGGGCAGGGAACTGTTTTATGCTACAAGGGACTGTTTCTTTCAGGCAATGTCAAGTTTAATTAGCCAGACTACACTGCAGTGAAAATTAATTTTCAAAATACTGTATTTCTTTCAGTTAATTCACGATTCCAGCCAAAAAAAGAGCCAGTCAAAACCAGGGAAACAAGCTTAGAACAAAAACGTATGGCCGAACGTCTAAAATACGAACGACTTTTATAAAAAAGAAGTCGCCGATTTGAATATTTTAACGGGTACCCTTAAAATACACCAAGTGAAGAGAAACATATGAAGGTGTCCATTGGGGTTTCCGAAAGGTACTACCAAGCTCGTAATGAAAAGTTTGTTTTTGTGACGATGAATGCCGGCATTTCAGAATAGGCGACCTAAAATATGAAGACAAGGGAAAACTCAGAGTCGAAGATGAATTTGGTCCAGCCCTTAAGTTACCTGATACCAACTCTTTTTTTGAAACCCATGTTCCACAGTCATGCAAGCAGTCTAATACTAATTTGGAGAATATTGCCAAGCTTAGAAGTAGTAAACTTTTCCGTAAAAAAGCAGAATACCGATATGCTGCAGTGATAAATCAAATTGATTATGAGGAAGATGAAGTGACAGTCACATTTATGAAAATTTGTGACGATAAACGCCATACGTTTAGATTTGACGAAAGCGATGCTTCCAATGTTCCTTTGGACCAAATATTGGAAAAGTTGCCAGATCTAACTCCAAAAGGGGAAGGATTAAAAGATTATATAACATTTTAGAAAATGAAAACTTGAAGACTGGTTAAATACCTAAATCATATATTTATGACAAAAACGAACTTTTTACAAAACAGTTATTTTAAACAAATTCTTAGTAACTTATAGGGCCACCCCACACATCGATCACAGCCTGGCATCTTTGTGGCATACTTTCCAGAAGGTTATTGATAAATTCTGAAAATACGTTTTTCCACTCTGCCTGAATGGCTACAGACAGTTCTTCCATTGTTTGAGGAGCATTTTTTCTTGACTGCACTAAAAATTTTCGCTGAGACCACACATGCTCAATTCTATTTAGGTCTAGAGACTTTGATGACAGAGGCAATAATGTAGCATTATTTTCTGCCAAAAAGTTCATAACCATACAAACTCTGTGTGGTCTGGCGTTATCATTGATGAAGACAAAATCGTCCCAAAAATCTTGTGCAAAAAGTACAACAATATTGTTTCAAATATTCTCCCTATAAACTGGAGCATTGACTGTCCTGTTTGAACTAAAAAGTTCGGTTTTACCATTGTGCATAGCCCCAGCCCAAACAGTAATACCACCTCCATCAAACTCCTCTTGTGAAGCCATGTTTTCTTCATCATACTGTAGGACTTTGTAGGGCAAGATTTAGATTTTCTTCATGCAACATGCAGATATTCTGGCCCCGCCTTAGAGATCCGCCGGGTGGTACCTCAACATTCAACAGCCCAAGTCCATCTACCATCTATGGGCAATCACAACACGCATAGCCAAAACAAAAATTCTCTTGGGACATGATTGGAACTCACGCAGCTCACGCGGACTGGTTAATAGACATGTAGCATCTAACCATTACGCTGCCATGCCGCTTGTTGCAAACAGATGATACTTAGTATGTCCAAGTATATGGCAGTCAAAAATTCACAAAGTATCCTGGGTCTGAATTTGAAGTATAAAATGGGTTGCTTAGAACTCCCTCAGGAAAGAAACATCAGATTTGGAATCTGCACAGCCAACTTACCCAGAAATGTTTTTTCTTTGTTTCACTCAGACCACAGATACACAGGAGCTTTGAATACTGTTTTAATAGAAAACCCAAAAACACTACACAGCTTTGTAAGAAAAAATGTCTATTTCAGTTTTCCATCATTAAAAGTGAGCAAAATTAGACAGACTTAGGTTGAGCTGAATTTGAGGTTGAAAACATTCACTAAAGACCATCTGTGTATTCTAGCACCAAAATGAAATTTCATTCATAATCTGTGTGCCCAATTTACTCAGAACAAGAATCTTCGTCCAGGTCAGAGACAGGAAGTGGCTTTTGAAAATCTTCTTATAGAAATGCTAGAAATATTATACAACTTTGCAAGGCTAAATTTCCATTTTTTGCATTGTTACAAGCAAATGAAAGTTTGTACAGTAAAGTAATTTGGGGTGCTGAATGCAAACATGATACTCAAAAAGTTGAAACCCTCCAACTATCTCAACATCAAATTGATCTAGATTGAAAAATTATGAACTATATTGACCCAAAAATAAGCCTTTGCCTAAATATACTACACTCTTTACTCTGTAGAATTTAACCAAGATATCAAGATGTGGCAGAAATTACAAATCACAATATTAACAACTACTTACCACCTCTGGTAGAACAATTTGAAGCATAGGAAGTATTTTTCCTATTGGAATACCCTCATCATCTATGAAAACTAAGCAAAGTCTACATATCTTCACCTTAGTTTCGTCATCTTGCTTTTTTATTTCTATAGAAGCTAAATTTGCTGAAGGAGTTGGTACCAGGTTTGATTTAGATTTGTGAGAAAGTAGTGTTGGTATTTCTTTCTTACACTTTTTTGCATCAATATTTTCATGTAGTTCTGTAGTTGAACAAGGTGTTACTTCTGTGTTGGTTAAACAATCTTCCAGTGCATTATAGAACTCCACAATTTGTGCACTATCTGAATATTGATCACTTCTAGATATAAGTGAGCTATCAGCAGTAATATTCACAGAATCTGTAACTTCAGAATATCCTTCCACTTGTGAGTAATCCAAATCCTTAAGTGTATTTTGTTGGTCAATTTTTGTTCTTGGGATGGATGGTGTCGAGGACTGAACTTGAGGATCAAACTGAGGACTTTCAGGGATATCACTGAAACCTGTTGTCGAACATAGAGGTACTTCTCCATTCGATATGCATGCATGATCCATGCTTGATGTAACTGTGCTATCAGCAGTTACATTTAGAGAATCTGTGACTTGTGTATGTTCATTCATATCAGAATAATTTGAATCCCCAGTAGTAGTTCCCAGATCAATTTCTGAGCTTAAGCAGAGTTCTGTCAATGAATCTGGTTGAGAATTTTCAGAAATATTTGCTTTTGTAAACTCTTTCATTTTGATTCTTTTGGGCAACTTTTTTGATGATCCTCTACTTCTCTTAGTTTTCATATTGCCAACTGTTATCAATTATGAATGTTAGATCATTGATTGCTGGACGAATGTTAATTGCTAAAAAACAATTTATTATTTATGACTTTTGTGGACAAGACATAACCTCAAATATTGACATATGACTTGGCTACTTCTGTATTATTGGTTGGTCAATGAGAAATCAAATTCAAGCGGATAACCAAATGGAAATGGTATTTACCATTTTGGCTTGGTATTTACCAATCCGTTCAAGCGATTGTAGTTATCAGTTTGGTTATAAGATCCGTGACGTCACGAATCAGCTGTTATATGTCATAGTTATCACCGCAAAATTGTGGTATTTACCCAACTCCGGAGTAGTTTTATATTTCTGGTTATTATTTGACATGTGACAAGTTAGAATTTTGCCGGGTATTGGATATTTTTATTGTACTTCAGCTTCGTTTTTGGGAAACTTGATACAGGCTGACTTCAGTTTTAGCATTATTTATAATCATCACTGTTGTTGGGGACACTTTAAATCTAGTTCTTACACTTAAAAAAGTATCCTGTATAGCCATATACCACAAGAATATTAAAATATGGCCGTATAAACTCACTGGATGATGTCCACCTGTATACGGTTTTGTTAATATCTTTTTTCATCGCTTTTTCATCATTTTTGCTAAATCAATAAATATTTTCTTTGACATGCGGAAAAGTTTAGAGAATTGAAAGTTATCATAGCTACAAAGCCATGGTTCCATCAGTAAAAATTTTGTTCGGAAAAAAAAAACATTCCTCCCATTAATATTATGAAAGTTTTCTTTTTTTCAACTTTCCATACCCCGTTGTAGACGAAAAAGCACCGATTATTAAGTGATAATAAAAATAATCAGAAATTATATACGCGCTTTTCTAAAATAAACAACTTGCAACAAACCGCGGTTAAAACCAAGGCGTTCAAGCGATTCGAGTAACTGACGTCACCATCCCGTGTGTCATCTTGAACCATATTATAACCGCGGTACATAATACGGAAATCTTGGTTATCCGCTTGGATTTGATTAGAATATCACAAGCTGCAATCGAATACTTGCAATCCAGCTCTATAAATCGATCTCAACAAACTGACAAGAGCCTGACAGCGATAAAAATCCTGACACTTGTTTTGACGTAAAATGTAAACGCAAGTGGCAAAATGTGGAAAAAAGAAAAACAAACAAATTCGTTAGTACCGTGTCAAATTAATAAAAACCTAATTAAGTGCAATTCAGCAGTTTAAGATTATCCTCATTTAAAATATTACGTATCAACTAGGGCAGATTTGGAGAGGCGGTAGGGTGAGCGTGTAATTTGAGACTTTCCATTAACATTATCAGCGATGATTGACAGATAAGTCGAACTCCCCCGCTAGTGAAATCAAAGCGAAAATCATGTCGGGGCATGCAGTGGTTGTGTGGGAATACGAAATCCGAACTGGATATTGGAAGCCATACAGCCCTGCAGTCAGCCAACATTTGGAGAGGGCCAATGGAAAGCAGTTGACCAGGGTGATACTTTCAGATGCTGATCCCTCTCTTATGCACTACTTCGTCAATTTGAGGACGCTAACCCAAGAAACTGAAGATTCAGGTAAGAAATCAATGGAATGATTAGTAGAAATGTATGTGTTTGTCAAAATGATGAAATGATCCAAGGTATCTGAAACAGGTGGTCAGTGATCAAGTTACCCTTCGAGTACTTGAAAGCAGGAAAAAATTATTTGTCATCTCATCCCTCATCATATCAGACAGGTTTGGAGATATGGAGCCTTAGAGAAGAAAGATTCTAGATACTTTCCAAATAATGAACTTTGAACTTCTATGAGACTGTGGTTTATCTATCCTTCTTTGTTACCAATTCCAATAGAAAATATGCAGTAAAATGGATTTATCAGATCATTCATTTATGTGCATGATTAATAAATCTAAACCAGATAGTGTGGGTAAAAAGTTGACTTAAGATAAAAACGTTCATAATAATTTCTTAGTAACTCATATTATTTATTAGATTGTATGGAGTTTCTGGTATATTTTATTCTTAATTGTTGGTTATAAGTGACAGCTTTAATTGCCAATTACAAGTAACATTTAGCTATAATTGTTACAGGATACAATTGGCTATATTTGTCAGTGTTATTTGTTCATAAGTTGAATAATTAACATAGCTAATTGTTACTTGTAACTGAAAATTATAACTCATTGAAATTTGTAAATAACACTTTTAGCTAACTGCATGTTAAAACTGACAATTACAACTAACTACAACATGTAACTGACAATTATAGCTAATGGCAAATAGCAAATTATAGCAAATGCATGACTATTTTTATCTAATTAAAACTTGTAAATGACAAGTTATAGCTGTGAAATGTAGCTAATCCAAACATGTAGTCAATTATAGTCAGTAGTTAGTTGTCATAACTAGCAATTATATTATGTTTCAGAGATTATAGTTCCTGTGAGAAGGAAATGTTATCCTCCATCTTCTCCAGCTGGCAAAGGAGCTAGATGGGAATGTGCTGGGTCTGAACAACATGGCCCAGAGTGGCATCCTTTTGATATGGATATACAGTGTTTGATAGAAGAGGCCTGGGCAAATGTAAGATTTCTATGGTTTCTCCAAAATGTATAACTGTAGGCTGAACTTTTTATAAATAGAACTTTATTTTTCCAAGTCTGGTGTCTGGTAAGCTGTGAATTTTGGTACGATCATTTCTGGGCTGTAAACCTGAAATAACATTTTTAGAAGATTCCTAAGATAAAATAGCTACTTTATAAGGTGTAGGTCCACTAGTAAATCAGCTTTTTTGCATCACCAAATCTATTAACATTGGAATTCTTGCACTCTGTATAATGATTGCTTAACTACATGAAGATTATTTGTCCATCATCTTATACATTTTTCCCAAAAAGTAATGAAATGTAATTTGCAGGGTGACCAAATGCTGGACATGAGCCAAACTCACCTAGGTTTCCCTTACTTGATCAACTTCAGCAATTTGACACAAAGATGGTTGACTAATGGTTATGTGAGGAGTGTCAGAAGAATAAAACAAGCTCCTTATCCTCTTGTCAAAGTTAGATTGGAAGAACTAGCACCCACTACAGGTAAATTGATATTTTTTAGTTTTTTGTGTTTCAGTGTACTTTTTACTTGTAACTTGATTATTAATATTATTGTTATTAGTTATTGATCATTCTTGAACTATGTTATTACAAAGTTTCATTTGTTACAACTTGGACTACAAAAATTCAAACCCTACTTTTTTCAAACCTAGGTCGCAGAGGATCAGAAATAAGAAAATCCTGCCATGGGATCAACAAGAATAACTCTCAGCAACCTCAAACAGCTAAAGTTATTGGAAGTAGTGCAGCATTGAATCAGACAGATAACAGCAAGAGAAATGTCAATGCTAATAAGAAGAAAACTAGCAACAAAATAAAGAATAATAATGATACAACTCCAGCTACTTTGGCCAGGCAGATATTGAATAATTTGAATATATTTGGTGAGCACTTCTACATTCGATTTTTTGAGTATGAAGACAATTGTCAAAATGCATGGAAGTTCTGAAAATACTTTACTACACTTAGTAAAGATCAGACATTACAAAACACAATGAGCTTGATTGTTTTTGCTCATGCTCATTGATGGAAAGAGTGAATCATGTTTGTCATTTTTTTCTCTAGGTCACAAGTCAGGTAACAGTGCACCTCAAACCAGCGAAAACAGGATTCTACTAGATGCAGATAGCAGTAGTACAAAATCAGGTAGAAGACCAAGTTTGGATACAGTGTCAACATATCTTAGCCAAGAAAGTAGAGATAGCAGAGCAACAACGTCCACATCTGATCTGATCAACTGTAGCGGGAGTGATGATGGTCTTGTTGAGGATCTGCCTTCTATCATTGGTAAGTAATTTGTTAGTGCAAATTCTGAAATACCTAGGTATCATTACCTTGATTCTTTTTAGTATGAATGACACCTCGTATGGAGGAAATAGCCCTCAAGTGAGGATCTTTCACACAAATATTCAATGTTTGTCCAACAAATTAGATATTCTAGAAACAGTTGCTCTCAAGTTAAATTTAGATATAATTTGCATTTCTGAACATTGATTTGTAAATTCGGAGCTACCAAATGTAATTACACTTTAATATCTCACTTCTCTAGGGCGAGTCATATACATGGTGGTGTGTTAATATATGCAAAAAATAGCGCAACTACGGTAGAAATGCCGTCTATAAAATCGTACTCTGTCGAATGCCACCTGGAAATATGTGCGGCTGGGTATAAAACAGGTAAATCTCATGTAGCGATAATAGCTGTATACAGTCCAGGTACAGGAGATTTTCAGACTTTTGAAGAAAAATTATCTCTTGCTCTAAGTTACGCTTTGAATCAATATAAATATGTAATTCTGCTAGGCGACTTTAATATCAGATATGAATCAGCAGGATCGCTTGAGACTCAAATTTTTAAAGAGATTTTAGATTGTTTCAACATTCAAATAGCAATCAATCAACCAACTCGTATTTTCACAAACATTAATGGCCAAACTTTTGTCTCATCAATAGACTATTTAATTACGAATATTTCATCAGATTTCTATGTAGCCTATGTGCTAAATTGTAATCTTGGGGATCATCTGGCCCATCTTCTTACCCTAAAAAACTTTTCTGCAGTAATAATTAATCCGAAAATCAAGGCCCTAACTCTGCGTAAATTTTCCCAATGAAATATAGAGGATCTTTTGTATTATCTGGAAAAGATTGATTAATCAAACTTATATTGTGAGTCAAATATTGATAGGATGTAAGAAGAATTTGCAAAAACCATTAAATGGTGTTAGGGGGTGTTTAGGCTTTAGGCCTTCATGGTAGTTGAAGTATAAAAAAAACACAATCAGTGGTACACAATTGAGTTAAAACAACTAAAGTCAGAGCTAGATGATATTTTTTACAATTTCACTACATTCAAGACTCATAACCTACGTGATCAAAAAAACGACAGTACATAGCGAAAATAAGAGAGTTTAAATGGAAATACACTTCTCACCTAATACAGTCGGCTTTAAATAAAACTAAAAAAAAACATGGCAACTTATTAATGACCGTTTAGGAAAACTTAACAAAAAAACTGAAATTAAATAGATTGTAGTCGATGATCAGATAATATCAAACAAAAGCGAAATGAGTAACACTTTTACAGATTACTTTTCTAATATATGCAATAAAAAACTTGCTGACACTTTTGGTCAGTACTACCTGGTACTCATTCAGTATCAAATCCATCAAATACTATTTTCGTACCATATATAACGGAAAATGACATAATGAAAACAATAAGTTCCCTGAAGAACAAATCGAGTTTGAACAGCAGAATATTCCCTAAGCTATTAAAAACAGCTCTTGTTCTGCCTCTACATAAAAAAGGTGATAAGGAAAATATTGAAAACTATAGACAAATATAACTCCTGTCAGAGTTTTCAAAGGTTACTGAGCGAACAGTGTACACAATTATCAGTGAATTTGTAGTGAAGTTTAACTTGCTATCTGATGCTCAGCATGGATTTAGACAAAATAGATCTGCAGAGACTGCAACCTCTGACCTTTTGAATTATGTTTATTCGCGATTAGATCAAGGCAACTATGTGGTAAGCATCATGTTCGATCCATCTAAGGTATTTGATATGCTGGATAAAAATATCATTCAAAAAAAACTAGAATTGTTAGGTTTGAGAGGTCATATATTGAAATGGATCGAGTCTTACTTATCTAATAGAAATATAATTGTGAAGATTGATAATCTGTTATCCGATAAATTCCCTGTAAATCTGGGAGTTCCCCAGGGGATCGTATTGGGTCTTCTAATATTTCTGCTTTTTGTAGATGACTTGCCAGACTTCATTTCAAGGGGAAAAGTTACAATGTTTGCCGATGATACTACGATTACTGTATCTGGAAGTTCTGTAGATGAACTACACAAAAACGTCCTAGTTGTATTTGAAAAAATGGAAGTTTGGTGCCAAAAAAACAAGTTGATCCTAAATAAAGACAAAACTACCGCAATCAACTTTCATATTAGAAAAGCCATACACTCAATTGCTAAGACAGCATTAAATTTAGAGCTTGGTTTACAGTTAATGGATAGCGTGAAACTCCTTGGTAGTTGCTTCGATGCAGATCTCTCCTTCAGCACCCAAACTGAGAATGTGTGCATGCATTTAAATAAAGGCTATTATGCCATATTAAATATGACGCAGTATTTAGATAAAAAGAGCCTATTATCACTATACTATGCTCTCGTATACAGCCATTTATCTTATAACATCTTATGCTGGGGTAGATCCACAAGCATTAACAGAGTTTTTGTATCACAAAAACGAATAATTAGATTGTTGTTCAACCTTAGTTTTAGCGAAAGTTGCAAAAACACATTTATTCAAAATAAGCTCTTGACAGTTCCATGTATTTATGTATATTATGTGTGTTAACTATGTAAAGCGAAACATCAACGATTTCAGCACACAAAAAGGAACATCACACCTATAAGACCAGAAATTCCATTTTGAAAGCTAATCGTTTTAGAACTATGGTATATACAAAATCACCCCAGTTTAACTACATCTCGTTGTACAATACTCTACCTCGAGATCTGCGAGTTGTGAGCTATATAGAATTTAAAAATTAAGTATAGAAATTAGACATATTTTTACGCTATAAATGTTCAAAATCAGTAACCACTATGCATTCTATATTTTATCCTATATCTTTTATATATTGTTTTAACAAGTTACTATTTTTCTCTAGTTTTGTCCTTGACCTGCTGAATGAACTTGTATTGTACTTTTTTTATCTTGCTTTTTTAACTTGTTATATCTATGGTGTGGTGTAACAAGCTATGTTAACTCGATACACATTTTTTGTGATATTTTATTGTACCACTTTCTTTTGACATGCCATGTGAACTTTAGTTTGGAATTTGGCTAAATTTACTCCTACTATTATACGAAAAGCTGTCGCCTGTCCTTCTATCTATGCTTCTCATCTAGATGGAACTCTATGATTTTCTTGCCAAATGAAACGTGAAACCCGTATGTGTACCTTTTAAATATTGACTGTTACTATATTTTTGTTTATCTGTCTCCTAAGTGAATGGTATATGAAATTTTTTTGGTCTTCGTATATTTATACGCTCCGGAATCCGGTAATTCTATGCACCTCTTAGCCATGTTCCACACATCATAGATTTACCCATACTTTGCCTTTAAAACATATAATGATAGAGAAATGTTTTCGATCCGCTTACTCCTATCTAAGTCCATCGTCTGGTTAAGCGATCCGGCTTACATGTCTAACCGTACTGACGCGCAAAATACATATACACGGACCTTGCACGAAACGAAAGATAACTCGCCGCAGCGATGCTGCGCAGATGTAGAAAGGGACAACGTTGCCTCATGGACTGTAACTACCAGTAGGACAGGGAAATAATCTCTATGGGCCTGTTTGACTGACTTAATACGTTTAATTTCTCTGTTGTGCATGTCCGCAACTGATTTTTTTTCTCAGAGGATCTAATTACGCTTCACTAATGACGGCGTTGCGTAGGAAGTGCAGTGTCAACCCACCTGACGCCATTTTTAAGTTATAATAATAATAATTTATATCATTATTGAATAGAACAGAAATTTCTATAACAAGGTCATGAAGAAGTGGTGACGGAGTTGAAAAAGTATAAAAACATAGATCTAAACAAAAAACTCCGCCAAGGTGTAGAAACATTTGTCTATCAAAATAGACTTGAAAATAGCTATATTTGATTCATTCCTAATATCATCATCGAGCTTATTAAAAATCTTACATCCCATATACATCGGTTATGTTCAGATCAAGGTTAACTAAGCTGTTCTTTTTGAATTCTGAAGCGATTCATTCACTGATTTGACAGAATCATCTCTGTTTGAAATGTCTCACTTGCAAAACGAATACAACAATTAATCTTTTATGAACTGATGACAGCATTGCGTGACAAGCGCAGAGTCAGTTTGCTTGACGCCAATTTTTGCTTTCGTTTCGGTATGTATTTCGAATTGATTTTGAACTACACATTTTTTCTAGGCATGGACCCTGCAAGCGCAGCAATCTCCCGCTACGTTCGGATTTCGAAACCCTCGGAATGGGCCCCTCGGCAACCGTGCCCCGCCTGCCGTCAGCCCTTAGCCGTTCAATCGGCCCCCGTTGACGTCGTAGTCGCACTCCCCTGCAGCCACGTACTGCACCTGTGCTGCCTCAATGGGGCCCTCAGCGAACAGCGGGATAGCGGGGCCCGGTGCATGTACGCGCAGTGCGCTGTTTGTGGTAGAGTGTATGGGGAGAAGCATGGGAATCAGCCACCTGGGGCTATGGAATGGGGCGTCATCGACAGGTGTCTGCCCGGGTTCAAGGGGTGCAGGTCTATACAGATTGTTTATAAGTAAGTTGATATGAGTAAAACAGGGTACCCCAGAATACGTGGTCAACGTATTTGACTCATATATGGTGATTTTTACGAGTATCCATTACGTTTGTGACATCTTTGTGAAGGGTGTCTTAACAAGAGCGTAGGATTTGAATTTGCCGCCATTTTTTGTACACATGGTATGGTGTTTAGTTGATGACAGCTGTCATGTCCAGACCTCGCGATTAGACGTCAAGGAGCAGTATTCAAATGAGCAACGTTTAATTATTGTTAAAACTCACTACAAAAATTACGCGGAAACTACGTACAATTTTCGGTCGCAATAATGCGCCAAATGAGTCGACAGTTCGCCGTTTGATTACAAAATTTGAGACAAAATTCACGTTGTTGAATGCGAAGACCACTGTTTGTCGCCGTCCTGGTCGGTCCCTCGAAAATATAGTCACAATGCGGGAAAGTGTGACCGAGAATCCAGGCACTTGCATTCGGCATCGTGGCCAAAATTGAACCTTACCAGACCCGCTCTGCAACGAAGTTTGACAAAAGATATGTGCTTGCATGCGTACAAGGTTCAACTGACGTAAGAACTCAAGCCAACGGACCATGCGCAGCGCCGTGAATTCGTTGACTGGGCGCTGGAGCGCCACCAAATTGATGCGAATTTCTCGAAGAAAATCATTTTCTCTGATGAGGCACAATTTCAACTGAATGGCTACGTCAATAAGCCTAACTGCCGAATTTGGGGTCATGAAAACCCTCGTGTAATAATCGAACAACCAATGCATCCGCCGCGAGTTACCATTTGGTGCGCGTTGTGGAGTGGCGGAGTGATTGGACCGTATAAAATGTAACTGGAACTGAGGTAACTGTTAATGGTGCGCGGTATCGCGAAATGTTAACCGAGTTTTTGTGGCAACAGTTGGATCGACTTGATGTGGAGGATATGTTCTTCCAACAAGACGGTGCGACCTGTCACACAGCACGCGAAACAATGGTGTTACTGCGGACCAAGTTTCCAGACCGTGTCATCTCTCGGTTTGGCGATCAAAATTGGCCACCAAGATCGTGCGATCTAACATCAATGGACTTATTCCTCTGGGGCTATGTGAAGGAAAAGGTGTATGCGAACAAGTCACAAACAGTTGAAAACCTTAAAGAAGAGATACGGCGCGTTATCGACGAAATGAAGATATAGTTGTGCGAAAACGTTATCCAGAAGTTTAAGAAAAGACTGACCCTATGCCAGAGGTATCGTGGTGGCCATTTACTGGATGTCCTATTTCATGTTTAATCGCAATTATTCCTCTTGTTGAAATATAAATACCCTCTAAAAAGAAATTGTTTTCCTTGAAAATCAAATCCGGTGCTCTTATTGAGACACCCTATATTAAACGCTGTAGTTTTGGATCGGGTAAAACTCAGGATCGTATTCAGAACTGTTTATATAAAACGTAGTCAAAGTCAAAACTGTATATCTTGTTTGATTCCTACTTAACTTGAAATATAGTCACGATCATTAGTATCCATTTTGTTTGTAGCGTCTTTCTTGCATGCAAAGACCACAATAAAATACGTCTCTGCCTACAGATCTAGCAGTAACAGATCCGACAGAATTGTGTGTCACTTGTCGATATGGGGTATTTATAAATGATACAAGAAAATCGGCTATATGCTGAAACGTTTAACGTAATAGGTACTCGTGAAAAGGACTCGATAACCGAAGTTCCTTCTTATCCCAGTAGATCGAATACGTGACACGAACATTACGTCTTAATTTTCGGTAATGACTTAACGATATTTTTAGAAAGCCTGATTGAATATCATGCAGAAGGAGAAAAAATGTAATTTTGTTTGACATCAGTAGAATAAGGCGTTTCCAAAAAAGCTGTACTATGATTCCGACATACTCCTTCCGCCGTTTTGAATACAGTGCTCTAGATATAAAACTCTTAATTAGCGACAAAAAAAAAACAAATTTTGATAACTCTACCAAATTTCAGGCTTTAGTGAACCGATGGAAACATTATTGAAACGAAGCTGTTTTTTTCGTACAGAGTGCATTGATATTCAAAATTTAAGACTAATAAGTTTGTACAAATTAATCCTTTGAAATAACATTACGCAGTTTCTGATTGAATATTTTTTTGCAGTATTCAGTCTGGTATTCAAGGTCCAGATCATCCTAATCCTGGCAGGGAATACTATGCAGTCGGTTTTCCTAGAATCGCTTACTTGCCCGATAACCCGAAAGGCAGACGAATTCTACGATTGCTGAAAGTTGCCTGGCAGAGAAAACTTATATTTACAGTTAGCAGGTAATAAGTAATATTGTTTATATCAGAATGCAGAAGTAAAAAAATGCCCAATAAAACAGAAAAATATATAGGCCAAATCAAACTTCATCATGAAGACTAGAGATTCGACGTTAAACTGTGTAAGTGATACACGTAGTTAAAGCCAATCCTGTCGCGAAGGTTGGTATGGCTCTCGGAAATCTAGTGGTCATAGATAATCTGCGCATTGAAAGATGCCAACAAAACCTGCCACAATCTTTGTGTGCATTTCATTTACGTTTTGCCATTCTTTGTAGGTTTACTGCTTCGTGGTTTATTAATATTTTCCGAAATTTCTGCTTGCAACTGATCCGAACTGTCACAATTGGGGTTGTTTGCAGTCATGATGGCTGCAACTCAGAGAGAGAAAGGCCAGATGCGCAGACTCTGAAATTCATTTTCTGCTCAGTTTACTGACTTAATGGTTAACATTTTTGACTTCACCCCCACTCTATGAGTTCAAACTCCTATCTCTAGTCTTCGTGAACCACATATATGTTTTAATTTATGTTTATTGTACGATGCTTCGGCCACCACGGGGGCCTTTTTCAAGCACAATGACAGTTAATGGCATCCAAGCTCCAATTGCGTTGGGAACGGAAATGTCTACCCCCAGGTGAACCTGGACTTTTATAGTTTTGCGCGATGCCTTCTTAAAATCCTGATGGCTTAGCGCGATCTCGTCATGCTGTCGCAAGACACTGTATAGGAATGAGGAAAGGAAAAAATAAACGAACTGTCACCTGAAAGACAGGTAAACAGAAATACAGTAAAATCTCCTTTTGACGGACACCAATAGGACTGAGTGTCCGTTCAAGAGGGGTGTCCATATAAAAGAAATACAACCAAAGTCATGTTTTTAATGAATATATTAAAGAAACTGGGACATTTAAAATGTATATGTATATAAATGTTTTTATAATAAACAAAAAAACTTCAAACTCAAGAAAAAAAGGTTTGTTACCTTTAGATATACAGGCTGTTTCAGAACTATAGGATCAAACTTGTAGGGATTATTCAATGTAACAGTAGAAAACATTTGAGTACAGGGACCCATAACCGGCGCTTATGTGTTATCTTTAAAACCGATAACAGAGATTGTTTTTTGTAGCTGCATTCCATATCGCCTTAGTCGTGCTATCGTATTTGTGAAGTTTGCAAGAATTTAATAAAAATTAGTTGTTGGTAAAGGAAAACTTTACCAATCAAGAATTGGCGGATATGCATTTGGCATACGGAGCAACAAGCTGCCATGCACGAGCAGCAGCGCGGTTGTATCAAGAACGTTATCCCGAACGACAGCATCCGGGATACAAAAAGTTTATTGCTATTCATCGGTGGCTCTCCGAGACAGGCATGTTTAAAACCAACATGCATGATACTGGTGTTGCTCGAACCTTAAGAACGGTCGAATTTGAAGAATAGGTCCTTCAGCGAGTTGCAGGCGAACCATCAAGTAACACACGAAAAATTGCTGAGGATATGAATACGAGTAACGCTTCCATCTGGCGGGTGCTACACGAGCAACAACTTTATCCTTACCACTTCCAGAAAGTTCAAGGATTGACTGCAGCCTATTATCATCCTAAAGTTCAATTTTGTCAATGACTTCTTCATCAAATCGCTGCACAACCAAATTTTTTACGCTATGTTTAATGGGCCGATGAAGCCTCTTTCACAAGAGACGGTGTTTTTAATAGTAGGAATAGCCACGTTTGGGGCAAAGAAAATCCTCATGCAATTTTTCCTAGAAAACATCAGCAACATTGGTCTGTCAACGTATGGGCAGGCATTGTTGATGATTATTTGATTGGGCCATACCTTCTACCGGAACGGTTAACAGGACCTATTTACCGGCGTTTCTTGGAGAAAGTTCTTCCAGAACTTCTTGAAAATGTTCCAGTGAACGTTCGACAGCAAATGTGGTTTCAGCATGATGGAGCGCCGGCTCACTTTGCTGTACAAGTACGTGAGTATTTGGCTCAGCGGTTTGGGCACCGTTGGATTGCCAGAGGTGGAGCAGTTTCTTGGCTTCCTAGGTCACCCGATTTAACGTCGCTAGATTTTTTTCCTGAGGGGACATGTAAAGTCTTTGGTTTACGAAACTCCAGTAGAAATAGAGCAATACTTAATTGGATGAATTACAGCAGCATTTGAAATCATTCAAAAACGAGTATCAAATTTTTAGTCCGCCGAAATCATGTGACACGTTTAAATCAGTGTATTCAGGTTGGAGGAAGACATTTTGAACAATTGTTGGGATGAAATCGTGTACAAAAGGCAAGAATTAAATGCATTAAATCCTATTTAGGCAATTCATCGTCTTTCTAAACTTTAACGCGTCTTGGGGCCGTAGTGACAGTTTTCCGGATATGAGTCGCTATACTCAAATGTTTACTTCTGTTACACTGAATAACCCCTAGAAGTTTGATCCCTTAGTTCTGAAACACCCTGTATAGAAAGTATGTACATACATATCGTCGGAGAGCTAGAAAACGAAAATCAGCAATAAATAAGATTGAAAATGACATACTGATTTCTGAGTCTGCACGTTGCTGTTTTTTTGTTAGACTAAAATTATGTAGAACTTTGTTTTGGGTTGGTTTAATTTTGTAAAAGTAAAATGAGTTTAAAAAAAAATATGTTTTGTACACGCCACTTCGTGATGACTCGTTTCTTTTATTTATCAAAAAAATGTTTCTATGATATCTTAGTAAGTCCGTTATTCAAAGGTTTTAACGTCGAGTTACTTAGGCCGTCCTTAATTCGCTGTTTCAATACTAACCTATCATAATGGTGGTTTTGATGGCTGAATTTAAAAAACAGTGCCATAGGTTAATCCTGTTTTACCATTATTTCCATCATCTCTGTCTATTTTATTTTGTTTTCTGATTCACTTTCTTTTACCGCGAACATCCGTAGTTCCTTAACATTTTGTTTAAGTCGACATTCACAATATTTATAGGTTATGTTTACTTATTATTTGTAGACACATGCGCCGGTACGTGCTGTATAATTATCGGTCAAATACAGAAAACCAGTTTTAACGCAGAGGCGTAAATCTATTTAAGCCGGTACGTAAAAGTTGTTTTCGGAATTTCATCACTTACGCAATTTTTCAAGAATTTTATTTCCAAGGAACGAATTGATATACAGTTACGTCACTTCGCGAGGTGAGAGACTACAAAAAAATATGTGAAATTACGGCGTAGCTCGATTTTAGGTTTTTTGACATTTACGCCTGTTTGTGTGAAGACCGATGATTATAATATGTTTGTACATATATCTATAAATGTAAATAAAAAGTCAGTTTAAGGACCCAAAAATTCATATATTGTCGTTTGTCTCCTCTTTTTCTTTAAAATGGCGTGCTGAAATAGTATTTCTAATTTAGAAAGAAGCTCCCTCTGTACCTCCCTGATTTTCGACAAAACTTTTGAGCCACTTGATCAGGGTAATAGCTTTACTGTAATTAGGAATAGCTTCTGTTGGTACTGGAACCTCATGAACATCAGAATCTTTGGAAAGTTCTTGTATTTCAACTGGATTTTGAATTTCTTGCCCTGAATCTGGATCTTCAACATACAAACTTTCATCTAGGTTCAAAAAATCATAAAGATTTTCATTATCAGTCAATTTCAATTAATTCTTATTTTAAAAGAAATCAAGAAGTACATTAAGTGGTAAATCATCTTCTGGGTCAGGTATATCAGGCTCATTAACTGGTCTTCACTTTGCAGATTTTGATGCTTAAATCCTGCTTTAAGAAAACAATTTTGCACTGTTTCTTTGGTTACTTGGTCCATAGGGGTTTTTGCCAAATAGACTGAATCCAAAGCGGTAATTTTCTTTATTAACTCAAAAGCTGTAACAGCAGTTTCAATGTTGAGAACTGCAATAGCCATACTCGCAACCTCAACAGAAAAAAATAAGACAAGGTGCTTCTTTTTATTTGTTTTTTTGTCCGGTTAGGAGAACATGTTTTCGTGTCCGCGTCCGTTCAAGAGAATGTCCGTCCAAGAGAGTTAATACAATGCAAATTATATGAGAGTCGGTCGGGACCATGAGAAATTGCCCGTTCAAAAGAGATGTCCGTGTTGGAGGGGTGTCCACGAAGGGGAATTTCACTGTATACTGTCATTAATTGTCATTGAACTTGAAATATGCCACCGTGGTGGCCGAGACGTCATACAAGAAATTGAAATTAATTTTATTCGGCCAGATAATGGAGTCCTATGGTCATGAAAACCACAGGAAGTTTCAGGAATTACATTGAAAATATATCTTCACTCAAGAAAAATCAGTACCCATTTTTAGTTGACAAAACAATAAATGCATTTTTTCTAGCACCAAATCATGAGTCGTATTTGCCTCCGAACTTTCTATTGACTGTTATATCATTTTTTTTAGGTCGCACACTACTGGTTGCGAGGACGTGGTATCCTGGAACATTCCGCACAAGACAGAAATAGGTCCAAGCAACAACAGTCACAGTTATCCAGATTCTGGATATCTGACTAGGGTTGTAAGAGAACTTGAAGCTCTGGGTGTTGTAGACGAGCATGCTATCTCCAAGAGGTAACATTACCTAAAAAGAATTTTTGTTTTTTTGAGGGGTGTCTTTGTGCAAAAAGTCCAGAAGCTAGGTTGAGAAAACACGAGCGTTTGTATTGTGTCTATTATTCCTTAAATTAACTTCAATTAGATTTTAGTGAGATTCATCGTTTGTCGTCAGATGTAGTGCTTGCCTTATAATCATAAGATAGAGTTTAGCCAACATCTGTTTTTGTATTTGAAAACAAAAATGAACTTATTACTTTAAAAACGAGTGCAATATTCCTTTGGAAACTGTTCGCATATTAGTCTAATACCCGTTTTTCATTACAATAAATCGACGGAATTCTTCATAACTTGATTCAAAAGTATTAAACAGGAATTTGACGTCACATAAATCCATGAAGGCCTTCGTGGATTTCTTCATGCAGTTCGATCTTGTTCTAATTTTTGCCAAGTTGGACGTCAAATTATATGGCGCCAACCTTGTTTTCCGTTCCGTTTTAATGAACAACTTTTCAATTCAAGCATAGTACTTTGATAGAACTTATTTATAGTATTTAACAATATGGTTTGTTTATGAGATTCTCCTCAAAATCAAAACCACAATACATATAAAAACTCAAAATGTGTCTAGCAAGAATTTGGAGTGTGGTTGGCAGCACTATGTGCTGTCAGATAATTTATGTAGTCCAATTGTATTAGCAAATGTTTCCGAAATAATTGTAAAGTCTGTTTTTATTGGTGCAAGTTGTTCAAGGAGGTATTTAAAACATAGACGCATAAAATTTGTGGAAAAACTTTTTATTTGACAACAAAGAATGAGAAAACGTGTTTTTTGGGATTAAATCGGAAGGGTTGGCAGTAATGAGAGATCCTATTAATAGTAGAAATGTTATGGCAGGTTTTGGCACTTGTTGGTAATGCGACGATTATTTCACTCAACCACTTGAAATTCTTCAAATCCGTAGGATTCATACTTCTAAATAACAACAAAATTGGAATATATTTGTGAAATAGTTTATTGAGAATTTCTAATTGTTTATCCCAAAACACCTGTTTTCCGGCCATCACTACTAGTTTATTGAACATTATACATTGTTTGTTGTACCTTGCCGACATGAATCACAAACCATTCCGAAAGAAAAATGTTATTTTTTTTCTGCAAAACAAATTCAAATATTTCGTATTTGTGAGTAATTGAACAGATGCGCTACGATATTCGAAAAACATACGTTACTATACACATTTCAAAACAAAGCGGATGTGTCTATCATCTTTTGTTGCGAATTACTCACAAATACGAAATGTTTGAATTTGTTTAAAAGAAAAAACGTAACCCAACCTTTTTTGCAGAAAAATAACATTTATCTTCCGGAATGGTTTGCGATTCATATCGGCAAGGTAAACTAGTGTATTTTAATAAAAATTGCCCTTTGAGCTAACCCTGTATATTGCTCAATAAACTAGTAGTGATGCCCTGAAAACAGGTGTTTTGGGATCAACAATTAGAAATTCTAAAACTCCTTGACCAATCTACTCCACTTTTGTTGTGGTTATTTAGAAATACGAATTTGAAGATTTTCAAAAATTTATGAGAAGCCATATCGTCGCATTACCGACAACTGCCAAAACCTGCAGTTTGCTTCTGTTTTAGACCAAAACTTTTTTGCTAATAGACGGATCTTTTTACTTGTGGTCTCATTTTGTAGGTCTCATTAATACCTAAAAATCTTTTATGAAGAGTTTTTTCGTTCCTGTCTACGCTTTCGATTGAATCCCAAAAAACAAGTTTTCTCATTATTTGTTGTCGAATAAAAAGTTTTCCCACAAAAATTGGTGTATCCTTTTATATGCGTCCATGTTTTGAATACCCCCTTGAACAACTTACAGCAATAAAACCAGACTTTACAATTATTTCGCAAACCAGGGGTATTTTCGTGTAATATGATTAGACTAATGAGTTTATCCAACGATATAAACGCTGCAAAACATAAATCCTGATGACCTTGAAGAAATCCATCTGAATAAATTCGTGAACAAATTGTTGATGTAAAACGGGTATAAGATTTGAATTAGTAACCGACCTTCACCCATCTGTTTAATGAATGAAGAGTATTTTTATCAAAAGTACGAGTATCATAAAAATATATCGCGAGTGGGTTGATTTGTTGAGACTATGATAATTTTCGATCATTAAACAGGTGGGTAAGGTTGTTTCTAATTCGGATCTTCTACTGTATTGGGCGCCAATAATAGTAAAGTATTTTTCACGAGTATCCATTATGGTAGAATAACAGCTGATTAGTGATATATAAAAACTCCCCATATCGACAAATGACTTAATTCTGACGATTATTTTGTACTTGAACTATATTATTTTGAAAACTTGATTGAAGGGCACTCATACGTAACGACAATGTTTTCGAGACAGAGACACACAACTAAAAAACGTATGTCTTTGAGCGTTCACACAGGGGTAGGTTGCATGTGTATGTATGAGGGAGTTGGAGATATGTAAAGGGATACTGGTAGGTCTTACTTTGACCCGCCAAGAACGGTGACTCTAACTATACAAAGGTGTCACTTGCTGATCAGTTGTTCACCTCAGTGTTGTATCCTTATAACTTTATGCTCCCTGTAAAATATGTCAGTGTCATGTATTTGAATCAACACTGCAATGTCAAGTCCGCTGGGGCAATGTAAGCACATGTTAGTCGTTAGTTAATAAATCCTAAATTGGGATTAATCCTTCATTTATTACGTGTAATACACAACACTCAGTAGACATCGAAACGTAATGGATACTCGTGTAATAATAATATTACGGTCTTCAAAAACCAAAAGTTCGAAAGAGAAAAGGTTAAAATCGCTTTAAAATAAACTCAAAATACTGTTTATGGTCATGTAGAGCAAGGTTTTAACCTTAATTTAGATACTTGGCGACCTCAAAAATTATAATTTTTAAGAGAGTTTTTAAGCATTGAATATATCCCCTGGTAAGCCAGATCAAATTTGTTTACACATTTTCCCAATAAATTACAATTGTATTGCTCCGACAAATTTGTTTCATGCTTTTTTAGATTATTCCATTAATTTTTCTCTAATGCTGACCATTTTCGAATTACACGCGATTGTAGTGCCTGAAAAGCCTTGAAAATGGGTATATTCAGTGCTTGAAAACTTTTTTATAAATTATATTTTCGAGGCCAAAATTGGCATACTGGTTTTCGCAGACTGAACTTCAGCACCTTACCTTGATTCACTGACAATGTAATATTTTACATTTGATCATTTCAAAGTTTTTTGTAGTTGAAACAATAAGAACTATATGATAAGTTTAGGTAAAGAACAAATCAAATTTTTATATTGTGGGCCTATTGTACATATATTTATATTATATTAGAGTAAAACGTTCTTCTATATTGAATGATTCTGTATAATGATACAGGTTTCCTCATTCCTGGGCAGCTATTAATGTGGTAGCCTTTTATATATAAGAATGTTCAAAGTTTAGAAATATATATATGGAAAAATAAATTGGATACTGTTATATCAATACTCCAAGTAGATACAGTTAAAATAAGCAATATTGTTCCATAATAGTGATTAAATCGATACTTTCCAGTATTATTATAAATAGTGATTAGTTTCCTTTTGCCATATTATGTGTATATATAAGATCCATAATAATATTAGCAGTAATAATACTGTCTTCCTATAAACAATAAACGTTTTATCTCATTTTGCTTTGTGATAAATTTATTTTTGTTTGCAATATTTTGGCTTTAATTTCTATGAAATCTTGGATTATGCAGTCTGTAGGATACATCTAAATTTGTAATGTATATAGTTCTTTCAGCTGGTATAAAAAGCAGAAACTTTCCTGCCATTTCGTCTGTCATAGCAGCATATTTCAATTTCTGGAATATGCAGTAAGTTAAAAATGTGAAAACCTCCTCAACAAAAAGGGAAACGATATATTCCTGACATTTAAAATTGTCTTTTAATTGATACTTACATACTTTCAGTTAGGTATGAATTGAATAAATCTATTTCCTACAGATTGACACTTTTTATAAAAAATATAGATTTACTTTTTGTTGGTCATATTGAGTTTATTATCTATTATGATGATGATTTTAAGATCCTATATTTTATTGAATATGTATTTATTCGTTATTTAATATGATTTAGTACAAACTAGCATTTAAATTTACTTTCAAGTAGTATACTGGAGACTAGTCTCCGAATTAGTGCTCAATAATCGAATCACTTATAAGGTTTGTATTTTTTTAGCAATATACGCATTTAACTTTAAGGATCTTTGTTTTATTCTGATATCTCCACAAGAGAACGCATCTAGACTGACCCAGGATCAAGGAATACAGTCCCTCAAAAAGTAAGAAAATTACGCCCACTCAAAATTCATGCACATTGTCTACCATTAAAAGTTTTATAAAACCAAATTGGTGGATTTTTACTTCAATTTTGAAGTTCCTATTTTTTAGTCTACAGCTTAAATGGCTTGATGGATAGTGACACTATGAGATGTCTCAAGATTTGTCTGTCAAAATGGAATGGGGTACACTAAAATTTTATAATATCTAAATCGCGCAATTTTATCGAAAATTCCAACTTTGAAGTTTATTTTCTATGGGCTTAAGAGATAGATTTTGACATATAGAGCGTCTCTAGAATTGTCTGGACAATGCAAGTAACACTAGGTATGCTAAAATTTTGTAAAATGATAAAGGCATATTTTAAACGTAAACTTCAGTTTTGAGATTTCTATTTCACGGACCACAGCCCAAATTGCATCATGGATTTTGACATTTGAGGTGTTCTTAGATTCGTCTTGATTGCACAATTGAGTCTTCATTCTTTTCAGGTACTGCAGTAGGACTGTTTATATTTTTTTAAAATGGCGCTACGTAGATTAACTCTATACTTATCGCGCCTTCTAGTTCAATTTGGCATGTAGCTTAAGAGCATCAAAAAGACGTAGGACTTAGAGCTATTTGGGATTTTCATAAAAAAAAACCTCATATTGCAACAATGACCGTGCCCATACTCAGTAGCCTCATTTCTTTGGAACTCTGGTGTAAAACTGTTTCTCAACATTTTTTGGTAACTAATTATAATAGATCTTCGTACGTACTTATATACTAGTAACCTCATTAAATTCCATTCCAAGCATAATGCTCGTATACAGGGTGCTAATTAAGTATGTACCATAAATTTAACAAACCATTATTTGAGTTAGTTTAAGACAAAAAGTTCATATAAACAGGTCCGCAAATTCTTCGTTCTCAAGATACAGGGTGTTAGAGTTTGAAAAATGGTTTTTCGTAAATTTTTTGAACTTTCTTTGCCTAATTTTGTTGTACACGTATTGTTTTGTAAGATTTCAGTTGAAATTATGGCGTCAACGTTACCAGATGTTTCTGGTGTATCCATTGATGATCTTACATTTTCTTCAGGCGAAGATGATTTGATTATATTAGAAGTAGAAAGCGACGTGTTCATTGGATCCATCCATACTTTGCAAATAATAAGAAGAAAAGAATGTTTGTTGCTGCACGTGAACTTTCAGAAGGTGATAATAAATTCCGAAGTTTTTACAAAACGATACGTGTTCGTGACGATGCGTGAGTAGAACATCACAGGTCTCGTAAGCGTTGCGTCGTAACGAAACGACTAAGCTTACGATGCGTGTGCGAAGGCCCTTAGGAGAGTCCGCAATTCGATGCTGAGGCGGCTAGACGGTTGTATTGAAGCCGAAGGGGGCCATTTCCAACATTTATTTTTGTGAAATTTGTAAGACTAGATGTTGATATTTAGTATTTGTTGTACCATAATTAGTAATAAAAAATTATATATAAAAAAATAGTTTCCAAAAGAAAATTATTCCATACTCCTTGTGTGTTCCAGGGATATGCAATTAAGTGGGCTTTTTTCTCGAAAAAAATTCAAGTTATAATTCTATTTGTTAAATGACAAAAGTGAGTGGCGTACATTTTTTTGTCACAAATATTCGTTCAGATCCCGTTCCTTGACGTCACTGGTCTTAATAAACTTCATCAAGTTAAGCTCCTTAATGTTATAAATACCACCGCCAAATTACAACAAAATTAAGTGAAGGATATTTAAAATATTTACGATTTTTTTTTATTTTCAACACCCCGTATCTTGAGAACGAAGAATTTACCGAATATGTTTATATTTTTGTCTTAAAATTCCTCAAAGAATATTCTTTTAAATTTATGGTACATAATCAACACCCTGTATATGAGATCGCTCCCAGGATGCACATACGAGACGTCACCGCACCGCGTCGGCACTCATCTATCTACATAGTTTTATCACTCGAGTCACCTACCATTACGTACAAGAGCGGCGCGACCGATAAATACGCGATCCATCTGCTGAAAGAAATTTACAAGTTTGTAGGGCGAAATGTATGATGTGTGAAATATGTCTGACAGGTGCATAAAATTACCGAGATTAGAAGAGTATAACATCGCAAAATTGCAATACACTCTCCCCGACACCCCATTATTTAATCCATAAAATGTTCTCAAAAACGATCACCTTCTTTTAAAACGCCGACATGGTTTTCGTGAGGTACATACATCTCATATAACATCCAGAAACCATAATATCTCATTTCAGAATTTTTTCGGGATTACAATACTTCACCGCCACTAGGCGTTGGAAGTGAAAATGTACATGTCTCTTCCCTTACGGGCATTTGAGGGGTGAGGGGGGCGGTGAGGTAGGAAGCAGCAAAAATCAGATATATGATGTTGGATTCTTTCGCATAGTGACTATGACTAAGGCCCGTATCGTTAGTCGTCCCTACAATTGTAGGGCGCGTTTATGGCCTCCTTGATTGTCATAGTTTTCTACTTCTCCGTGTCAGCGCTCCATTTTGAGGTTTCACAAACATCTATTATCTTCTGTTGTGGATTTCAGGAATTACGAAGTGCTATACGTTCACATCTTTGACTTTTTTTACGCCTTTCTCTAGGGGTTTTCATTTGTTGTATATGTATATATATATATGTATGTATTTATGTGTATATGTGTAAACTCGTACATGTGTGTGTGTGTAGGCGGTACTATATTTGTGGCGACGTGTGTCTTACATAAAACTCTACTGTGGCTACTGCTGAAAATTGTGGCGACTTGCACACGTCGCCACAGACATTTTATGAAATTATTCGCTACTGGCTCATTTCAACCAATGAAATCGCTAGTTGACGAACGTCTGCCTGCCAGTCAATTGTGATCCTCAAGCATTCTTACCGTTGGATCAATTATTCTGCGCAAAAACCTGAAAAGTGTGTAAGTCGCCACAATTCGGTTTCATGAACAGTGCTCATACACACAAGATTGTGGAGACCATTTATTTTGCGACACGAGCGCCTCTTACTGAAACAATTTGGAATGATTTCACTGTTGCAGTTGTGTTTAATTTCTCATTTAATAGGAGAGAACACGTGTTATTAGTTCTGTGCGTGTTATGATTTATTATAACTTGTGGCAACCTCAGGTAAGTTGAGCTATATATTATTTATTTTCCAAGTAGTCAGGTATATCTTGATACATTTGTACAAATTAATTAACCACATCATATGTGGTAGGAAAATAATAGTGATTGTATATCTTGCAAATGGAGGTTAGGTCAGACGCGGTAAAATGCCTTCTGTTAAAAGTCATAACGGTTTTACCAAATTAACCATATTTTTTGTCTCTAATACGTATTTATAGAGAGAGAGAGAGCTCATTGTGATGGTTTCATCATGTACAAATTTCCAAAATGTAATACCCGAATGATGATTCATACAAAAGATCATATGTCTGCAGGTAGGGATGGTTTTCAACACCAATAGTTTATTGGTTTTGGACACAGAATAACGTTCAGTGAAGACGAAAATTTTGAGAATCACTTAATGATTTTCATGTGCATTTCGGAAAATGGATTATTGAATGTGTATTTTGTAGTGATGAAAGAACAGGATGGTATACACAATTTTTCCACTTTTAAATACCATTCAAAGGAACAGACTATACGCTCTATCTCGCGCGTCCGCATCCACATACAGCCTATCTCGCTCGCACTTACGGGAATGAGATTTTCGAAATTTTCCACAAGACGAAACCTTCACAATGGTCTGGCTCCCTAATGTCACCTTTTTACGAAATTACAACGGTTTTGTCAAAGAAAGTTGACTTAATACTAATGCATCTTCAACATGGGCTGGCATCACCTCAACACAATACAATACAGTGATATTTTATTAAATTTTCAAATGAGTTGAAGTATGATAACATTTTTTTATCAACAACTTAAACAAAGTAAAACGCATAATGCAGACCGATGTTGATCAGCCTGCTCACCTGCCTTCGATTTATTTATTAATGCACAAGTTCACAAAATCTGCTAATCAATCTGTAGTATTGATCTTTTGATCATGGAATCTTGGTCCAATAGTATAAAGTGCTAGACTGGCCATTTATTGTTTGAATCAAAGCGCGACACGGTCAATACTGTCACTTAGTAGGGCGGCCAATTTTCAGGGTTAAAAATGTAGATTGGGATTAATTGGCAAATGATGATTTCGAGTTGCAATAAATATTAGGTATGATAATGTGCTTTGGTATCTCATATCTTGTATGGTACGGTTGCACGATGTTTTTCATACTGGTGTCGCTCCCAGTTTAAAGCTAAGCATTGCATCTTTTACAGTATATTCATCTTATTCATGATGTTATCAAGAACAAAAAGGATGGTGACCATGGCAAGGAACCAAGATAACCTGCCTTGTGAGTGTAGAATTTTATTTTCTATATTAGAATGGTGTGATAAACTTGTATGGCAGCTCTCTCGTCTTTACATGTTCGCTTTGTTTCTATTTTATTTTAAATGATGCCAATATTAACCAAAATAAGTTGACATACAGAGTAATGTTTTAGTTTGTGCTCGGTCGATAACTCCCTTATTACGCATGGTATCTAAAAACGTTAATTACAATAGATGTGGCTAACAGTACTTCATACTTAAAATATTTTCATTTCTAGAGGGTGATTCATAACTACGTCGTGACCCAATTTTTGTTTTCTGTAGTGAAAAGACCCACATTTTATGGCAGATTTGGATAAGCCCTTCCAAACAAACCAAGTTGATTTAATATATATTGCGGTTTTATTTTTGAATTGTTGATATGTTGGAAAATATATCAACAAAAATACTAAGCTTTAATAACTCGCATCTCCGCAACTGTTATAGCTAGAGTATTGAACTCTTAGTCACTAGAATTTTATATCATATTGTGTTTCCATCCATATACTTTTCTCTCTCACTCTTTCAATTCTCTTTCACAATTTTTTTGATATTGGACCTAAGGGAGCTTGTACGACTGGTTTATGACTTACCGCTAACCTTTTTTCAATGTGAATAACTAATATTACATTGACTTTCAAAATAAGAAATAGCATTGAAATGGTAATGACACATTGTTAGAATTTGTGTATTTTTATCGACAATTAAATCTACCAAACCTTATGCATTGAAGTCGGACATTCAGGAAGGTGTCCTTGTGTTTTTAGTAAACTAAAAACCAGTGATACAAACACGTATTAGACCTATATCAGAAAAAAGCGTGTAACGTGTAGAATCAAAAGGTATGAAAATATAGTACACAAAGGTTATCTTTAACTCATAAACTAGTCATACAAGCCCTATAAGCCTGATTAAAAAAATTGCGTATTCGACCATCCTGCATACATTATAAAAAACACCAGTAAGAGTAAGTAGGTACAGACAAAACATAGAATCATGAAATTTCTCTGACGAAAAATTCAGTTCTCCAGTTATAAGGGCTATAGCTTTTTTTCGATAAAATGTCCAGTATCTCAACAATTTGAAAAAATGACTCTGTAGTATATAAAATTACTTCGTTTCAAATGGCCTATCCAAACCTGTCATACATTGTATAGAAATATTTTTTAAGTTAGGAGCATACTGCTATACTCTCCCTGTATATCATAGTTTTTCAAAATTTGGTAGGCCGTCGCGCCTACAGTGAGTCGAAGAGCGTCTAATTCATTCACCAATAACATTAAGTTGATACATATGCAAACAACCAATGTTTTTTAAGCCGTTATATTATTGTCTTACATCTCGTAACTTGCTAAATCAGTCCAGCTTTTATTGAATTATATCTATCATTGTAGATCAAGAAAATTACTCTGTCTACTCAGAGGATAAGACTGAAACCGAATACCTTCCGTCCACTAATTACGGTTCCTCCGCGGAAACACCGATAACAACTACAATTTACCCTGAAGTGGATCGAAAAAGAAATATGTTGAATCCAATATTTGACAATCCTTCAAAGGCTGACGAAAACGAATCGGATGGAAATGTCTACTGGGACCCAGCGAGGGGATTACTGAGTATGCCTTTAAGCCCTTTGAAAGGAAATGAACGAGTAGAGAATTGGCTGCAAACCCCTCAAAACGATGCCCTTAAATCTGTAGAAACCAGCTGTGAAGATAAAAAAAATACACAATATACTGGAAGCGTAGAAGGGGTCAAGTCAGACACTATATTGAACGCTGGGAAAAAAATTGAGATAATACAAAATATTATTTTGAACTCTGATAATACTCGCAATATATTTTTACCTGCGGATGAAGTCAAAACCGTGAAAGAAGGGGCACGACGTGGTGAAAGCCTTCAAAAGGGTCAGAAAGCAGAACTGACGGACATAGAAAAGCGAACCCATTTTGAAGACGTTATTCCTAGACAAACAGATTTATCCGAGGAAGAAATTGTAATAAATACCGCAGAAAAGAAGGAGGGTAAGAGGTTCAGGAATAAAGTGCATTCATGTTATTTTTGTATGAAGCTGTTCCAGAATGTGCCAAGACATTTCGAAACGATTCACTCATCTGAAACAATAGTTGCCAAGGTATTGGCAATGGAGAAGAACTCCAAAATAAGAAAGAATGCCTTCGCAGAGTTGATACGGGTAGGTGACTTTAACCACAATTGCGAGGTTTTGTCACTAAAAAGAGGAGAGTTGATCCTAGTTCGGCGACCCACCGAGCTAGAGGCTAAGTCTCTATCTTACAGCGATTATGGACCCTGTCCCAAATGTTTGGGTTTTATGCTAAAAAGACACCTCTGGCACCATACCCGAAATTGCGAGCTTCAATGTAATGGAGAACCAAATGGTAGCAAAATGGTTGTTGCAGAGAGTAATGCAATTCTGAACGAAATATTTGGTAAACAGCTTTCTAGAGAATTTTCATTGGAGATCCTTGGGAAGATGAGAGAAGACGATGTTGGAAGATGCTGTGTTAATGATTCGCTTATAATAAAATTTGGCGCTCTCATGTTTGAAAAATACGACGTCACTCAAGGGGCTCTTATTCGCCAATCAATGCGTCAACTAGGTAAGTAAGCTTTTTGCTGTTGTAATGCTGTTTAAATGAGTATGTCGTCAACTTAAATACCTTTGACATAAATAATAAAATAATTGTTCATGAAGCATGAAGCAGTATTTAAATAAAATTCTTCTGTTTTTTCCAAATTAAAGGTGGGGATGCTTAATTATATAAACTATATGTGAAAAGTAGCATAAAAAGTATTGTCTCCTCTTCTAAATTCTATATCATGCTGATAGAACTCTCCATGTCTTTTTACCACATACATTTTTCGGATACCACGTTTTAATTTGAAAATGTCCACAGTGGTGGCCCAAATTTCAGTAAAAAGTAATTTATAAATATGTAGTTTCATTCGGTTGAAAATTCATGGAGTAAGTAGAATATCGCTTGTTCATTAGGTTGCTTTCCCAACGCGGCATCAAAAAATAATGATGTTGCAAGGTTGCATATTATTTGCAATTGTATCGAAAAATCACAATTACAGGAAGGCTGTTATTAACTTTGAATAAGGAGAACGGGACCCAGCAGAATCTCTCAGAGTATATAATTCCCCAAAAATTTGATCAAATCGTTAAATCCACGAAAATACTTTGTGTTACTCACACCGACAGCGTTAAGAGACCCGAGTTTGATACACCATCCTTAGCTCTGAAAATTGGATACTCTCTCAAAAAGTGTGCTGCAATACAGAGAGGTGTTGCACTTAGAAATGGCGATCTTAAGAAAGATGAAATTGTAAAAGCGTTTTTAAACCTTCTGGAGATGGAATGGGCATCACGCATATCTTCCAATGCTCTTAATACTTTGTACAGCCGAAAGATGAACAAAACTCAACTACTACCTATCACTGAAGATCTGTTAAAGCTTAACACATTCATTAGTAACTCTATCAAAATGTACAAGGAACGCCTACAGACATTTTCAGATTCCGAAAGCTGGAAAATGCTAGCGTATTGCTTACTGGCAAGAATAATACTTTTTAATAAGCGCAGATCTGGGGAAGCCGCAAGAATAACTATAGATAGCTACAACTCAAAACCTCAATGGAGTGAACAATCCACGACTGAGTTGAAAAATTCCCTTACACCATTTGAGGTGAAACTTGCCGAACGATTAGCGGTAGTAGAAATTCCTGGGAAAAGGGCCAAGAAAGTACCAGTTCTTCTTACGGATGAGGTTAGGGTAGCGCTCGACTTGTTAATATCAAAAAGAACAGATTGTGGAATATCTGGTAATAACCCATATATATTTGCTTGCTCGAAGAATTCGACTCAATCCTTAAGGGGGCATGATTGTCTTTCGAAGATGTGCAAGCTGGCTGACTTGAGAAATCCTGAACTGATTACAGCTACTAAGCTAAGAAAATATGTGGCTACCGTATGTCAGGTATTTATGTTATAAGAAAAATGTCATACATTATCTCAACCATTTTATGCAAAAGTCGATTGAATTCATTATATTGCTTTTCGGACACAATGAGCAGATTTTACTTTCAGTTTTAGTAATAATGCATTATAGCTGAATGCTATTCAAACAAATTTTACTTCCATACTACACTATAAAAACGATTTTTAAATTTTCAAAAACTACAGCACCTCTCTAACCACCCATGTGGGAGTCCATTGTATTTATGAACTGTGTGCAATAAATATTGAATCATGTTAGATACCTAACATTGATTTTGTATTATTGAAGTAAGGATAAATTTTGATATTGTGAGATGAGTGGCTAATACAAAGCTCAATCAATCCGGAACCAATTTTACATACCCGCTACCTAACTCACAGCATCGGAATCCATCACCAACTTGACTTTAGTATTACTGCAACACCCCACGTTATCTGCATTTTAATTTTTTCTTGATCTTAGGAGGTTGACGCCGGTTTATTTCCCACGCTACCCGCTACCGTCAAAGTTTTGTAATCGTGAAAAATGTCTAAAATGAGATAGTGTCTTTTGGATGTTAGACGTATATTAGAAAAAAAGATATCACTCATTTCCATCGCTCTGTCGGTCTATCTATCTGTGTGCTTATCCTTGATCCCGCTATAATTTGGAAAGACCGGACGGATTTCCATGTAATTTGCAAACAAGGCTACTACTGTGCCAAAGACAAAAATGGCCAAACTCCATAATTTAATTTTGTTCAAGCAATATTGTTTTTTACTGATACTTATTCTAGTTTGTGATTTTATACAAGAGTACAGAGGGGTACAAGAGATAGATATTTATTCAAAGTCCATTTATCCAGAATTGCGTGGGAAATACCGAGTCAATCTACTAGACATCAATTCTTATAATACCTTAAAGCATGTTATTCTATATTAAAGGTGTTTGATCTGACTGAAACCGAATCTGACTGGTTAGCAAGACATTTGGGCCACGACATACGGGTCCACAGAGAATTTTATCGCTTACATGAGAGCACAGTGGAACTGACCAAAGTTAGTAAATTGCTGATGGCGGTTGATGAAGGAAAAGTGAGCACCTTCGCTGGGAAGTCACTAGCAGATATAGACATAGACGGTAAATGATTTATCAACATATGTAAGGTAATTTAGGCATATTTCTTATTTACTGGTGCGACACGATAGGTGAAAAGCACAATTCGTTACCGCTTCGATATGGATAAGTAAGGTATCAATTTTATTCCTTACAGTTTTATCACGACCCAACGACAAATGGGGAGAGTTTAGGCTTTTTTATTTACCAGCGCTTATTGGTAAATTTCAATCCAACCGACCACATCAATAGCAAATTTCCGTTCAAGTTACTTTGTCTAGGAACTAGAATAAATTATCAAACCCAATTAATAACAGGCGAAACTCAAATGTAATAAGTCAGCTGTGTTTGCAGATGTACCACAAATAGAGAGAAATGGTGACGTGTGTCTTACATAAAACTCTATTATGGTGACTGCTAAAAATTGTGGCGACGTACACAGGTCGCCACAGACATTTTATTAAATTGTTCGCGATAATTAGAAGCTGCAACCAAAAATTACCAACCCAATAAATAACAGGTTAGTTTTAGATGTAATAAGTCAGTTGCTTGCAGATTTACCACAAATAGGGGAAAGTGAGAATGGATCGGATTGTGAGGCAGAGTTGGACGGTCAAACTTCACCGCAAGACAATCCACCTACAGAAGTCTCAAAGAATGCATCTCCTACAGAACTCCCAAAGAATGCTTCTCCAAAGCGGACTTTACAGAAAAGAGGTAACCTTAGTTTAAATGCACAATTTATACCTATATTCATCTATGCTTCGGATGCATAAGCAATCGCGAATAAATCCTAATCTTATTCAATGAGGTTTTTTCTGAGATTTCGGAATGTCCCAATCGCGCAGCTTCATCTCAATTACTTCCATTGGTTTGCCTGACGCTCAGATGTCGATGGTACCGGTCCATTTATTTGTCGGTTCAGCGGCATTTGGCAAATTGACTGTGGAGCAATAGCTTGTACTGATTTACTTTCTCGGGAACGCTGTAGCTTGAGCGACAGTAATTTTCTTACAACACGACTATTTTTCTGTCTTAGGTAAACAACCATGGACACCAAAAGAAAAGGAAGCTGTCCTGACCTATTTCAAAATTAATATCAGGAACTCAATAGTACCAGGGAAAGTAGACTGCATGAAATGCATCGAAGCACATCCTCTGCTGGATCAGAGAGACTGGAAGAAAATTAAATATGCAGTGAAAAACGTCATAGATAAAAACAAAAAGCTAAAAAAGAAACATACAATGTAACAAGTTTTAATTTTGCGTTTTTTTTTGCTCTGCAATACAGTAAGAAGGGCCTGTAAGGCTATTTGTTGAACTAATTAATTTTTTAGCGAAAAAAATCCTAAATAAGTTTTATTATTATTCTATTCATTGTGTAGCTACTATTAACATGCACAAAATAAAGCCTTAGGGTATGAAGTTCATGAAAATTGGCCTTAAAGAATTATTGTAATAAATTGTTGTTTAATGACTCAAATCGACTGAGACTTCCTAGGAGAGACCAATTTTTTCATACCGTTTCGCCAGGAAACAAACCAAGTCATAAAGAGCCCTTAGAGACCCTCCTTTTATAAAGATGTATCTGTACGTGTTTATTTTTTATTTAGGAAACTACTTTACGCTTCGTACAGCGTATATTTCTTGCACTGTAAGAGATTTTAAGTTTTTGGGTGGGTCCACATAGATCCACAGTGAGAACACGACTATTACCATAGATCAGACAATATCAACACGACCGCACATAAAACCTGATTTCATTGGTTGCTAGGAGCTGTGTTATAATAACCAATCCGTATGCGCGTATCTTTGTGGACTCACCCTGTATATTTTTTATGTTGTCTGATTGTGTTCACTGACATTTACTTGTTAAAGTTTTGGATGACATTAATTGTTTAAAAAATAAAGAATTAAAACTATATTGCGCCTGCCATCAACCGCATTTCATCCTCATACATTTTTGGTATTATCTTGAAATACCCAGGATTCTTGAAGTACATCCTACCGTATACGTATCCTTAAAGCCAATGAGAGTATCGATTGATATGTGCTTGAATATCACTTATATATCATTGTGGCGACAAACCGATATGACAACATTGCAAAAACTAAACACTCCTATTATGGAGACCTGAAGGTACACACAGCTCATCTTTCAATATTAGTGGCTACTCATACACTCTGTTCACAAATGTAGGTTGTTATGACACCCGTAGCCACAATATAATTTAGCTGTTTTTAATTGTTAAACGGAGTGTATACCGTTTTTATTGATACCAGCCTACTGCGCAAGCACTGAAGAATGTTCAGGAGAAATTTCATCGAAATCGCCACAATTGAGGACTATTCACGCGTCGCCACAAGAACCTAGGCGCCTGTATGTGTGTGTATGTATGTGTATATGGATATTTGTGTATATACCAGTATATTCTGGTTTCCTAATATCTATTGATCATATTTATAGTTTCTTTTTTCTCTACTTAAAGCGCCTTCATCTTTTCTGTGTTTTTTATTTTTGTTTCACTTTATGACACATAGACTGTGTAAATTAAACCATTGTATTATGTATTGCTCTCTAAATGGTACCTGTACTGTTGGGCAATAAATGCTTTATTATTATCTATTTGCATCAAATTGTGCTTGCTTTTGAGTTTTATCAGCCTGAAATTTCCTACAATTTAAAAGGAAAACATATCTTAACAATAGGAGAGCGCTGACGCTGACACGGGACGAGAGTATTCTAGAAATTTTTGAAGGAGAGAAAAGAGTATGACAATCAAGGAGACCATAAACGCGCCCTACAATTGTAGGGACGACTGACGATGCGGGCCTAAGAGTTTTACCACTTGCCAAAGCGGTATTTTAATATCTCGCACGTATTTTGCTATGTTCGCATCTCCAGGGGAAGAAAAAAATTAAAAACTGGTTTGGCAAGTGATAAAACTACATTAGTGAAGAACCGAGTTCGTGGCACCTTGATACTATGATATCTAGAGCCCACAAAATTATGAAACTAGGTTCGAAATTACTCTCTGTTTTATGACCGTCTGGCCGCAGAACCATTATTGTTCTCATAGGCCCATCCCACTTCCCAATACAAGATACCAGAGACAGAATCACCATACATTTCTACCTAAAATATTGAACGCTGTCGAGTATATAGTACTGGACATTGAGCACGTTTAAGATATATAACTTTATTTAAATTCAAACATATACAATAGAACGTGTACACAGATTAAGTGTGGTAGAAACCGAATTAAAACTGTACAAAACGTCAATAGTAAAGCATCAAGTAAGAAAATAAATAAAAAATACATTTCATAAGTACCGTCAGTATACACCAGGTACGACGGACTTACTTATATTTTTCATTCACTATTTAAATAGTAATACTAAGTACCTCTCAACTATACTATGATCATACATGGTATTTCCTAAACTTGATATAACTATAGTTTTAAGATTTTTATGGGAAAAGAGAGAACAACATACTATTATAACTACTGGTTAATTATACATTTAAGTATTAACAGTTTGTGAAGTCAAGCAGCGCAACATGTAGAAGGTGTCAATAATAATCAGGTTTTACTCTTCACAATGTTATTTTTGACGAATAGTCTGAAATTGTGCGAAATTATGAACAGATGTTATTGCGCAATCAAAAGAATTTGAGAGAATATGTAAGAGAATGAAAAAAATTAAATTAGCCTCAACACTGGATATTCAAACAGAAGTGAAGTCAACTTTGTGTGCTGTATTCAACATCGAAATGTACTTCAAATAGTCGTGCAAGTTATAGTGATTTTACTTGGAACTCTTCATCATCTGATTGAACACTTCAACAAACTTTATACATTTGCAGTGCTTCTAGATTCAACATAGGAATCCCTGATGTCAGTCGACATCAAATACTTTTTGATACATATTCATTTCTTGTTTTTTTTTCATTTTATATATAATTCAGTGGATAATCAGATGTGGCGGCACTATATTTTGAACTATGAAATACTGCCAATAAGCACCATAAAGCTGAAAATTAGTACAGAAACAAGATAAAATTGCAAACAAATATTTGTAATAGAATCACACAACAGAGATAAATAAAATTCACACTCTTAACAAAGACACAACTTGCAAGTATAACTGGTTACTAGACGATTGAAAATGTAAGAATACGATGGAGACTCAAGGTCCATTGGATAACATTAAGAGAAACAAAATCTACCTGAACAAAAGTTTATATGAAATACAGATCAAATAAATATGTCGAGAAATTTCCCACATTTGAATGTTCGGTAACAAAATTAAAGAAGCCTTAAATTCAGTACCATAGGAAATGAAAATAACAGGTACACTGCTAAAAACACAGCTTTATGTTGTATTTGTAAGAGAACCTATAGGAGCACTATCTATCTTACAGTATTATGCACAGTGGCAACAGCGCATCTTGGACTGTCATTGCCACACATAAGCCAGAAAATTGCGAGAAACCACTAGCAAAGCTACTAGTATACAGTTTCATCACGAAGCTTGAAAGAGTTTTGAAGAAATTAAACTGCATACATCACGCATTAACATTTAGACTTTGCAATTCCAACCATATCTCCCGCACTGCAACTCTGCACCAGGTTTTGAATTGGTACATTACCCACCTTATTCATCAGAACGTTTACAACGAAAAAGATTTTCAAATAATCAACAGGTGGCATCCGCTGACTGAACAAGTGTAGCAGGGATTATGTAGAAAAATAAGTGAAATGTAGTTTTTTTTGCAAGGGGAACAAAAGCATCAACCCTCGTACATATACAAGCTTTTTAGGCTATGTTAAAATATGTTATATGAAAACTAGTAATGACATTCGATCTTACTTTCCTTCCCACTGTGTTTCAAGACAGGCATAATACCGTGATAGACCGCACCCCCTAATAATCAATCAAGTAAAACCTCATTTTGACTTGCCGCTGCTTCACTTCTGCGCTACGGCTGGTGATACCGGTACGGAAACAACCGCCTCTGGGGTGCTAACTTTTGAGACGATTTCGGCCAATGGGGAAGCGCCTGGTGTTGAGGCCTGTTCGTTGATTGGCTCGGAAGATGGGCCGGGGATCACTTCGACGTTCGTTTCTAAGCGGGAGCTTGTAGAGGTGGATGCGGCATCGATGGAGTCGATTGAGGCGGCCGGGGCCTAGAAAATAGTATTATTGACAGTTTTTTGTCAAATATAAGATTTTTAACACTCGTATCCAGACCTAATATATTCTGTAATTTTATTTGTCTTCAAAGAGTGTATAAAGAAGAATTTTATACAACAAAGACAAAAATCAATGATCTAGGTTGACTGATCTGATACAAGTCCATAGAGAAAACATAGGTTTTTGTATGAACAAGCTGATGTATTTTTGAAAATATATCCTGTTTTAAATTAAGAGTGATAAAATAGTAATTGCAGTCATTACGTGTACGTTGAGCAGGCCCCTCCTTCTTTTGATTGGTCGAAACCCACTGATTAAAAGGAAAAACGCCGGGTCATACCCTTAAAAAATTTAAATGACGTATCGAGCGAGAGCTTGTTTGAAAGATCTTTCGAAGTCCCTTATTTTGACGTTTGACTTTTTAAAATCAGTCGATGCGTTTTCGAGAAAATTAGAGAAATCTTCATTTATCTTAATTTGTTCAGATGGAAATCAAAAACACACGAAAAAATAACTTTTTATTTCAATAAGTGTTCAAAATATTGCTCGTTAGGGTTTGTCAAATGTACAATTCGTTGATCATATGAAACGGAAACTACCAATATAAACAGCAATTCAGAAGATTAGACGTGACGTAACAACCCACATCTTTTCCGCATTCTTTCCATCAACACAGATATCCTCGGCGAAATGTATTTCTTGTTATACCTGTTTAGTTATTTGTTGCTAAGGGAAAGAAAGAATTTAATTTGCTGTCAGTTACCTTTGTGACAATCTTGGGATATGGAAAATGAATTTAATGATTCAGATTTAACTTCCACAACTAGCTGAAAGAGTGGAAATGATTCTTATTTATGGTACCCAAAATCAATGTGTTCGGCAAACTGCTATCACGTTTAACGCCAGACATTCGGGGCAGATAGCATCGCATAGGTATGTTTTGAACCTTGTTACTGAATTTACTCAAATTGGATCTGTTACAAATAGAAAACGTGATCATCGGAGAGTTTTGGATGAAACCGCTCAAGTGGAAGTTTTGGGTCATTTTGGAATAAACCCTTTCATTACGCAAAATTGTTGCTGCGACTGGTATTTCATTAGGCTCTTTACTCTTGAGTTTTTTGAACTAATGACTGCAACGATTAATGACAATACCATGTAAAGAATATCTGCTTCAGTGACGAATGCACATTTTATATAAATGGATTTGTTAATAAGAGTAACTGCAGGTATTGGAGCAATGGAAATCCTCATGCTTTTGTAGAACGGCATACCCAGTACCCCCAAAAAATTAATATATGGGCAGGTATTTTAGGAAACAAAGTGATTGGGCCAATGTTTATTAAGGGAAATTTGAATGGTAACATCTATTTGGATATGTTGGAAAATACCATCAATCCGCTTATCACTGAAACTACTGAAAACCAAATTGAAAGAGGATGGAAGTCCTATACTTTGATGAGACTGAAATATGTTTCCAGCAAGACGGCGCTCCTCCTCAGAATGTTCTTCCGGTTCGGCAATGGCTAGACGACGAGTTTTCAGATAAATAGATACGACGAAGAGGGTCTATAGAATGGCCTGCTAGATCTCCTGATTTGACGCCATTAGACGTTTTTCTATTGAGCCATTTGAAATCTATTGTGTTTACTCCCCAACCTGAAAGTTTGGATGAACTTCGTCAACGCATCATCGAAAGCTGCCATGATTTTGATAATGTCCATCGGGAATTTGAACATCGCCTATACCACTACGGGCAACATTTTGTACAATTATTGAAATAAAAAGTGATATTTTAGTGTGTTTTTGTTTTCTATCTGAACAAATTGAGATAAATAAAGATTTTTATTCGATACCCCTCGCCATTTATAATTTTCAAAGGGCAGAGGGTGAAAGGAGTTGAGGTAGTTTTTGTTTACAAAGTTGTCCCCCTTGAGAAATCTTTTGACGTGTCTCGAAGTTTTTTCTTTTAATCAGAGGTTTTAGATAAATCGGTGAAATGAACACCCTGTATATACATACAGAAATGCAAACATGTTTAACCAATTATATGAAATTAAGACATATCAGTGCACTAATCCTTACACATCTAGACTATGGTGCTACAGTATAACGTTGAAAAAAAGGTAGAAGAATGCATTAAGAACTTCGCAAAAATCACATCAACACAGCAAGCTTCATTTTGACCTATGGAATTGCAATCTGACAGTTGGAGTTTCGGAATAAGGGTGCTGGGTTAGTATTATTTCACAGGGATGTGTAATAAATGAAAACGTCCTTACCAAGTTGGTAGTATCAGTTCTGGCGGCTTGGGATGTTTCACTTTCAACGGTTGCAGAGGACGAAGCTGCGGCAGCCGCTGCCATTGTAGCTGCAGCAACACTAGGCCCGACGCCGACTAGTTCAGCTGGATATGGTGGAGGCATATCTCCCACAACATCCCTGAAAACAAAATCAAAAGTGTTTCTGTATAAGCGACCTATGGCATATAGCAAAATTCAAGGATGGCACGTTGGTGGTGGTAGACATATGAGGTGGTGATGGATTCGTCTTAGCAGTGCAAGCGACACTATACAGGGTGATTCAGTTTATTGTTGCATAACTTTAAGATTCGATAGAACTTTTAAAATGAATGCATAAAGTCTATATAAACATGGGTCGAAAATGCGTGGCTTCCGAAATACAGGGTGTTTAAATGTACTTTCTAAAATAGTTTTTTTTTTAAATATTTCGAACAATATTTGATGTATAACAGTGAAAATTGGTATACAAGGGTTTTTTGGTATGACAAAACGAACCATGGGCATAGTTTTGCTGTAGCCGCTAGAGGGCGCTCTCTACTGTACCTGTAGTTTATTAAAATGACCGAAAAAATTTTCTTCGTGCAATTTTTTGCTCTTTGAATAAAAAAACTGATTCTTCGCACTTTTCAACATAAAAAAGCTCTCATGTGAGTTTTCGTTAGCCGTCTTTGAGATATTTCGATTTTTAAGGTTCGATGCATTTTTAATTATTTATGATAAAATAACGTTAAAAAGTCAGTATGTCGATAATTTTTAGAAGTAGGCTGTGCCTGCAAATATTTTTGAAATTGAAAGCAGAATAAAGTTAAACGTCAATTAGTTGACAGTTAGTTTTGTTGCCTGTTGAAACCTGAAACGTTTTTTTGCAATTGTGAATGCACAAAATTTAGTTTCTTTTACCTGTTTTTTTTGTAAGTTTTATAAAAATGCCATTTTTATTTTCCAATCAAGAGTTAGCGGATATTCATTTTGTGTATGGCTTTGTAAATGGAAACGCAGCAGAAGCAGCCGGAGAATACGCACGAAGATTTCCAAACAGACGACATCCAACTCGCTCAGTATTTGTAAGAGTGCATCGCCAAATAATTGAAAATGGTTTTGGAAATCTCCAAAGGGATCAAAACATAAATGTTCGTCAGCGCAGATTTACCCGTATGATTCTGCGTGAGTTTGATAAAGATCCGACCACAAGTGTTAGGAGAGTTTCTGGTGCCTTGGGAATTTCAGCAAGCCATGTTCACCATGTTCTTAGAAATGACCATAGACGTCCTTACCATTTGCAACCTGTGCAAGGACTACAGCCAGGGGACGGAGAACGAAGAATCACATTTTGTCAGTGGATTCTTGATAGAACTGATAATAATGGGAGTTTTTAAGTAACGTTTTATGGACCGATGAGTCATGCTTCACTAGACGCGGAGTGGTAAATTTTCATAATCAACATATTTGGTCGCATGAAAATCCGCATGCAGTTCGGGAAAGAAATTTTCAGCATGAATTTAGTGTGAACGTGTGGATTGGTATCTACCGTAATCGACTATTTGGACCCTACCTTTTGCCTGCAAGGTTAAATGCTGCGACCTTCTTGGAATTTTTAAAGGCTGAACATGCAAAAATGTGGGATGATGTTATGTTAGATTTAAGAAGATTGGCCTGGTTCCAGCTTGATGGTTGTCCAGCTCATTATTCGAGAATAAATAGAAACTGGCTGGACGAAAATTATCCAGAAAGATGGATCGGCCGTGGAGGACCAGTCGCCTGGCCTCCACGATCCCCTGACCTAAATCCATTAGATTTCTTTGTGTGAGAATTTCTAAAAGAAAAAGTGTACCAGACTCCCGTAACCACAACAGATATGCTAATAGACAGAATCAGGAATGCATATGATGAAATAAGGCCTTATTTGAATAATGCTATACCACGTTCGATCATTCGTAGTTGTGAATTGTGTATTGAACAATTGGGTTTACATTTCGCGCAACTACTTTAGATTTTGTATGTTTGTCCTAACTATCCAATAGCATTTTAGTTGTAAATAATTAATTTAATTTGTTAAAAATAATATTGGAAAATTAAACAAATTAATATTGTGCTTTTTTGTGTTTATTTGGAGTTAGGAATTATTGATGTGTTTAAAAGCACAATCTAAACGATCATCTTAATTACTTGAAATGCCCAAATCTAAAATGTAAAAAAATATTATTTTCCCATAAATAATTAAAAATGCATCGAACCTTAAAAATCGAAATATCTCAAAAACGGCTAACTATAACGAAAACTCACAGGAGAGCTTTTTTATGTTGAAAAGTGCGAAGAATCATTTTTTTTATTCAAAAAGCAAAAAATTGCACTAAGAAAAATTTTTCGGTCATTTTAATACACTACATGTACAGTAGAGAGCGCCCTCTAGCGGCTACAGTAAAACTATGCCCATGGTTCGTTTTGTCGTACCAAAAAACCCTTGTATACCACTTTTCACTGTTATACTCGTACATCAAATATTGTTCGAAATATTAAAAAAAACTATTTTAGAAAGTAAATTTAAACACCCTGTATTTCGGAAGCCACGCATTTTTCGACCCATGTTTATATAGACTTTATGCATCAATTTTAAAATTTCTATCGAATCTTAAAGTTATGCAACAATAAACTGAAACACCCTGTATATTCAAATTTTATGAGATAAAAACTGCGAGATTTAAACGCAAATTGCAACTTTATGGGCTACAACCCAAACAGCTAGATGTATTTTGACATTTGAGGTGTCCTTGGAGTTGCCTTGATATCACAATTGATTCATTTTTTGCAGCAGCGGTGGCCGCAGTGGTAGACACTGTCTCCTGATCGGTTGCCGTGCGCTGCGAGGGTTCGAATCCCGTCCCAAGAGAAATTTTTCTCTTGGCTATGGATGTTGTGATTGTCCGTAGGTGGTAGACGGTCTCTGACTGTCGAACGCAGCGGTACCACCCGGCGGATCTCTTAGGCGGGGCCAGAATGTGTGCATGCTGCATGCACACGTCTTCCCTCGCTAGAGTCCGTGTGGCGTCCCCCTTTTCCCCCTGTATCCTCCTATAGCCCCACGGTACCTCATGGGTGTTTAGGGCTTAGGCCTTCGTGGTAGCTGGAGGAAAAAATATTTACTGCAGTCAGATTGTATGTTTTTATAAATGTATATGTCTTTTTCTTTATAGACATGAGGGTCTGGGGCGGCCCACCTCCACAATTCAGATCTAGCAATGTCATTTTCGAGGATGTTTTGAAAACCAAAAACACACCCGCCACTCAAACGGAAGCCAGGGGATAAAGATGATTTATTGTCTGAAGAATACGATGTTTCTTATTGGCAAAGCAAACTTTAAACTATAGCAAAATTACGTATGTGGATCTTAGGTAAATGTATTTTAAGACTCACCCAAGAAATAATATGGATTATATTAGGTTTCCAAGTTCACGGTACAGTACCCTTAAATTGTTGATTCTTTTGATAGCACCAGAAATGTAAATTTTCAGACCATTATAAATTATTGAAACTTCCACAAGTGTTGGTTTTGGCAGTATTAATTTAAAATCTTGTTTTTTTTTAATATCGTAACATATTTAATGTTTCAAACTTAGATCTATTTTTATTGGTCTAACACATAAATTTAACGTTTTCCAAGGAGTAATCGCAAATATCTATGCCGCTCTAGAACCACAAAATATCAGAAACGCTCTCTTATGGTTGAGTTTGAACAAACGGTCGAAGATTGAAAGCCTTCAGTTAAATTGCATCTATGGTTTTTTGATACCTTCATCAGGATCTATAGTTTCTCATGGCTGTAAATTTCAATGAAAGTAGTGTTTGCTACCTGTAACTAGGCGGCGGGGTTTGCTTGACGGCCCCAGGGAATCCCCCGAATGCAGCCTCCTGATCGAAGAGGTAATCTGGGTCAGACGGATGACGTCCGCGCCTGCCGGAAGTACCCTCTCCAGTTTCTGGAATGATGTAATGGACAGTGCTGCGAGTAGATTGTTGTCGCAGGGTTAAATATTTGTAGCAACGCCATACTACGCAGATCCAGTAGGCCTGGAAAGATGAAAAAACCTTAAGGTAACCAAAGTTACTGAGAGTAAAATAGTATTAGAATTTACTCAAAAGACCCTGTATATTTTATACACCACAGAGTACTACCAAATCCTAGAGCATGTTAAAAATCATGTATGTTGCATTTACTATGATATACAGTAGCGGACAAAAGTTTGGAAATATCCTTAGTAATTTGTAAGAAGTTCGCTAATTTTGTATTCTTTATTATTGAGGACTATTTTTTTGCTCATATAGTTTGCATATAGTCTTGAGGATACAAATGACAATTTGTGTTTGCTGTGGTAGTACAGACTAGCATTAAAATACCTTCACATTATTTTATGACCAAAAATGAGACGACAAAAGTATGGAAACATATTTTTTATTATAAAATTAAGTACAATAACTACAAAAAGATTTAACAAATACTGTTTAGCAAATAATTGATAGCATAGCATTTAGCATTCAATACTGCCTGACATCTGCTGCTCATAGAAGGCACCAATTTTTTACAGACGTCTGTTGGGATCTTTTGCCACATATTTTTTACATAATCAAACAAATCGTTCCTATTTTTAAAAGTTTTTCTTGTCAGTTGTCTTTTAACATGCTTCCAGAGATGTTCTATAGGGTCTAGGTCCGGGGATTGCGAAGGACGTGTAAAATCATTAACATTTTTAGTCTTGGGTCATTATCTTGCTGGAATGTATATCGTAAAGGCATTTTGTCTTCAACAAAAGGGAGCATGTGTTCACTAAGAATATCTTGTAAAGTTTTTGATCCATTTTCACAACAATTTTAGCAATTGGACCAGTTCCAGAACCAGAAAAATAGTCCCAAACCATGATGTTGCCTCCACCGGCAACTGATACTTTTTGTCGAATCTTTTTCGTATTGGACGTCTCACATATGCCGTACCGTCAGATCCAAACAAGTTAGATTTGCTTTCATCGCTTCATAAAACTGCATTCAATTGTTATTCTGTCCAACTTACTTGAGTTTTAGCAAATTCAAGCCGAGCAATACGATTTTTTTTTAAATGGGAGGCTTTTGCACTGAACGCCTACCAAAAAACCCAAAATCCACCAAGCGTATCTGCACTGTTGTGACAGAAATTCTCGGCACCCTCTAATATGATTCTTTTGAAAATTTATGTGGCTGGCGTTCGAGGATCTTCATGGGACAAACGTTCAATGTAGCGATCCAAAACATAATCGGTTTTTTTCAGTATCCGCATCTGAGCCGCGTTGCTGTTGATCCGTATTCTTGATATTTACTAATAATTTTCGCAATCGTCCCTTTGTTCATTTTTAATCTTTGAGAAATGTCAACATTTCTGACACCACTTCTAAATAATTCAATTACTTTGTCTCTTAAATCTTTTGATTTTTTTTTTACTTTTGCTATTCTCACTGATGTTAATATTTACCACACGCAATATCAGAGCATCGCAGAACGAATAAATACGGCAAAAGTGAAATGTTTCCATACTTTTGTCGTTACAAAAAGTGTTGTCAAATAGGTCAAAGTGACCAACAGTAGCTGTCACATCTGTATGTAATCTGTGTTAACACTTTCAGATTTGTTAGCTGCCATGAATGACTGGTCAGTAATGAATAAATACTGAGTAGCCATTATAAACTGCTGCATTCGTATTATGCTACATGGGGTACAAATAGTCAATTCAAAGTCCATGTATACTAAGTGACATATAAATCCGAACACCCAGTTTAAATGGTTTTATTTTAATAAAAGTTGGTGAATGTATTTATCTTACTGTAAATAACAAGTAAAAAAATTTTCAGCCGTATCAGTTGGACAATCCGGTTTTTATACTGCTTTTTTTTAATTCACTAACGCTCTAAAAATGAATATTTCAGTCGCAGTAAAGAATCAACGTTGGCGGATTTTGGTTCTTGACATCCTTTACGATCGGTTACGATGCCTAGAGTACGGAGACCTGTACCATTTCGTCAACTTAGTGAGTTTGATAGGGGCCGTATAGTGGGACTTCGGGAAGCTGGACTTTTTTTCAGGCAATTGCAGTTAGAGTGCAAAGAAGTGTAGACACTGTGGTTAGGTGTTGTCAGGCATGGCTTCGAGAAGGCCGTAAGCAAAGAGCAAGGGGCACTGGACGCCGCCGTAGAACAACAGACCGTGAAGATCGCCGCCTAAGATTATTGGCCTTAAGGGACCGTTTCTCCACTACCAGGTCCATTGCAAATGAATGGTTTGCAGAACACGGAAGACCTATTGGCATGCAAAGTGTTTACCGACGAATGAGAAGTTTTGGCTTGTTTTCATACCGGCCACACTGGGTCCTCCCTTTAACTTGAGAACACCGACGTAATCGCCTTGAGTGGTGCAGACAACGGTCACTCTGGGATCAGGCATGGAACAGTATTGTCTTTAGTGACGAGTCTCGATTTTGTTTAGGCATGCACGATGGTCGTGCCAGGGTTAGAAGGCGACGTGGTGAAAGGAGGAATCCACAGTTTTTTGTTGAAAGACATGTTCATCACACTGTTGGAGTTATGGTTTGGGGTGCTATAGCTTATGGTTCCAGGTCACCTTCAATCTTCACCAGAGGTAACATGAACGCGCACCGTTATATCCACGAAGTTCTAGAACCCCATCTTTTACCCTATCTTGACACCCTGGCAGATCCAACTTTCCAACAAGATAATGCCCGACCACATGTTGCAAGAGTCACAATAGACTTCTTTCAACATAATGATGTCACATTGTTACCATGGCCACCAAGATCTCCCGACTTATCCCCAATTGAGCACGTGTGGGATATGATGGGTAGGAGATTGCTCAATTTGCAACGTCCTCCTCAGACTCTAGAAGCACTTCGAGAGGAGTTGGTGGTTGCCTGGAATGAGATACCACAGGAGGACATTGACCACCTGATCAGAAGCATGCCTAGGCGCGTTGGAGAATGCGTAGCACATCAGGGTGCATCCACACATTATTAAAGGTCAAAGGGCTTTAAAGCAGTGCAATCATTTTGAAATTTTTATCATTTACTTATTATGCTTCATTAAGTACTTATACAAAATTTTATTAAAATAAAACCATTTTAACTGGGTGTTCGGATTTATATGTCACTTAGTATACATGTATGTTGTAAACTTAACTCAGATGTCATTTTAGACATAGCATGGTTTTGAGCATATAAAAAATCAACTACTGTTTTTTCGTTCATATTGCGTGTTTCCAACAGCTTATCGTTCATTTTTAAATATTTTCAAACTGCGATGCAAGGAGTAGACCAACTCAAGCTACTTGACGACTGTATAATGTAAACTTGACATTGACAATGGTTTACCAACTCACGAAAAAACATGTTCGTCCTAGACACATATTCTGACGCAACATATATCAATATTTATATTCTATAATAAAGTTAACGAGATATTATATAATCTATAGACATCTACATTTTGGCTCACGTTTTTTTATTAACAATTGTTTACATATTGATGAGTCATTCAGACATGTTTCTCCATTCGTCACTGTCGATTAGGGCAGTCAGTGGAAAGTAAGTTCTTGAGACTTACAATGAGATCAGTACCCTGTCAGGTCAGATAGCACAAATACTAGAAAAAGTCAGGGATAAACTTAATCTAGAAATAATTCCAATTTTGTTATGAAATTGCTTAAATTAGTTGAGCGGTAAAACTATATGATTTAATTTTGACCAAATTGCAAGGTGTGGTCTTGAGTACTTGCAAACTTGTTCATTGTAGTCTATGGATTCACACAACAGAAGCTTGCTGCGCGATGATTTCATTATTTATCAGTAGAAAAATATCAGTATCACATATTACTCGTGTGTATGCTATTTTTTAATCACTTATCATACATTATTTTTAAAATTATTACCCTCCGTATACTTTTTATTACTACCTATTGTTACTGCTTAGTTTGCGATTTGCGATGATTGTGTTGTCAATACCACACATTAATTTGATGGCTTAATCGGCGTAAAAAATGCCCATAAACACGGTGCTTGGGAAACGCCGTGGGTCCCAGCATATAGTTGGCAGATATTTTTCTTATAAGAAATCTCAGGTTTGTATGTAAAATTTTCCGTGTTTTGAACTTGTCGCACTGTGGGAAATTTTGCATGCAGGTGAAGAATTAATTAATGAAATTTTGAATTAGTTTTGATGAAAGTTAGAATTAACAAACAATTGCATATTTTAATAACATTTTGGAATCGTAATGTGAAGGCATCCGGCGGTTCCTATCTCATTTTATTGATGAATGGAAATTAGCAACCTATAATTCTGATATTCTTTATTCAGTTCTTCCTCGTGAGTCTCCAGGTAGTTGCAGCTGGGAAATCTTTTAATAAAGTTCCTGAGTAGCAATAAAAAATTACAGGAGGCGAATGTGGTGAAGTACTTTATATTACTTTCTTCAAAATCGCGCGTATATTCCACTTTTTCTTAAACATGTCTTCAATACAAATCAAAAGTACCAATATGAACTTTTACTGTGTCAACATGGTATAACAAGCCTTTTCATATTATATAAATGAAAGTTATATACTATTTTTTTTAATTGATAATGCATCATACTGAATTTATTTATATTATAAGGACAAAATTCAAAAAAAAAATAGTTTGTTTTATACCCAAGCAGCCGCGCAGGCAGAAGCCTAAATGCCGGGACACCGCGGCTGCTCTTATGATCCCAAACAAATTTTGTTAATGCGATTTTTGAACTGCCTAAGGTTAGTAGAACTGGGAAAAGCTTCCTCTTGTAGACTGTTCCACAATCTTGACACCCTCGGAACAAAGGAGCGGTCGTATCGGCCAGTTCTGGATGTACGAAGTTCGACCCGGTCAGGATAGGACGCCAAAGTCAGGCGGGTCTGCCTGGCAGGCATATCGCGCGGCGGCATCATGGAAGAGAGCTGTGAGGAGCAAAGCCCGTTGGTGTAGCGGTAGAAAAGAGCTAGATCGCCGACGGCCCGCCGGTGCGAAAGGGTCCCGAGACTGTCTGTTAGAGAAGAGTCATCGATCAGTCGGACCGCCCTCCTCTGGACAGCATCGAGTATAAATAATGTAGTCGGGGCGGCAGCACCCCAAACGTGTGAGCAATACTCGAGGCTAGGCCTTAACTGGGCCTTGTATAGAGTGAGGTCATGCGGTGAAAAGTACTTCTTAGCCCTAAACAAATAGCCTAGCTTTTTCCCAGCAGCTGCCGCTATTGACGAGATGTGTTCGTGCCAGATCAGGTCCTCGGTGATCTGGATTCCGACCAGCCGAAATGAATGGCACTTTGACAGAACGCGGACATCCATCGAAACCGGATGAGCACTAGGACGCTTTTTGTTCGTCAAAGTACAGTACTGTGTTTTGGAAGCATTAAAGTGTACAAAATTGCTGCGTCTCCAAGCAGTCTTAATCTGCAGGTGCCTCGATACAGAGGAAGTCGTCGCCAGTCTTCTTTTTTCCAGCTCAGCGGCAGAGATCGGCTTGTCACTCTGAATTCCTGCATGTAGAGTGCTGCCATCAGCGAAGCTGTGGATTGGGTTGATCGTGCAGGAAAGGAGGTCGTTGATATGTAAGAGAAACAGTGTCGGAGCGAAGACCGATAACTGGGGAACACCCGCGTTGACGTTGTGGGATGAAGAGGAGAACCCGTCAATTACGACGGATATCTTGCGGCCAGAGATAAAGTAGGCCACCCATCTGCAAAGCTTTTCTGGGAGGCGATAGGATGGAACTTTGCTTAAGAGGGCAGCGTGCCACAGCTGATCGATCGCTTTCGTGTTGTCAAGAGCAACGACATGAGCCTCACCATAAGACTGGATGAGTTTGCGTGACGTAAGCTAGGAGGTCCCCTGTGGATCGCTGGTGCCGGAAACCATACTGCCTGTCGCTAGTGAAGCTGTGACGTTCGAGGTAGTCCAGAAGCTCGCGATTTATGCACCTCTCCATCACCTTAATTATAACAGAAAGCAGAGCTATAGGCCTGTAGTTGTAGGGGTCGGTCTTAGATCCTTTTTTGGGATGGGTTGAACATGAGCAAATTTCCAGTTCTCTGGGAAGGTGCCGGATTCATAAGATGTCTGGAAGAAACGCGAAAGAACAGGAGCAAGCTCCGCTGCACACCTCTTCAGTACAATGGCAGGAATCAAGTCCACACCAGAGCGACAAGAGCACTCGTCTTACGGTCTTATGCGTGAATGTTACCTCCCGCATAATGTAGGGAACCCTTTGAATTGACGGCACTTGGGCGTCCATGGTGGAGTTGGCAGCAAAGATATTGGCAAGCATTTCCGCCTTGGCCTTTGAGTCGGATACAACCGTTCCATCCTGACACGTAAGTGGTGGAAGGCTACTGTGTGAGAAGTTCTTTTCAATCTGCTTGGCCAGCATCCAGAAAGACCGACTGCCATTGCGCTGAGACATTACCCTGTTCCTAGATTTTATATCGTGCTGGTTTTTGGCATTGCGAACCGCTTCGTTATATTTGTTTCTGGACCCGTTGTCGGCTTGTCTGTTCTCTACAGTGGGGTTTTGTAAGAACGTTTTTTTTTTTATATCCAAACAGCCGCGCAGGCAGAAGCCTAAATGCCGGAACACCGCGGCTGCTATGATGATCCCAAAGAAATTTTGTTAATACGATTTTTGAACTGCCTAAGGTTGGTGTTCCTTGATCTTCTGCTGGCGAGCAGTATCACACGATTTGTTAAACCAGCGGTTGGACCCTGGTTTAGGCACTTTCACTTTGTGAGGGATGTATTCCTCCATTCCGACGTGGATAATTTCGGTTATCGAAGAACAGACAGCCGACGCATCCGCGTCAGTGAAACAGACATCTCTCCAAGGAAAGGTAGAGGAGAAGTTTCTGAGCCGCCAAGAAAAGCATGGCGGGACGATTGGATTGCAGGTAGTGATGAACAGCATCAATGTTGCTGTTAATCCCGCAGATGTTTGTAAAACAAATTTTATCTTCCACCCGGACATTCCGAGAGTGGAGTGAGTTTACGTCCGGAAGTCTTAGTGCTCGAGGGATCCATCATCATTAATTTCTTTGTATTGGAAGTTAACCGACTGCATCGCGTAGGTGTGTAAACATGCGGACATTTATAAGACACCCTGCCGAACCAATTATATTTCAGAAATACTTCAAATAGGCAAAAGTTCTTGATTAAGTCTTATAGTAATGGTATATAGAGTACATTTTTCAAGTTAGTTTACGTCTCAAAAGCCTTTGAGAAAATGAATTAATTCCAATAATGTTATCAGATCTCCGCATTTATTCACCATGCCTCACCGCAAAACAGCTTTAACCGATCTTTCACATTCAACGCTGCTGCTCTATTCTAGAAAACCTAGAGGCGTGTACTCACCAAAAAATCGTTCGCAAACGATGATATCAAACGCTTTTAAATGTTTAGAAATGCTTACAAATGCCTACAAATATGTTATCCTCGCCGAACAAACATATTCAAGAGACAGTCGCTGCCCACGCGATTTGAACGAGTTTGTGGACGTTCCGTTGGTGTGTCGGTCAAAAAATTAAATTGTATCAAAAATGCCTTCTTTTAAAATAAAAAACTAATCTGCCATATGTGCTGCATCTTTCGACATACTAGAAAAAAAATTAAAAACGCAAATTTTTGCTCACTTTTAGCTAAACGGCTTCGTCAACAAACATAATATGCGTTATTGGTCAGGTGAAAACCCTCATGCGCTTCAAGAAACACCACTTCATCCACAAAAAATAACTGTATGGTGTGGTATTCATACGGGTGGTGTCATTGGGCCGCTTTTTTTTCGCTGATAAAAGTTACCGTCACGTTAAAGACAACGGAGATCGCTACAGAGACATGTTACAACGTTATTTTTTTGGTCAATTGGATGGGCTAGACATTAATAACACAAGCCACAAAACAGGAGAAACAATCGACATATTTGAATCAAAATTCAGTGAACGTGTTACTATATCAAGAAATGGCCGCCTAGATTGTCTAGACTTTTTTTTGTGGGGCTACATTAAACCATTGGCCTATGCCAACAAGCCCGGCGTCGTTAGAGGAGCTCAGAGCCAATATTGAACGAGATATAGTGGCCGTTTCCGCCGAGCCATTGAAATTTTTTTTCAACTAGTCGATCGCTACGAACATGCCCGTGGTGGACATATGAATGAGGTCGAATACCACACATAAATGTTTTGAGTATACATACTTCAATCCAATAATAAAATTTTCGAGATATCTCAAATAGCTTGCGTTTTATTTAAAAAGAAAGTTGTCAAGCCCTTGATGGAAAACCTTTATATACATATATTTATAAGTTGTAGACACCTTTTATTATCCCACTCCATGATAGCCAAAATATCTAATAATAAAAGAGTAAATAACCAAAACAGTTCTTGAAAACCTAACTTAAAAAATCAAGAAACGAATATGCAAAATTATATTTACCATGTATTTATTTCGTCCGTCCACACCAAAATTGCAAAAAATCCAGAAACAAGTACCGACTTTGGATGGAACGCTGACAAATACCTACAAACGTTTGTAAACATTTGTCACTACCGTGTGATTCTAGTCCACACCAAACACGCACTGCATTTGAATACGTTTACAAGTTTATAAACATTTTGCGCGTTCGGTGTACGCGCCTTAAAATCATTGTATACTTATTGACATTAGAAGTGTTACACCCAGAAAAAAGAATTTCTTCAACTTGTTTTTTGGAAACATAATGACCATATTTAGATCATGCTATGGCAACAATGTTAACGTTTTATCTTTCTTTTTGTTCACCTTTGTTAAAATGTCATCTCTCATTCGAGCCTTTGGATTTTTTTCATAACGTCCATGGATAGTGCTTCCTCTGACTGCGGACCACTATCATCAACGTTTGAACTGGGGCAGAGAACGGCAACATTGGGAGTCAGAATGGCATGTCATCTTCAGCGACAAATCGCGATTCTGTCTAGGTACGCACGATGATCGTAGAAGGGCAACACGCCGCCGTGGAGAACGCCGTGATACTGGATTGGCTGTTGAGATGCATGTACGCAGGGCTGTTGGGGTAATGGTTTGGGGGGCTATTGCCTATGGTAGCCGTTTACCCCTTCTCTTTGTTCAAGGCAATATGACTTCTACGCGATATGTTGATGATGTCCTACAAACTACTCTACTGCCGTATCTAGAGGGCCGTCCATACGTCCTTTTTCAGCAAGACCACGCATATTGCTTGTCGTAATTAAGTACTTTCTTCAAGAAGCAGACGTGAATGTTTTGCCGTGGCCACCCCGTTCACCGGATTTAAATCCCATCGAACATGTGTGGGATATGATGGGTAGGAGGCTATCCACTTTGCACCATCCGCCACAGACTCTGCCACAGCCAATCCACAAAAGTTCGAGTCGCTAGGAATGAGGTGCCACAACCAGACATCGATTATCTCATTTTGTCGATGCCTAGTCGTATAAAGGAGGGTATTCAGCTGTGGGGTCGCCCAACACATTATTAATTTTTTTCTTGGTACTTTGTCAATAAAATTTCGTGAGAATGATATCGTTTCATTCTTGATGATTTCCAAAAAATCAAGTTGAAATTATTTTTTCTGGGTGTAACACTTCTAATGTCACTGACCATATTCAAATAGTTTCAAACATCATTTGAAGGCTAATCTGCATAAATATTTTTGGTGCATATGCATGAAGAGTAATTTCAAATTTGAATAGGATCAAAATTTTATTCATTGGTATTCTTTTTTTATATGTGGTTCAACTGGAAGAATAGCTACATGAGCTAAGCTTTGATTATTATTTCCCACTGTGCCTCATGGTACTAGCACCAAACTGCCGCCGTATTCGTAATCTACGCACAAAAACTTCAAGGAAGCATACAATCTTGCGCATAACTTAACACGCGTGTAAAACAGATGTATGCCCTTCGGCGATTCCTTATGGAATCTCTGCAAGCGCGGATTTCGGGTTGCGCGCAGCTTTGTCTCTGCTTGCGACATTGTCAATTGTATTTCACTACTTTCCAAAATATTTTCAAAAATATCGCAAAACAAAATATAAAATACACACTGTAAACATGCTAATTTACCTAAGAAAGAAAAATTCAATGTTTCTCAATTTTTATATAAGTAACTTACCTTCCATAGAATGGATACTAAGAATGACATCAGTACAAGGAATGTCAATGTATGGGGACTAAGCTGCAAAAGTTCGTGTCGCAGCGGCAGATTCCAGTGTTCAGCAATCAGTCTATGTGCCGACCTCAAGTAGCAGAAATAACCTGTTGCTGTCAATCTGTCACAAAAAGCAAACAATCAACAAACATGCCAACGAAAATGGTACAGGTGGCAGGATCCATTATAATTATACCCTAGTGTATTACTTTGCACTATTTTAGACATAAATGAAACTTAAACTTAATGATATTAAATCTGTTAGGAATGCAAAGATCTTTAAAAGGAGGATAAAAGAGTTCTTGATGAATTCATGAGTGGTTAGATAGAATAGGTGTGATATGTCACATTTGTTACTATGTAGCAAAATGTGTTCAAAAACAATTGTAATTTTTTGTCAGCATTTCTACTATTTTTGTATTTCAATTAAAGTATCAATTAACGTAATAATTTCAGCAATTATTCATAATACAAAATTACATATTACAGTCTACTATTACTTCCTTTATAGATGTATCACAAGGTTGAGACTATGTTTATAAACTATTGATAATAGGTACCAATCCTGTGAAATACATCTTTGTGAAATAAAAAAAATAAATGGATAAAACAATATCAAAACAACGTGATATCAAAAAAGGTCTTAGATAAGCAGAAAATGCTGATTTAAATATAAAAATACTGGATAGATTAAAAGATGGATTATATTATGCTTGATTGAACACAATTACATGGCATGGTCTGTTAAAAAGAAAGGATATTGGCTTTTTGTGGTTTTGCTAAAATTAGATGTTATGGTTATGAATCCTAAACAATTATTCATCTGTTGGATCAAAAGATCTTTGCAGAAAATGGAAAAATATAATACGACAAGGGAAATGAAACAGTGTACAAAAAACAGTTAGAAAAATGTTACTTTTTATCACACAATCTAGTTGATTGACAAAGATACTGATATATCAGTATCCAGAAACAACTCTGTTGATTTATATATTTTACCATGTCACAAAAAAATAAAAGATTTCTTTATATCTAAACACTATAAATGTACTTACGTAGTTATTGCAAAATCAAACAGCTGCAGACAGAAAAATGGCAACAAGTGGGTTGCTTTGCCTTTTATAGTGCCATAAACCATAACTAGTGTAATTGATAGAGTAAAGCCTGTCATCAATGCTCCCATATCAATATCAGCTAAAATAACATAAAGGGTTTCATTACCAACCAACCATAAAGTAAGTCTAGCAAGAAATACACAAATACCTAACAAACTACTATACAAATGTAACAATTTCTGTCAACTTTGAGCCATGGATGGAAAACCAGAGAAATTACTTACATGAATATATTGGCCTGCCATCTTGAGTTGTAGGCAAATAGTAGGGATTATCATCATCTTTTACTTTGCTCAAAGGAGTTGGCAGAAAATCATTTTGCTGGAACTCTTGCCTTTTAATGTTGATATGATGATTACGCATAACTAAGACAAGGACTGTCAATGCTAAGATATGTAGGACCTAGAAAAATCATAACCATAACAATTCAGGTTAGTTATTAGGTAATTTATAGTTATCATAAAAATTAATGCTTACCAGATGCCATATTCCAAACATAATTGTGGCTGTCCTAACATGAAGACAGCCACAACAACGCCATTCTTTATTCCGATCAGATGCTAGTTTTAACCTCATTGCAAACATTAGAATTCCTATAATAAAATAATAACAATTATTTTACTTTTCTGCAGGAGATAAATATTGGGATTAGTAATACCTATTACACCAGAACTAAGTCTGGTTTTCATTTAATTAAAACCAATAAAAAGCGTGCAATGAGTACAATCAAGTACACAAGTGAGGGAATATAATAAGTTACTTCATGAAATAAAATATGCAGGGACAGTAGGTCATTTCAAAATAATACTTGTCATGCATATGAGAAATTTAATACAATTAGAGTTAATTGAAGAATATGCCTTATGTATTAAATATAGTACACATCATACTCACAAATCTACACTGTGTGAGAAACAAACATTTTAACAATGTGCAATTATTTAGCAAAATATATTTCTAGCAAATTTTGATTATGGTATCAATTATGCTGGATAAGTCTAAATACCACATTTATAAATAAAAAAATGATAGAAATGAATACATATACCCAAAGCAAATGTTGGATTTATATGAAGTTCTTGATGTACTATAATTAGTATGCTGTTTTTTTTCTTACTTTGCTGACAGTAATAAATATGTTTGTAAAAAAACTGTCTTGATTTGCCCATTTTGAAGAATATTTCAACACTAGTTGATAAAAGATTCACTATTCACTAAGTTTAGGATATATCTGGGTTAATAATTTGCTCAAAATTAACACCTCTAAACTTTAGTTAATGTCCTGAAAAAAGCTGATTCTCATTTTGACAGACTACTTTGTCTTTCAAAAAATCCAGTATGATTTTGAAGGGGAAGTTATTTTCCTGATAAAATTGTTTTGAAGCATTTTAAACCACAAATGAGGCCAAATATACAAGTAAATCATGCTGCACTGGGTTTTCCACTTATATCTAATCATTATTTTACAGTACACAAGCAGAAATGTTGCCAGTTTACCAAATTTAATAGTTAGCTACATTGCTAGAATTTCTAAACAAAGGTAGCTAAAATCAAAGTTACCAAATTCTATTTCATATTGAATTACAAAATACCCCTATAACATCTCCAGAAGTTGGATATGGGAAATGGACTTCCATAATTATCAGAAAAATATATTTGTGTATTTATAGTTATGTAAAATCATTTCATACAAAACAACAAATTCAGCAAAAAGAAAAGTGGCATTCATAGCTATTCAAGTATATAATGCTTGATCACCTTATCAAATCAAAATTAGGAATGGATACTAGACTCATGGTCTTGAAATGACCTTACTTAATTATACTAGCATCATACCTTGAATTTACAGGGTTTTGAAAAACAAAAAGAAATTATTAGCAATACTCATCACCAATGCTAGATTAGAAATTGTAAATTTTTCGTATCGCCAATGTTCATAAACTGTACAACAACATCAATTACCATGCTTTAACGTTCTTATCTTTAGTTAAAATGAATAAATTGTTTTGTTATTGCAAATTTTACAATTACCATCTGCGAGATCCCATACTTGGCAAAAAATACAATCGGTGGTTATCCGTTCTGGTGACATGAAAATCTAGGGTTTTAAAAAGTTTGTACATACCTTCTTCGTTGTCTTCTGCCACCTTCAGCAAGTAGCTAAATAAATTGGATGATTATTCGCCAAGAAATTGACACAATTCAAGGTTTATCACAGCAAAATGAATGCGGAGCAATAGGTTTGTTAACTTCTTATTTTTTTTACGTCAGTGTCAGTAGTACAACTCTGCGATGTTGCCAAACGTTACACGAGTACGAGTTAAGATAGTTGCACATTTACAAAAAAACGTGTTTCGATTTACCCAAGCCACGTAGAATAGTGATCCAACCAACGATCCAACTGATATCGAAATTGATTTTCTACATTTGTCTGGTTAGTTACAGCGTAAATATAATTATAAACGGTTAAAATACCTCGTTAGCTACGTGGAAATAAAACATTTGGCAGCATAGGCGACTACAGCGATATCTAACACAAACAACATTGACTAAATTGAGCAGATACAAGGGGAGTGCAATGATTTCCTTCACTATCCAAATGATGGTCAAGGTCAAACTACTTTTGTTTCCCACGCATAATGGTGAGGAATTCTAATCACGAAAAATTTAGAAAACAAGATGTTTTTTGGATGTTATAGAAGATATTAAACACGAAAAACCGTCGTTTCCGTCGGTCTGTCCGCTAATCTTTGAACCGCCTATAACTTGGAAAGACTGCTTGGATTTGAATGAAATTTTCACACAAGGTTACTACTACGTCAAGGTCGAAAACGCTGTGTAGTTTTAAAAATAGAAGCAGTGGCGATGGAGCTGCGGGCAAAAACACAAAAAATAAACATCGCTTAAACTTCGTTTTTTGACGTCCAGATGCTACTCACCATTTTCAGAAAATTTTTTAGGTAAGTTTGACAATCGGAGGTTGGGGGTTCTGGGAAGGTATAATATCTCATTTTGCTAGCGGCAGTATATTTATATGCTTCCAACCCCAGTAATTTTACCGGCCGAACCCTGCCTTACGTCTGACGGCATCGCCGGTAGTGATATTATACGTATCGTGGCTGGCGCTTATTATGTGTTTGAACGGTGTGGTCCACCAGGGTTGCCAGATGGTCGATACAAAGAAAACTATAAAAGTTTTGCAATATGACTTAACAAACGGTCGCATGTTAAGACATGTCCATGACAGCATAGTAGCCGCCAGCAGCATGTTTGCTGATTTTGTTTATTCGTATTGACAGTGTAAAGAGCATCGTTCTCACATGGTGAAATAACGGCAGTTTTACGGTATAACTTTAAGCGTGGTTTGAGCATAGACCGGTGCTTAGAATAAATGACGCTTGCATTAAAGAATGATTGTCCTCATCGTACGACTATATTCAGGTAGTACAGAGCATTCCAAAGGGGCAATTTCCCTATGGAGGACGCTGAGAGGGAAGGAAGGCAGCAAACGTCCGTACCGGAGGAAAACATTACTGCTGTGAGGAAAATGCTTGACGAAGACCAGAGGTGTCATACTTTACAGATAGAGGAGACCTTACACCTTCATGCACCACCAATTTATTCAATTGTGCATGGTAATTTACACGTAAGGAAACTTTGTTATCTGTGGGCACCTCATTGTCTGACGGAAGAGCAGAATACTCGTCGTACGACTTGGTAACGGAAGATGCTGAAAATGTTTGATAAGGGGCAATCTCGGTATGTGAATAGCATCGTAACAGATGACGGGACTTGGCTCTATTATTACGACGTGCTGACCAAGGCTTAAAGCAACGTTTGAGGACACACCCGTAGCTGCCAGAAAATCCTGATCTGTAAAAAAAATGATAGCTATATTTGTCAAATCGAACGGGATTGTGGAGCGTGTCGTTTTGGACACACAGAAGACAGTCACAGCTACGTGGTACACGGGCCAGTGCCTGCCTAAAGTCATAGAGTCTATAAAAAACCTGCGGCCAAAGTCAAGAAACACTTGGTACCTCTACCATGACAACACTCCTGCTCACCGCGCCAAGGCCTGCACCAAGTATTTGACCACTACTAAACCGAAACTTATTGAGCACCCTCCTTACAGTCCTGATCTTGCTCCCTGCGACTTTGCACTGCTTCCGCATGTGAAAATGAAGCTAAAAAGAAAACGGTTTTCTAGCGACGAGGTTCTTCTGAGGGCCTGGGTCAGCGAGCGTGCCGCACTCCCAGATGAAACTTGGCAGAGCTGGTTTAAGACTGGTTTTGGCGGGTGGAAAGTGTATTGAACGTGATGGAAATGACTGAATCAAGTCAATAAATAAAGCTGTATTCCAAAAGTTTTATAGTATCCTTTGTACTTAGGGCAGGGAAGAAAATAGCTTTAGCGTTATCAACTGGATGAGGACTATGAAGTATGTACTAATTTGGGAGCGAGGGCCGTGGCAAATGCTTGTTCCGGAAGTTGTTGTATCCAGTATACAACTTCTTCCCGTCCAAGTGATTGTGCACGCGTTAAGGAATTCCTCAGTACCGATTGCCGGGTGGCGGTACAAGTCCGCCAACGGGCCACTTTAGGTCTATTTAACATCACTAACACGTAAAAAGAAGGTGGTAGACAAGCACCAGTCGACCGAGGCAGTACCACCCGCATGTTTCCACACCTAAGCTATGCAGTCGGTTATCTACCAAAACAAAAAAAATTAATGATGATGGATCCCTCGAGCACTAAGAACTCCGGACGTAAACTCACTCCACTCTCGGAATGTCCGGGTGGAGGGTGGGCTCGAGGGAACAACATCGAAGATAAAATTTGTTTTTCGAACATCTGTGGGATCAACAGTAACATTGATGCTGTTCATCACTACCTGCAATCCAATCGTCCCGCCGTGCTTTTCTTGGCGGAGACAAAAATCTCAGAGACTGCACCGATTAACCATCTCAACTTCCCAAACTACGAGGTGCACTCCAATCTGAGAAAGAACGGGGGAGTTGTGGCTTTTGTCCGCAGCAGTCTTTCTTGCTCCAGGGATCTTTCTTTGGAATCAGACCGGAAGGACATTCTGTGCCTTCGCCTCAACTCCAAAACATCACCCAAATTTATTTGCTGCCTTTATCGCTCTCCCTCGAACCATAACTGGGATGACCTACTCAAATACCTCGCCGTCCAGATCGACTTCCTGAACATCAATCACCCTGCTTCAGAGGTAGTTCTTCTCGGTGATTTCAATGCCCATAATGAGCTTTGGTTGGGCTCAAATAAGACCGATGCAGCAGGTCGTGCAGTCGAAGCGTTCGCTCTTACTCAAGGGCTGACCCAGCTGGTGACGAGCCCTACTTTTTTCCCCCGCGTCTCGTCACACGCCAGTAGCCTGCTGGATCTCTTTCTGACCACGCATCCTGTCCCTTACCGCACTGCTGTCCTGTCCCCACTGGGTAACTCAGATCACGGTGTTGTGGAGGTTAGGTTTCGGTCAGAAGCCGCTGTGGCAGCAGAAACCCGCACAGGCCGCAAAACTTGGCATTACGGACATGCCGACTGGGAGGGGCTCAGAGACTTCTTATCTAGCTTTCCTTGGAGAGATGTCTGTTTCACTGACGCGGATGCGTCGACTGTCTGTTCTTCAATAACCGAAATTATCCACGACGGAATGGAGGAATACATCCCTCACACAGTGAAAGTTCCTAAACCAGGCAGGCTGGTTCAACAAATCGTGTGACACTGCTCGCCAGCAGAAGATCAAGGCACACAGAACCTACTTACAAAACCCCACTGTAGAGAACAGACAAGCCGACGTCGAGTCCAGAAACAAATATAACGAAGCAGTTCGCAATGCCAAAAACCAGCATGATATAAAAGTTAGGCACAGGGTAATGTCGCAGCGTAATGGCAGTCGGTCTTTCTGGACGCTGGCCAAGCAGATTGAAAAGAACTTCTCACACAGTAGCCTTCCACCACTTACGTGTCAGGATGGAGCTATTGTATTCGACTCAAAGGCCAAGGCGGAAGTGCTAGCCAAGATCTTTGCTGCCAACTCCACCATGGACGTCCCCACCAACGCCCAAGTGCCGTCAATTCAAAGGGTTCCCCACACTATGCGGGAGGTAACATTCAGGCATAAGACCGTCAGACGAGTGCTCTTGTCGCTCGACATCAACAAAGCTTCTGGTCCGGACTTGATTCCTGCCATTGTACTGAAGAGATGTGCAGCGGAGCTTGCTCCAGTTCTTTCGCGTCTCTTCCAGATATCTTATGAATCCGGCACCTTCCCAGAAAACTGGAAATTTGCTCATGTACAGCCCATCCCAAAAAAAGGATCTAAGACAGACCCTTACAACTACAGGCCTATAGCTCTGCTTTCTGTTATAAGTAAAGTGATGGAGAGGTGCATAAATCGCGAGCTTCTGGACTATCTCGAACGTCACAGCTTGATTAGCGACAGGCAGTACGGTTTCCGGCACCAACGATCCACAGGAGACCTCCTAGCTTACGTCACGCAACTGTGGAGTAAACTCATCCAGTCTCATGGTGAGGCTCATGTCGTTGCTCTTGACATCACGAAAGCGTTCGATCAGCTGTGGCTCGCTGCCCTCTTAAGCAAACTTCCATCCTATGGTCTCCCAGAAAAGCTTTGCAGATGGGTGGCTGACTTTATCTCTGGCCGCAAGATATCCGTCGTAATTGACGGATTCTCCTCTTCATCCCACAACGTCAACGCGGGTGTTCCCCAGGGATCGGTCTTGGCTCCAACACTGTTTCTCTTACATATCAACGACCTCCTTTCCTGCACGATCAACCCAATCCACAGCTTCGCTGATGACAGCACTCTACATGCAGGCATTCAGAGTGGCAAGCTGATCTCTGCGGCTGAGCTGGAAAAAAGAAGACTAGCGACGACTTCTTCTCTGACAAGAGACCTGGAGGCTATCAATGCTTGGGGACGCAACAATCTTGTACAGTTCAATGCTTCCAAAACACAGTACTGTACTTTGACGAACAAAAAGCGTCCTAGCTCTCATACAGTTTCGATGGACGGCCGAGTTCTACCAAAGAGCCATTCACTTCGGCTGGTCGGAGTCCAGATCACCGAGGACTTGATCTGGCACGAACACATCTCTTCAATAGCTGCAGCTGCTGGGAAAAAGCTAGGCTATTTGTTCAGGGCTAAGAAGTACTTTTCTCCGCATGACCTTCTCACTCTATACAAGGCCTAGCCTCGAGTATTGCTCACACATTTGGGGTGCTGCCGCCCCCGACTACATTGTCCATACTCGATGCTGTCCAGAGGAGGGCCGACTGATCGATGACTCTTCTCTAACAGACAGTCTCGGGACTCTTTCGCACCGGCGGGTCGTCAGCGATCTAGCTTTTTTCTATCGCTACACCAACGGGCTTTGCTCCTCAGAGCTCTCTTCCATGATGCCGCCGCGCGATGTGCCTGCCAGACAGACCCGCCTGACTTCGGCGTCCCATCCTAACCGTGTCAAACTTCGTACATCCAGAACTGGCCGATACGACCGCTCCTTTGTCCCGAGGGTGTCTAGATTGTGGAACAATCTACGGGAGGAAGCTGTTCCCAGTTCTACTAACCTTAGGCAGTTCAAAAATCGTATTAACAAAATTTCCTTGGGATCATCATAGCAGCCGCGGTGTTCCGGCATTTAGGCTTCTGCCTGCGCGGCTGTATCGATATATAAAAAAAAAATGTACTATAGATGGGCCTGTGGACGCTTTATTTTTTTATACGTTTGTAGCTCGCTCAAAAGGACTAACTTGTGCCAAACATATCCTTTATGAACTGATCAGAGCGTTGCATGGGAAGTGCTGACGCCATTTTTTTCAGATTATAAGTTTTTGACAATTCTAAAGCCTTGTTGTACCATGTTTCTTACCGTCTTGCTCGTATTAGGGCGTTGGTAAGAAAATAATACTGAGACAGTCATAACTTAAATTTCTATATTTTCAACAGTGTAGTGGTGGTAAGGAAGTGGTTTGAAAAAATAATATATGAATAATATCCATTTATTCCAAGGTTGATACAATATGTACAGAAAATAAGATTCAAAATATCACAAAAGTTGGATTTTTCTTTTTCAAATATTCATATATATGTAGTAGTGCAATCTCTACAAAATATTGCAATGAAATAACATGGCTAAAAATAAAATTAGCAGGATTTAAAACTAAAATTAAAAACATTAAATGGCAATAACACAGTCTTATAGCAATCAACTAGTTTTATACGCAGTAATTATTATAAGTAAAAAGCAAGATGAGGAATTGGTTCATTTTGCTTGGATTTAGATCCGTTTAAAATGCTTGGTATTAGTGGCAAATTTAGTAAAAAGCACCCTATATATTATTTGAAAGGAATTACAAAAATATATCTTCAATGGAAAATGTATTTGAATATCTTCCACAACCTATGGAATCTAAGATATACAGGGTGAGTTTTTAGTGTGTGCTCGGTCGATAACCCCGTTATTACGCTTGACATCTAGTTAGAAAAGTTGATTACAAAAATTGTAGGCATCAGTGTGCTTTACATGGGAAACATTTTTATTTCTACATGGTGATACATAACTACGTGGTGGCTCAAACATAAATTTTTGAAATGGAGAAACCTGCTTTTTATTGCAGATTCGGATAGGCCATTTCAATCGACGCAATTTGATACTATATATATTATTTCTAATTTGTTGAGATATTGGACAATTTTTCGAAAAAACACAACTTCAACTTCACCTCCGCAACTGCTACCGCTAGACTTCTGAATTTTTCATCAGAAGATTTTTGTGACCCGACATTTTCTTCATATAAACTTACTCAGTTCTTTCGATACACTACACCCAAATCGAACGATTTCTCAAAATTTTGAAATGAAACACCCTAAATATTTTCACACCATTTGATTCCCCTTTTCACAGGTTTTTTTTTCAATATGGGACTTTGTACCCATGGTTTTTGAGTTACAATGAACGTTTTTGTAAATCGGATATCATGATATGATATATTACAAACCCTTTCAAAATAAAACAGCATTCAATTAGAAACTGCAGATGGTTAAAATTGTGCATTTTCTTTATTTTAAGCATATATGCAACAAAGTAGAAAGGAGGTGTCCCTGTATTTTAGTAACTCAAAAAACAGTTGTACGAAACCTATAAATCTTATATCGCAAAAAAGGCTGTGAAAAGTGTAATCAGATAGTGTGTAAAGATATAAGTATCTTTATACAGGATGTTGAATTCAATTCAATTGTTCATTTTGCGTTCTAGACCAACCTGTATAAACCTACAAAAAGATTGAAAATGTAAGTATATAGTGATAAAATATGGGATCATAAAATTTTTCTGACGAACAATTCAGTTTGCTACCTGCAACAGTTGAAGAGGTGCAAATTGTCAAAGTTGAGTGTTTTTTTTCTCGAAAGATATAGTATAATATATCATAATGCTTCGTTTGGAAACGCCTACCCGAATCTGTAATAAAATGTAGGCCATGTTTGGATCACCACGTAATTATGAATCACCCTGTTGAAAAAAAATCCAAGTAAGGAGCACACTGCTACAATTTTTGTGATCAACTTTTTTAGACACCATTCGTAACAGGCAGCAGCGGTCGCCGCAGTGATAGACGCTTCGTCTCCTGATCAGTCGCCGTGCGCTGCGAGGGTTCGTATCCCGTCCCAAGACAGATTTTTCTCTTGGCTATGGATGTTGCGACTGTCCGTAGGTGATAAACGGTCTCCGACTGTCGTACGCGGAAATACCACCCGGCGGAACTCATAGGCGGGGCCAATGCTGCATGCACACGTATTCCCTCGCTAGAGTCCGTGTTGCGTCCCCGCCTTTTCCCCTGTATCCCCCTATAGCCAAACGGTACCCCATGGGTGCTTAGGCTTCAGGCCTTCCTGGTATCTGGAGTATAAAAAAATAATGAAGATATCTACCGAGCCCACACTAAAAACTCACCCTGTATATTATTTTGCACCTGTGATACTATGTCACACTGATAAGTTTATTATAGCGAACTACCAAATATAACTTAATAAATACCAACACCATCATCTGGAATCATCAGTGTAACATTAATAATCCTAGATACATTGCTTTTCGCTTCTCTACACCTTCAAATATAAACTAGACGCTTAAAAACCTTATGAAATACCATGGCCAAATGTTACCTAGAGAAGTTCAATTGAGTATCGTATGTCAAGATTCAACCATCTTTTCATAAAACCTCCTCAGCTGTTTTATGTCCGTGCAGAGCAAGTTTCAACAAATTTCATAATACCGGTTAAAGGATTGAGATTTTCACGATTGAACGACAAAAAAAAATTGCTTGAGAACGAAGCACTACCGAAACTATAATATAGAAACTTTTTTCTGGAAAACAACAAACCTCTCGAAGTTTACCCACATAAATATTTAAATGACACCTCGGATATATATTTAAAATCGAAGTATGAGGAGTAACTTTAGTACCCATATTGCGAAAAACATCGCCAATAAATATATAACAAGTAACACAGTCCAAATTTATTTTCAAAAATGAATATTTATAATTATGAGACATAAAAATCAATCACTAACTGCTGGCGTAGACATTCATGTCACTCGTACGTTTTACTTGCAGCCAAGTCGTCATGCAACATTTAGTTTTTGTGATATTCGACGTCATGTGATCATCAAGCATACAGACGCAGTATTTTCCTTGAGCAGGTTGATACACAAATCAACAGAAAAAAAATCAACTTTCTGTTGATTTTACTTCTGGCAATCAAGTGATGAAAAAGGACGATTGTATCATGAATTGAGACTGAACAAGCAGTTTTAACAATAAGACGTAAGGCATAACAAAAATTGGTACTTCTAATTGTTTTGTGCAACTTTGGGTAAATTTACAAAGTTATATACATATTTTAAACGTGCAAACAATACAAGTTTTATTGATATTGGGATTTCTAAAATACTGAAGTTTTAAAAATAGTGCAGAAAAGTACGTTTTATTTTACTTTTGTCGCGGCAAAATACTCTCTTGTATTTTTCACCGCTCTCCTTACATTCTCCACTGATCCATCCAATGTGAACATAAAATAAACAAGAGCAGTAATGAGTGAAAACATTGATCATCTGGAAGAAAAATGGCCCAATACGAAAAATTTAGTTTTTTAGTTAAGTGTTGAGTCGTGGAAAAGCCATAAAATATAGTCTATTTTCACCAGGAAAGGCTCATATGGTTTAAACTAAAGAACTCAGATAGATTGTAAAGGCGCAATTCCACTGAGGAAACTTTTGGACAACATGTAGCATAGAGGCATCACAAAGCGACAAAACAATATCTGCTTGCCGCATGCCCCAATTTGCCCTTTGTTGCCTGCCGAGGGCGCCGTCAGCGACATGAACCCACGTGTTGATCAGTGTCGCCGGTTATCCAAACCCGTTCGGATCGGTGCGGCTTGAAGCAGGCGACAAAATGGAGTGGACCAATGAAGAATCATTATCTTTAATCGAAGATTATCATAATCCGGATGATTTATGGAATAACAAATCGGAAGGTATAAAGATGCACGACTAAAGTAGGATAAATTACAGGAGGCAAAAATTGTTGGTGGCTACGGCCACTTGCTAGCGTACAGTACCTTCAGTCTTTTAGACGTAAACGATTGTTTGCTTCTTGTCCAGCTGTCTCCTTGACTTACCAATAGCGGACGAGCAGACCTATACCGCACTGACGAGGACTAATGAGCCCGAAACAGTACAATCTGCGGTTGGTTGTGGTTTTAGGGGGACAAGAAGGAAACATCTTCTCATTTTCTTTCCATAGTTGACTTAATTATTAAAGGGTTGATTTCTTTAAATAGGAAAATACAACTGTTCAGTATTGGAAATTGCTTGGTTCAGATATCCGAAAGAGATACATAAGCGTACCCGTAGCCAAATATCTTAATGTTACTAGCAATCTCACGCGGGGCGTTATTGTTTCCCGAAAGTTGGTATCACATTTTTTTACCATAGGCAAGATTTTTTTCAAGTAAGTAGTGAAAATCGTCTCTACTCATCCGTGTGAAATTTCGGAATAAAGCATCATCGTCAGCCACCCAGTTGTTGTAAAAATTGTACTGAATTTCTTGACCATCTACGTATATATTTCTTCTCCAATATTCTGGCGTTTTTCGTTTTCTTTTCCGATCCGAAGAAATTACTAAATAAGTAGCCGCCGCGACTGTCTGTAATGACATGGCGTACTAAACTGGAGTTGCTTGAATTGAATCGTGAAGACGCATGCTACACTCATGTACGACAAAGCGCATGTCACATAGGGGAACAAAATCCGCATGCGGCATTAATAGAATTTTGGGCAACACTGTCGAACATCAATAAGAGGCAACACTGGGAAACAAGTAGCATGCCACATGTCGTTCATTGTTGCATCAGTGGAATTGCGCCTTAACACTTACTATTGAAATGTTGCAGAAATAATGGCAAGAACTTTAAATCGTGTTTTCCTAACAATGCAGCTTTTTGATTTATGTCACTTTTCTTCCGGACGAGTGATATGGAACCCATCAAAAACATCATCTGATTCAAAAGATTGTAAAATCCATGAGTGAATTTTTTTAAATATTATACCCCATTCTCGCGTTCAACATCAAGGTACACGAATGTAGATATTTTTTCTTTAGCAATAGTACGGAAACGCATAAAACAAATGTCGACCATTTAGGTATACTCATCTATGTTTGCATAATAAACATCTGCAGAGATTTTGATAGTAATCCAGAATACCCTGCTACTTACTAATACCTCAAATTTCGCAGAATCCATCCTAAAAGTTCATTCTCCTTAAAACAACCTTTTTGATTAAATTACCTAAGAATAAAAACTCAGACTGCTCTCAAAATATGGCATATTTTTAATATTCATGGTATAGAAATGACTCCTAGGCCCACCCCACCCTCATGGGCGATCATATCTGCAGCGTAGGTCCATTTGTCCGCTTTAGGGTCGTACACTTCGACCGTGACCAAGTTGGAGATGCCGTCGTACCCTCCTACGGCCCACAGTTTGCCCATGTTGGCCGTCAAGGCCACTCGGCTTCGTTGGGCATTCATTGGAGCTACGTACTGCCACCTGAAAGGTTTAGAACGAAATTAGGACTGCAGCCGGTTAGCAACCAAGATAAATCCAATGGTTAACGCATTCTCTAGAAAGATGTCTAACAATATTATGTATTTGATGTTTTCTTCACAGCAATGTTGCCAAATAGAATAGCAATACTTCCCATAGGGCACAGATACCATCACATTACGTCTTTTAAGTTTTGCATATGGAAATAAAACAACACGGTAGGTAGTTTTAAATGACTTTATTGTTTTTCGAAGTATTCTCCACGAAGATTAATACACATCTGCATGCGCTCGAACCAATTTTCGAAGCACTTATTCCACTCGTTTGCTGGCAGATCCAAAAAGGCATATTTGAATGCGTCAACTGCTTCTTCTGGTAACTGGAACCTTTGACCACGCAGTGTGTTTTAGTTTTCGGAAAAGTAAAGAAATCGTTAGGACTTAGATCGGGACTATATGGAGGATGGTCCAATAATTCCACGTTTTCTTCCGTTAAATACTGCCTTGTTTTTTGGGCTGTGTGCGAGCTTGCATTGTCTTGGTGGAGGATGGTTCTTCTTTCGGGGTTGATTTTTCGAAGCTCGGTGATGCCTTTGGCAAACAAATGGTGGTATACCAATACGCAGTAACAGTTCTTTGCTCATAAAGAGGAATTGTTGCAATATGACCCGATTTTGACACAAATGTCGCGACCATCTTTTTCGAAACACTTCGAGAACGGATTACTTTTGTTGGCTTTTCTTCACTTTGAAACACGCAAACAGCCGACGGTCGTTTATTTTCTGATTCATCACCACTAACAATGCTGTACACATTTTTGGAGTTTCCGGAATTGAAGCGGTCAAGCGTTTTTTGACACCAATTAACCCTGGCTGCTTTCTGCTCTTCAGTCAACAGGTGGGGTATCCAACGAGAAACTAATTTTCTTACTCCTAATTCTTCATGTAAAATTTTTTGAATTGAAGTTTTTGAGATCTTCAAGGACGCCTCAATCTCGCGATATGTCACATGTCTATCTTCAATGATGAGTTTGCGCACAGCATCGACGTTTTCCTGGGTGAATGCCGTTTTTGGTGCACCCACCCTGGGATCATCGCTAAGACTCACCCGTCCACGTTTGACTTCTCCATACCAACGAGAAATTGTCGACTGATGTGACGCTTCGTTGCCGAAAACAGACAGTAACTCAGCAAGGCATTCTTGTTGCGATAATTGTCTCTGAAGGTTGTAATAAATTATGGCGCGAAAATGTTCTCGGTTGAGTTCCATTTTTCTAATGATTTGGTGACACTTAAAAATTCACTGTAGTGAGAACACTGCACGTATTGTTGTGAAACTTTGCATTTAAGTTTACTAAAGAGTGAGGTTAAGATTCAGTACTGACGTTCGATCCGCGCGGCCTACTATGTTTCTATATGCAAAACTTAAAAGACATCCCTCGTATTATCCTCTGCTTTCATAGTCGCTCTAAGTTGTACACATGATGGATATGTCACCGTCATTGTTAGTGAAACAGACAGCTTTCGGTTGAATCGAGTATGGAGCCTAAACACTGAAAACCAAATTTGTTTGATGGCTTGAGAGAAGCTTGTACAGACACATATGTTAGACAGAAATAGAAACCGGCTGCATAGCGAAGATCATCGTCACGTTGCTCAGCAACGCTGACGCGGAAATTTGCCGGGGTGCCAACATGTTACACCAGTTCCTTGGATTAAGATGCATGTTAAAAATATGCGTTAGTGTATTCTTTACGCCCAAACAATGGTTTTAATTTGTGCGTATACATTTTTCAATTGTGAATTTTTTCGAATCTGCTTAGGATCGATTCCGGATCGGTCCTAACGGCGCTCCATTTTAGATCGAAATGAAAGGTCAGGATCGCCACAAATTCTGCAACATTGCATCATCATCATGGTTTGTTTGACAACACCGCATCTTGTACATTCTAACGCACCGTGTCCACCTCCATGATCATCGTTGAGCGACTTTGGTCAATACCCATTTAGCGCTCGTAGGGGAATGTCGTCTTGCTTCGAAATGGCTTTCACCTAAGTACACACAAGCAGTGAGCACTTGTATTGCGTAACATTATTTGTTACATTTTCCAATTGCAGTGCTGTCGCAAAATGTAACAATAACTCAGGATGTGTCGATTTTATCACCATCTGTAGAAATCAAAGATAATTCCAAAATAAATTAAAACACCAAATCGCATCAAAATTGAAATAAATAATTCTAATCAAAATGAAAACAAAATATTGAATTAAATGTTTGAATAGAGCTCCTCCTTGGGTTTGAGAGTAACCTAACCTATTGTAGGAGCTGTACGAATATTTTCTCGTGTGACATATTGGTAACGCGGCAGATTGCAGGACCTTCTGCGTCACCGATTCTGCGATGTGGTGATGACTTTCGCTGAGCAAGCGACTTCTATCTCTAACATACACACTTATCGTGCTTCTCTCTCATTAAACATTAAACTCAAGCCGTCGGTCAAATTTGGGTTTCCCTGTATACCAGGAGAAGCTACGGCAATACTGTTCGTGTTGTAAAAACGACTCCGTCTGGAGTCGTATCAATGGTGCTTTGACAAGGTTATCATGTCGGGGGTTTTTCACCAAATTTGGGAGATGTCCTTGGGAAAATCACAGTTTTCGCAGATAGAAAGCATCCCCCCGCTCTTTGAACAAAATCTACCGCTTTCCATTAATTACCTGTGATTTGGGGATTTTTTTTACTTCGCCGGTTTTCCTGATATATAACGTTCATGTTAATAATTATAGTGATATTGATAAGCAGCCTGACAAGGTGCGCAGCGAGATTAACTGGCCCACCATATGTCCTTAGGAACAATGAAAACATAATATCAACCTTAAAATTTAGATAAACTAGTCAGGAGCTGTTGAATCCGGTGACCTTGGTGGCCAGTTGACATCACCAAATCGAGAAATTAAACGTCTCGGAAATATTGTTCGCAAGAGATCCATTGTTTCCCTACCTGTGTGACAAGTTGCTCCATGCTGCTGGAACCACATGTTTTGCAGGTTAAATTGTTGGATTTGAGGAGCCAGAAAGTTTTGCACTGTATCACAAAATGCAGGGAATTACCTGCAGCGTCTTCAAATTAGTAAGGTCTAATGATACCACCATACCAAACACCGCACCAAACTGTGGTCACTAGGCTGTAGTTCTTGGGTTGACTGAAGTTTGTATTTCCGCAAATGCAAGTCTTTTTTTTAAATAGTGCATAATGACGTGCGACGAATACCCAGTTCTTGAGAACGATTTCGGGTGGTACGTCTCAGGCCGCTCCACTACACTTTCATGAACTCTCTCGATATTTTCCGGAGTACGAACAGTCCGAGCACGGCCCGACCTTGGCGGCAAGTCCTCAACTTTAATTGTTTGTTCAAATTTCCGAACCAACTGACGAATGGTGTTGACACTGGGCACATTATTTCGACCGAAATCTTGTCGTAGCTTCCGAAACGTTGCAACAATCGACTCATTATTTAAGTAAAACGTTTTAACAATATGGACACACGTGCTTTAAACAACTACTACGGCGCCACTTCTGAAATGCGTGTATCAAAAATTGCGCGCAATTTATAACTATCAGTTATATATTGGCCACCCTGTATAACAGTGCCTTCAATAAAATAGTCACATAGACATTTAAGATAAACGTTAAGAAACAGAAGCCCCCCCAAAAAAATTGGAGTTGTGTATAGGGTTATGTTACCTTACATACCAATGTCGTGTTAAAATGGGATCAGAAATGTTTAGCTTTTTGCTTCAGCGTCTAGTCTTTTTCCAAATAATACTCACTTGTTTGTGTTAGGATCAAACATTTCAACAGTTTGCAAAAACGAACTACCGTCATATCCTCCACAAGCGTACAGTTTTCCTCCTAGCATTGCAACGCCTAATCTACATCTAAAAATTTATGAAAAATCAATATTGTTCGAATGCTATGAGCTCTTCTTTTCTTACCTCCTTGTCAGCATAGGTGGCGCCTCGGTCCAGGTATTGGTAGCAGGGTTATACCTCTCAACAGAGTCGAATATGGACAAGCCATCATGACCTCCTAATGCATAAATGTATCCTGCAATGGAAAACTGTCATGATTTATTAATTCTAATAAACACTGTGAATCCGATATATAAACCTCAAAAGCAAGGTGAAGAATTTCATGTTCATCGTTGAGCGACCTTATGTCTAATCTTTGAATATAAAGTTCAACGTCAAGGTCAAATCCAAGGTGAAGATCTGATAGCCAAGGAAACATGTTAAACCCAAGTCTCCTGAGATTCATATTGTTTTCACAAAATTGTACTGTTCAAATCCTCTTATATAAGTAAAAGGAGAAATCTCAAGAAAGGGTCCGAAAAGATTATACAAAAGTTCTACCTTGACAAGCTATCACAGCGCCCGCGCTTCTTGACTTGTTCATAGGAGCCAATGAACACCACGAATTTGTACTTGGATGATACCTTTCCACAGAATTTAAGGATGTTACACCATCATATCCGCCACAAACGTAGATTATGTCGCCTAAAGCTGTTGCACCTAATGCACTAAATGAAACAAAAGAGCTGGTAAAAAATATGGTACTAAAATGCCTTGTGGAAGTTCATTGAAAAACACTGTCAAAAATATTTTCCAATGATTGAAAATGTTGAGGTAGGGGTGAAAGACCCTTCAGTATACCTTCTTTTGCAGATCATAGGAGTAACCATGGACCACTCCCTTCTGATGGCATCATAAACTTCAACACTAGAAAGTCTATCTTTCCCATTATAGCCTCCAAAGGCGTACAATTTGCTTTTTAATACTGCTACACCTAATCTTGACCTCATCATAGTCATTGGTGGAGCCATGGTCCACTTGTCTAGTTTAGGATCGTAGTATTCAACAGTGGACAGCGAATCACCTGGAAAAACCATCTATTAGAACAAGCATTAAAAAGTTCCGTTTTTACATAAATTATACTCCATCGTTCAACTAAATTATAGTCTAATACAGTTCTTACCATGCCTGTTGAGGCCTCCAACAACATAGATATACCCCTTTATGTCAGACACTCTTGGTTCTGTTCTAAAACTCTGAATCAAAGCTCTTCTTTCTGGGATCAAGTGAAATGTTAGGGCTTCATCTACTAGATCCCTGGAAGAAAATCTAGCATTTAGACATTTATATCGGGTGTCCTGAAGCTTGGGACTTCCCTTTACAGAGCGTATAAGTTTTAAGTTATGAAAAACTCTAAATAAGCCATTCCGACCCTGCCTCCCTCCCCTACTACGACAAAGCGAATGATGTTTTGTGATACTATGACTATTTGAGTCGGTATCCAAATTAGGCGCCGTGCGGTCTGTGGGTTAACCTAGTTTATAATCAAACGGCATTTGAAAACCGAAATTGACACATTTCTACAGCAATAATGCAGTTATCGATTAGATGTTAGTTTACTGAGAGCATCTTGAAGATAATATTGATTTTCGCCTATACCGATATGTCAAACGCCGATAATACTACCCATTTATCTCTGTGGGTATTCATTGGTTGCTACGCATCATAACAAGTCAAAACAACTAGTCACATTTTCAAGAAAGCAGTTACGTTTGGACACGGGTATAAAGAACTTCTTTCCATTGGCTGTGGAGGATTCTGATGATGGCATTCTAATTTGTAGTGGTAATTGTAAAATAAAAAAAAACCCGTTAATTAGAAAACACAGCAGTATGATGTAGCTCATGAACTGTGATGTGATACTATTAAATGTAAGGACTCTTTCGGAGTATCATCAAGCCCTCTTTTTATTTTCATTTTACCTATCACAGTCCTTCAGTCTGGTGACACTAAAGTAAAATTACAAATTACTATATGAAACTGCACTCCATGAAACGCATAATTCACAGTCCTGAGCTCTCTGTTGCAAGCAGCTTTAGTTTATCATTTCAAGAAATCAGATTCAGGAAACAGGTTTCCTCAATGTCCATCGCGCTTAGTTGCTTTGATTTGGCTGTGACAAGTTTAATATGTACATATAGATATTGCAGATGCAAAAAACTAGCGCCGACCATCTGAGAAAAAATTCCTAGCCAAAGCGTTTACTTTGAGACAATTCCAGCGACGTCCGATTTTGCTCCTGCTAGGCATCGCTTGTGTGGTCAAGCTGTCAAACGTAGATGGGAAAAAGTCAGATTCAATAGAAAGGTGATGGAAGAAAGACATATCTGATAGGCAGGTGATGGGAAAAAGATATGAAAGATAACCTATTTTTCACGTTTTGACGTCTATTCACTTGTACAGCTGATCAACGATTGATATGTTTGTCTGTTCATAACATTAGATATGACGGATATGAGCACAGCTAACTAGCACTGCGTAAAGTACGGATAAATCTACTCTACTAAATGTTATTTGGATGAACCACTTTGCAAATTAAAAAAAATTGACACTGGTTGACGGAAGTCGCGTATGTTAAACAGGATATGCGGAGCTGTGGTAGCTGTTAGCAAATGCAGTCGGTAGCTAGCAATATCCTGCCACTGAGCACGCACGCAGTGCCAGCTAATTAGCAGCTAGTGCAACTGAAAGTAACCAATGAATTAGACCTTAATGTTATTATGCTTTCCATCGACTCAAGGCTGTTGAGCTTAAATACTTTGCAATTTATATCATCATTGGACATATGCTACATAATAAATTTTAAGTACTTTAATATCGACAAATGACCTGGGTTGATAAAAAATTAAACAAAATTTAGTTAATTTCCATAGTATAAAGTTAACTTATGCTGAACAAAATAGTGAGCTGTCAAGATAAACCCCTAGGTACTTCACACTATGGTTCATTGGTAGACTGTCCACAACATCTAAATAAGACACCATAATCCACTTTTACTATGGCAAACATAAGTTCAGTTTTATTGCTATTCAGGATAAGAACATTGTTGCATCAATTTTTTTACATATTTTGACATTCATTTGTTGCAAATAGACGTTAACATACATAAATTGAAGTTTTTACACTGTATGAGTATGAACAAAATCTCTTTCCCTGAGCAAGTTATCTGTGCAATTCCAAAGCTGACATCACTGGGACTTCCAGGTACACAAAAAATCCATTTTCACCTAAATTTCGGCCTCATATTCGCATTCAACGCCACAAGTTACTTGTATGGACTTCATTCACTTGCGATAATGGAAGACGATAATGAAAAATAGTGATTACCTGCACTGTATTGAATATCTAATTTGTTCTTCATTCCTAACACGGTCTGTAATGTATAATGGCGTTAATAATGGCAAACGTACTAAAGATAATAATTCTGGCAAGTGCTCCTTCCTTCTTTCTATATCATGTTTCACCCATCTCATGCAGGCTTCAAATACTTGCTCCTCACTGACAAAAAAAAAACAAAAAATGAGTAATATCAGCATTCAAACACATTCAGACACAAATCCCACAGACTAATCATATTAAGTACTAGATTGCTGGTCAAACATCATCAATTTTCAAGCTTTATAGTTTAATATGTTTGATGTTAGCATACAGGGTCCGGCACTCGAAGTGTAACCAACTTCAGACTGCTCTCCCATCTGTCACACAGACAGCAGCTGTCAATAAATTTGCTAAATGACAGTTCTGAGTATTGTCTTCACGCCTATAAAAGCATTTTGTCAAAAGTCAACACAAAAGAAGTTATAAGCTATGGAATTCAAACGCATTAGTGTGATTACTTCATATTTGTCTGGAAAATCACAACCAGCGATTGTATGTGAGCTCAAACATGTCGATGTGAATATGGTTTTTGTTTATCGCACCATAACACGTTACAATGAGGTAGCATCGCTAAACGTCATGGATGTGGTCATCAGAAGAGTGCAACATCACCTGAGATGGTTCGAAATGTAAAGAAGCGACTTGAGCCAAATCCACGATGAAGTGCCAATCAAATGCCTAAAGAACTGAAAATATCCGATCGCAGCGTGCGACGCATACTGAAAAATGAGCTCAAGTTCCAAAAGGCACATGATCTTACACCGAAGCAGCAACAAGTAAGACTTGAGAGAGCTAAGGAGCTGCTTCGCTTGGCCGATAGTTGTCAATTAACAAACATTGTGTTTTCTGACGAGAAACTTTGGAATAAATAAAAATCATTTTCCAAACAGAATTATGGCATTTTGAAAAGGTTACACATTGAGTGCCAGACAATGAACAGAATTAACACTGGCTATAGATAACTTTTGATGATGTCAATATCATAAAGAGTCATTTTACAGGAAACATTGCTTGACATTTTTGTCCATAACACCATCAACAAATGCTCAATTTCTTTACCATTTTACAATTATCATTTATCTTGATAGATGAGCTACATAATACAATGGATATTTTTATTATACCTTTCTACTCTGAGATCATTCTTGCTTAACATATCCTTTACTTGATTCAAGGATAAATTTAAATATTCCTCATGCTGTGACACTTCATGGAAGTAAGATTCTATGTATTTTTCTGCAGAATCTGCCAATGTTGAACATCCTAATGACTCAGCAAAGTGTCTGAAGCCTAATGCATTTTGTGGATGAATCCTAAAAAAATGATTTATTGTAGCACTGTTCCAAACTTATGAGAAGGCTTTTCCAAACATTTTCTTATATATTAAGATTGACTTGCTTATAGGTAAACTGTTGCATCATGTTGTAATTTCGCCTTATTTATATGAAAGCCCTGGAATTTATATCATTGAAAAATATGTATTTTATTTATTGTCTGTTACACGTTCTCAGTATTTAGAATTGTCAGTCAAAAGTTAAAATTAGTTATAGTCATCAGTCACAAGTGACAATTAGCTATAACTGGGAGTTACAAGTGAAAATTAGCTATAACGGTCAATTACAAGTAACAGTTAGCTATAATTGTCGGTTACAAGTCACAATTAGCTATAATTGCCTATTACAAGTCATAATTTAATTATCAGTTATAGAACACAGTTACTTCTATGTTTTATTTACAAGTTGCAAGTAACTATAATTGTTACAAATTGTGGATAGCTATAATTGTCAGCTGTAAGTGACAATTATCTAAAATTGTCAATTGAGCTAATTACATCTTGTCCCTGGCAATTACAGCTAATTGCAACTTGCAACAATTATACCTAACTTCAGCTTATAACTGACAAATATAGCTAAAAGCAACTACTTGTAACTGACAAGTATAGCTAATTGTAACTTACAATTGTCAATCATAGCTTATTTTCATCTGCAAATAAAGCTGAATGCAATTTGTAACTGCCAATTATATCCTTTTCATGCTTTTGTACCTCTATACCCATAACAAAAGTGTAATGAATACCTTTGCAACAGATAGTTAGCACAGGCATCTCTAACTTTATTTAGTTGAAGATATGAAGCACCTATCATAATACTTTGTACATTATTTTTATCTAATGTAACTTTTCCAGAATATGCAAAGTTGATCAGAGCTTCCAAAGCCCTAAAAATAGAATCATTTTTGTGTTATGTGACTATCTCTTCTATGACTTTATCCTTACGTTGCATCTATACACTTGATCTCAATCTCCTTATTCCTTGACTCAATCATATCGTTCATAAACATGGCATGAAAATATGGAATGGTTGAAGCTAGAACTATTTTGTGAGCACTAAAATGTTGACCATCAACCTGCAATACATATATGAATATTCAGGTTTTTAAAGATCAATTCAAATGACTTACTTTAAGGATAACATCACACAATTTGCCTTGCCGTCTAATATCAGCCATAATTGGGAAGGCTGAGGGAAACAGATCATTTTGCTGGAAAACCAGATTTTCATTATTCATTTCTAAAACATTCCTTGTGGGTTGGCTTGTTGATTCTATGGCATTCCAATTGACCAACGTGTCCGGGCCGTCGTAATTCCAGTCCATGTCATTCAGATAAGCTCTTTCTAGTTTTGGCTTGGACATTAATCGAAAATAAACGATTTTATCACGAAAATAATACACAGATAATTTTTCAACAAATGATTGCCCTTGACAGTGACAGCTGCTTGTGATGACGTCTTTTGGTTTGCGAATAACCAAAATTTCCGTATTATGTACCGCGGTTATAATATGGTTCAGGACGACACTCGGGATGATGACGTCAGTTACTCGAATCGCTTGAACGCGTTGGTTTTAACCGCGGTTTGTTGGAAGTTGTTTATTTTAGAAAAGCGCCTATATAATTTCTGATTATTTTTATTATCACTTAATAATCGGTGCTTTTCCGTCTACAATGGGGTATGGAAAGTTGAAAAAAAGAAAACTTTCATAATATTAATAACCAAAATTTCCGTATTATGTACCGCGGTTATAATATGGTTCAGGACGACACACGGGATGATGACGTTAGTTACTCGAATCGCTTGAACGCGTTGGTTTTAACCGCGGTTTGTTGGAAGTTGTTTATTTTAGAAAAGCGCGTATATAATTTCTGATTATTTTTATTATCACTTAATAATGGGTGCTTTTTCGTCTACAATGGGGTATGGAAAGTTGAAAAAAAGAAAACTTTCATAATATTAATGGGAGGAATGTTTTTTTTGAGAAAATTTTGTTTACTGATGGAACCATGGTTTTGTCTATGATAACATGCAATTCTCTAAACTTTTCCGCATGTCAAAGAAGATATTTATTGATTTAGCAGAAATGATGAAAAAGCGATGAAAAACAGATATTAACAAAACCGTATACAGGTGGACACCATCCAGTGAGTTTATATGGCCATATTTTAATGTTCTTGTGGTATATGGCTATACAGGATACTTTGTTAAGCGTAGGAACTAGATTTAAAGTGTCCCCAACAACAGTAATGATTATAAATAATAAGGTGCTCTCTTATGCTAAATCTGAAGTTTCCCAAAAATGAAGCTGTAGTGTAATAAAAATATCCAAAATCAAATTCAAGCGGATAACCAAATGGAAATGGTATTTACCATTTTGGATTGGTATTTACCGATCCGTTCAAGCGAGTGTGGTTATACAGGGTGACTTCGAAGTTGAGTCATTTATTTTAACAGTGAGTAGATCTGATCAAAAGAAATGTTTTTTCCTTTACCATTTTTCTGGTAAAATTGAAGTAACAAAGTTATAGCCCTTTGGAAGTTTGAGTACCGCCCTGCCTATTATATGCTCGTGTTTGGCGACAACGGATATAATCCGCCTGACCGGTTCATCGCATCGGAAACAAAAAAGCGAAAGAATTTGAAACGTTTATCACGATGTTTTTCGTCAGTCGATAAATCCTGAGTGAATAGTAGTGTGTTGCGTGTCTCAAACGAAATCAAAAATGGCACATGTTTACGAAAATGCTGAACTTGTGGATATGATTCTTATTTACGGGGGGGCAGTCTTTACAAAATGCTCCCGGATGCATCACGGATTTATGCGAATCGGTTTCCCAATCGAATGCAACCAACCCCTCGTGCCTTTGTTAATGTAGTGCAAAGGGCTCGTGAATCAGGTGACTTAAGACCTCACAGGTGAGGGCATGCTGCTCCAAGACCGCACGATCAAATACAGGTCCGCACTGAAATACTTGTCGGGAGGATACTTTATTAAACAAGGTAACATTTTTTTTTATTTTTTTTTATTTTACACACATATTTTGGTTTATCTTCCTTCTACAATCATTATATAAAAAAAGCACCGGTTATTAAGTGATAATAAAAATAATCAGAAATTATATATGCGCTTTTCTAAAATAAACAACTTGCAACAAACCGTGTGTCATCTTGAACCATATTATAACCGCGGTACATAATACGGAAATTTTGGTTATCCGCTTGGATTTGATTCAATACTCGGCAAAATTCTTACTTGTCACATGTCAAATAATAACCAGCAATATAAAACGACTCCTGAGTTGGGTAAATACCACAATTTTGCAGTAATAACTATGACATATAACAGCTGATTCATGACGTCACGGATCTTATAACCAAACTCGCTTGAACGGATCGGTAAATACCAATCCAAAATGGTAAATACCATTTTCATTTGGTTATCCGCTTGAATTTGACTGTTGATTCAGTATATTCTATTTATTTGATACAATTTATTTGAAATACTGGGAAACTTGTCAGATAAAATTGGCATCATAATATCTTTTTTTATAGTTTCATGAAATTGCCTATTTTTACTGACTGCGTAGTGTGCACGCGAACTAGCGAACAAACTTCGAACAAACCTAATGCCTTGATTACATGTAAAGGCGCGTACTGACTTGAGCAAATTTGCGCGAACGAATGTTGTGCGCGCACACATGTGCGCGAATTATTTTGACTGTGAAAACGTGCGCGTAAATTGTGTGGGAAAATTTCTGTTCCGTCTAGAGTAGCCGATTATTTAGTTTCCGATCAGCTCCGTTTTTATAGCGTTGTCAAAATGTCCAACAACAAACAAATTATAATAGCAAATGCAGCCTACATAGTGATGCATTCTTGTAAACGGAAGAACAAACGGGATAAACGATGGTGGGTTACGCAGTTGTATAAAAGCAGAGAGATGTATAGTGGATCAACATTGTTAGCGGATTTGAAATTCCAAGAAATCAGCGGGCAGTTTCAAAATTTTGTCCGTATGTCTTCACAGGATTTTGAGCTACTAATTAATACGATCGGACCCAAAATAAGGAAACTGAATACGAGACTGAGAATGGCCGTTCCCGTTAAGGAGCGACTTGCCATAACTCTACGCTTTTTAGCGACGGGAGATTCATATACAAGTATGCAGTATCTTTTCAAAGTTTCAGAACAGCTTATATCTTCCATTGTTCCTGAAACATGCCGGGTCCTTATTGAAGTTCTGAAGGATTATATAAAGGTAATTAGATAATTTGTTACACATACTTAAATATTTTATTTATTAAACTTAGAATGCTACAGCTTGAAATGCGTATATATAAACCAAAATGTAATTATGTCGTACAATGTTGAATGCGTCACGTCAAAGTGAGTCTGAATAAGCCAACTCTACATTTACCATTTCCGTTAAGGTGGGGTTAAGGGTTGAGCAGTGGGATTGTGAGGAAGAATAAGTTGTGTAAGGAGTTAGACAGGGAGAACGTGATGGGGTAGAATGTAGTGTAGAATTAGGAGGATACATTGTTGGAAGAGGTGTTGTAAGTTGTTGTGCCATAGTATGAGGAACAAACTGCACTGGTGGAGCAACCCACTCGTATTTGCAGATATCAGCATCATATATAGAATTCTACTGAAAGCATGTTCAACTTCGACTCGAGTCCTTCTACTGTAACCTCTCAGTTATTTGCTATATGTTGTCCATATACTGCAAATTCATCTTCTGTGACGACTGGTTGAGGTGCGGCCTCTTTTTTCAAAATTTGATAAGCTTCCTCCAATCTTGGATCTTCATTTTTACTTTTTGCTTTGACCTTTTTCGGTTTTGGAGGCATTTCATTCACATCCTGTTCATTTTCGGATTGCAAGTCAATTTGACGTCTTTTGTTTCCTTCACTTGCATCTAAATTAGAATTTTGGGGAGAACTATCAAACGGTCCGAGATCTTTTTCCCCAGAATTCTGTACGTCATCAATAACCTGACAAAATTAAAAATTATAAAAAGTTATTCATTTGAATGTTAAATCTAAAACTATATGAATTTTTCAGATGCCGTCAACTCCTGAAGAATGGTTATTAGTTTCAGAACAATATCAAGAGTTGTGGAACTTTCCAAATTGCTTCGGCGCCATGTATGGAAAGCATGTAGCACTACAAACGCCAATAAACAGCGGCAGCGAATACTATAACTATAAATCACACTGTAGTATTGTATTATTCGCTTTAGTTGACGCAAATTACAATTTTATATTTGCTGATGCAGGCTGTCAGGGTCGAATTTCTGATGGAGGCGTGTTTAAACACAGTACACTATATAAAAGATTACAGAGCAATGACTTGCAGATTCCTACAGCAAGAAGTCTACCAGGAAGGAATCAGGAGGTGGAGTATGTATTTCTCGGAGATGAAGCATTTCCGTTGAGTAAGCATATTATGAAGCCATTCTCAGGAACCCATCGGAAAGGATCACTGGAAAGAATATTCAATTATCGTCTTAGCCGAGCCCGAAGAATTGTAGAAAATGTCTTTGGAATTTCTTCTGCCGTATTTCGAATGTTACGAAAACCTATGCTTTTAGAGCCCGAAAAGGCAGAACTTGTCGTAATGACTATTGTTTTGCTTCACAACTTTTTAAGATGAAATAGACACTCTCGGACGTTGTATAATCCCACGGGAACCTTCGATACTGATATAGATGGCCAATTTGTACCAGGCAATTGGAGAGAAACACCAAATGAAAACATGTCATCGCTAATCCCTATTAGAAGTTTGCCCCGAAAATCACCTAAAGAAGCACAAGACATTCGAAACGAGTTTGCTGCATACTTTACTAGCAATGGTCGTGTATGTTGGCAAGACCATTATGCATAAATTCTAGTTATGTAAATGATGAGTCATTAGTGTGTCATCATGGCGGGTCTTAATACAAATGTTACCTATTTCATAATCTTATTTGAAATGCAACCCCATATATTTTATAGCATTGTTGATTGCCGTTTTTAATGCACTTTGAACTTGTTCTCCGGCTTATTTCTTACGAATTATATACCGAGGACACAGTAGTGACTCACCCTGTACAAAAATCCTATATAAATAATAAAATACTTACGCATTCTGTCTCTGCATCAATTGTTTCTCTTGGTTCATCTTTGTCAAGTAAGTAATGCATTATTTTAAATGCATACCATTTCGATACATACACAGCTTGCCGATCTTCAAAATGCATTTTTAAAGCTACTACACACAAGCCAGCGGCAATGCCGCCGGGTTTATGCCGAGCGGCTATGCCGTCGGCAATACAAGCCGCCGGCACAAGCCGCGCAAGCCGCCAAGCATCATTCCGGTTGTGACAGTCACATAGAACGCATATTTTATGGTTGGTTGGTTAAAATGAATAAGGAAATCATCAGCACAGCCGTCGCAGTTGTAATTTTTATTTTAATAAGAAAAAAATACAAAAGGACGAGAAGGTTTTGGTTGCACCCAAGTTTACAAAATAGAAAATGGCTAAACGGTACTGTAATGATAGAAGAGTATAAAAAAGATGATGTGGGGTGTTACCGTTTACGCAATAGCATGTCTTTTGGGTTTTTGTACATCGTCTATGCCTGCACCAGATTTGTGCAACTGTTCGAACTTCTTTTTTTCCCGAAAATAATACGAGGTTACATTTTTTAACTTTCTCTCTACTTCGCCTTTATCAATGTCAAATACACTTGCAATTATGTTCAATGCGTCCATTCGATTGTTCCTATTCTTATAGTCTGCAGTGACGCCGGCAAGCCGCGTAACCCGCCAGCACACCCCGGCGGCAATCCCGGCGGGTCTTTTGCGCGGCAAGGCCGGCGGCTTTGTATGCCGCCGGGTGCACGGAGGCTTAGCCGGCGGCCCTGCCGCCGGCACTGTGTGTAGCAGCCTATATAAATACCTTCAAAAGAATCAGGATATTTACTGACCTTTGCCTGTCCCAATACTTTTTGTTCCTTTTGCCTTTTCTCTACGAAATGACCCTAGAAGACTATTCATTTTCTGTTTCGCTTCATGCTCTTCCACTTTTAAGTTATACGCAATACGTTCCCACGCATCTGCTTTTTTGTTTCTTGAATAGTGCTCTGGATGTTTGGCAATCCATAAAATCGGATATTTTTCATATTCATCTATTAATTTGAGCGCCTTTTCATTTTCCCACTCCATATTTTATAAAAGGCTGTGCGCGAACCAACGTTCCTACAAAAACACCGTCGACACTGAGCACACGTTTCCTTTGATGTACCGACAAGCGACGGAAAGTATTCGTGCGGGAACGCGCTTACGCACACAACATTTTTGGGTGGTATTGACTTAGCAAATTTGCGCGCACAGCGTTCGTGCGCGCACATTTGCTCAAGTCAGTACGCGCCTTAACGAGTTCAGTGGCGAGACAGCGAAATATCGGGTTGTCCAATAGGGACGCAGGAAAGTAAACATCAATTTGACATAGACGCCCAAACGCAACAACCATCGGTCGTCTGGTGCGTAAATTCGAGGCAACAGGTTCTGTGGCAAATCTGCCAGGCTCTGGCCGGCCAAGGAGCGTTCGCACACCGGAAAATATTGCTGTTGTGAAGGAGGGTGTGAGAGACGATCCGAAACAATCACCAACGCGTCGATCCTAAGAATTGGGCATTTCGAGAACCAGTTTGCTCCGCATTCTCCACAAGGGATTTGAAGGTACACGCCTACGAACGTTCTCAGATTGGCTCCTTGAACACCGCCCAATTGATGCCAATTTTTCATCAAAAATCATGTTCAGCGACGAAGCGCATTTCACTTTGAATGGGACGGTAAACAAGCAAAACTGCCGCATCTGGGCGAACGAAAATCCCCGTGATTGTCAAGAGCAGCCGATGCATCCTCAAAAAGTGACTGTATGGTTTGCATTGTGGTCAAAAGGCATCATCGGACCTTACTTTTTCGAAAATGCGGCCGGGGACGCCGTTACCGTCAATTCTGAGCGATATCTCGTGATGATAGAGGACTATTTTTTGCCGCAACTTGAAGGAATGGATATGGACAATGTTTATTTCCAACAAGACGGTGCAACATGCCACACAACCAACGTCAATATCCATCGATTGCAGTCCTTCTTCGGTGATCGCGTGATTTCGCGCTGAGGAAATGTGCCATGGCCACCAAGATCGTGCGATTTGACTCCCTTGGACTTCTTTTTATGGAGATATTTGAAAAGCAAAATCTACGTCAACAAACCAGCCACCCTCCAAGAACTCAAAAACAACATCATTGCCGAGATAAATGCCATAGAACCGACCATGTTGCAAAATGTCATTGAAAATTTCGACCATCGCGTGGACGTCTGTAAATCCAGTCGTGGTGAACATTTGAGCGATATTATTTTTCATACATAAATGGTATAAATGAACCTTCAATATAAAGTACCTACCCAACTTGATTTGAATATCAATCTTTCTTGTTTTAATATGCGTTTACTTTCCTGCGTCCGTTTTGGACAACCCCATATAACTAGGCCGAGAGAGTTGTACGGGCGAGAAGGTGTTCACACGCATCTGGAACTTTTCTTTGAAATATATAAAGTTACCACTTATGATTGAAGAATTATATGAATTATTGCGCGAAAAAAAGAAGCGTGTGTGGACAAGAAAATGGATTGCAAGAAGAACAGAATTTGGTGCTAGTAGCACACTTTTTAGAGTGGGAAGATCCTAATGAATTCAGAGCACTTTTGGAAATGGATGTTGAGCCTTTCAATGCATTATTGGAAAGTCTCACTCCAATGATACAAAAAGAAAATACTGTCATGAGGCAAGCTATACCTGCAAGTATTAAACTACAGGTGGCATTAACATATATTGCAACAGGAGTCAGCTACCGTTATTTGTCTATTTGAAAGACTATGTAAAGGTAAGTGGTTTTTTTTACCAGACATTTTTTTGAGAGTCAATAGTTTCTTAAATTCTTGGGGTGATATTAAATATAACATAATAGTAAATTCGTTTTATTATGAAAGTAACAAATATTCAAAACTTATTTCGACATTAAACTTGTTCGTTCCCGATGTCACTGTCACAGGCAGCCGTCGTAGCTAACGTTATAATATCATTCGTGGTGTAAATAGTGTCCGATTCTGAGGTGAAGTCATCAAATCTCTTTGTCACATGGTCTGTTGACGCAGTAGATGTATAACTAACATCAGTGAAATTTGAAAATACAGAAGATGATCTTTGACTGCTGTTATTCGGCGCAGACTTTTGTCTGTAATCCTTGATTCTGATTTCGCTCAAAAGGCTTTGGATTCGACACTGAGCTAATAAGGCATTTTCTACCGAAACAGTTTTAAGTTTGCGATGCAACACTCTTCCCAAACACGTCAAGAGGGTTTTCTTCGGAAGAATTGACTTGCTCATGTAAGCTTTTCAAATCAGAAACCGCTTTGACAATATCCCTACTCCTCTTCCTTGCACGTGAACTATTTCCAATGCTGCTAGTAGAAGCTGATGTAGGTAAATTTGTGGCGTTGGTTTGTGTTACATCAGCTGTAGTAATTGCTTCGGTGTCACGGAGGGGTCATTTTCTTGTGCAATGGTATCTTCAGTGCTGGGTCCATTAATCTGAAAATAACCGAAATCCTGTATTGTTTCAGGTACCACAGAACTATCAAGAATGGCAAAAGATAGAAGCAGGCTTCAGAACTAGATGGAATTTTCCTGGTTGCTATGGTGCTATAGATGGGAAACGTATTGATTCAAGCTCCTCCGAACTGTGGAAGTGAATTTTTCAATTTTATGGGCACAAATAGTGTTGTGCTTATGGCTGTTGTTGACCATGACTACTGTTTTCATTATGTTAATATCGGAGCAAATGGAAGAAACTCGGACAGTGGAATTTTCAGAAATAGCGCATTATATAGCGACCTTGAAAACAATATGCTACCAACAGGTGGTTCTTTAGTTGGTGATGATGCTTTTGCACTGAAGACATATTTATTGAAACCATACAGTGGCACAAACCTCACAAGAGTACAAAAAATGTTTAACTATCGATTATCCAGAGCACGTAGAATAGTCGAAAATGCATTTGGCATCCTAACAAGCAAATTTAGAATATTTCAAAAACCTATACCAACTGACGTCAACACAACCGATAAGATTATTCGAGCCTCATGTGCTCTGCATAATTGGTTGCGCCTAACAAGTCCCAGTTGTTACTTTCCAAAGGATTGCATGGACGTAGAAGATATTGACTCTGGAACAATTGTTGAAGGGACTTGGAGACGAGAACTCATAGCCACCTTGCCATCTATCACCAATCACACTACCAATAATTCACCACGAATAGCAAGAAATCTCAGAGACAAGTATGCTGAATACTTTAGTGGAGCAGGTGCTGTTGTATGGCAAGATAGAATGATTTCATAGTTGTAACCAAACCAAATAAACTACTTACATTTTCATATGTCTTTCTTTTCAGATCGTGAATAATATCCATGTCTTCAACTATTGCGGCAATTACAGCATCCCGTTTCTGTTTATTTTTGCAGTACGTCGATTGGAAATTCCACAAGCAAGAATGGGATTTATATTGTTGGATAAATTTGATTGTGGTATCACAGTCCCATTTATTCTTAGCCATGTTTTATTGAATGTTGAAAGATGAAACAGTCAGACCATAAAACTAGACGCAGTTTCGCAGTTGCTTTAGGTGGCGAGTGATATAGCACACCGAGTGCCTGTTCAAACCGGTCTAGTTCTAAGTTCTAGTAAGTAGAAAAGGGCCCGAGTGACTGTCTCACTCTACTACTGGGCCCAGTGCTCGGCCGAGCGCTAGGTTACCTGTTTATACTAACCGAGTACTAGGCCGAGACCAATGTCTCGCCACTGTACTGGTTACATGTAATCAAGGCATAACATAACCGTTTTTTTGTTGACAATCATCTGGTCGCGATTGTTTTGTCACAGGTTTGAAAAAAGGCAAAACTGGTTGTCGGTAAAGTTTAAAGTCGAAGAACGAGTCGCTTAAAGAATTTGATGAATGGCAAAAAATAAATAAGTAAAACAAATGTATCTTTAATTAATGCAATTATGTCGAATCATCTTGTTTTAAACATGTTTTCATAATATAACTGGAATTGGTGATAGCGTACATAAAAAATTCCTACGTCTGATAATAATCGATATACGAGTTCATGTTCATAGTTGAAACATTAATTACAACAAAAATTAAGTGCTAGAAGGTTATTGTGTTAGTTGCACCATTATAAGAATCAAAAATGGCACAAGTTAAATTTAAGGCAAGTAAAACATTTAATACATATAAAACAAGTTACTAAATGATATATATACTTTATTATGATATTGTATAGTTTTTTGGTGTTTCTCCAACTGAATTATGTTGTAGGATGCTAAACCTATGAACAAATCTATCTGGGATGATGTAAAAACCTGCATATTTGCCATATTTTTATTTATCCGATACTACTTGGATCTATTGATAGACAAAGTATTTGGATTTTTCTACAACAACCTAAAGGTGCCTTTAACTAGTCCTAAAAACCCAATTGTGAACCAAAGTGCTACCACATTAGCTAAGAAGATTAGAACTAAGGAATTGAAATCAGAGGAAGTTGTCCAGGCATTCATAGACAGGATAAAAGAGGTCAATCCAATTTTAAATGCTGTTGTTGATAATAGATTTGAAGAAGCATTGGAAGAGGCAAGACACATTGACAAACAGATAGCTGATGCTAGTATCAAAGAGGCTGATTTTGATAAAAAACCATTCTTAGGTATGATAATATTCAAAATTGAACACAAATCATTATGTTAAACTGCTTAAATTGATCCCTTGTGAAGATTTTTATAGATAAAGCTATTATATTATTTTTTATAATGCATCAAATTCGTTTTTCAAGGGATTCCATTTACAACTAAGGAATCATCTGCAGTAAAAGGTCAGGCATTTACCTTTGGATTGATAAGAAGAAAAGGCTTTAAATCTGAATTTGATGCTGACTATGTTGCTCTTATGAAGAATGCTGGAGGTATTTGCCTAGGTAAGAAAGTAACTCTAATTTTAAGTATCAATAATGCAGTAAATTTTTCAGTAATTCTCATCTCTATCAAAATGAGCTTAGTGGAATATTTTTTCTGCTGAGTCTGTCAGCAGCCATATGTACCACAAATATGTTTTTATATGTTAGAATCTGCATTTCTTTGAGATAACATCCTTTTTTGAAGACAATTATGTACCCATCCACAGGATGACCACACACATGTTTATTGAATTTAAGCGAAATTAAGCAACTTGACACTTAATATATCTTTCATAGGTGTAACAAATATTCCACAACTGAACATGTGGCAAGAGTCATACAATCCAGTGTATGGTATCACAAGAAACCCCTATGATACTACTAGGAATGTTGGTGGCTCCTCAGGTGGTGAATCTAGTTTACTAGCAGCTGCTGGCACAGCTATAAGTCTAGGTTGGTATAAAAATCAAGAATTCCTGCATTATTGCATTCATGACTTGATACTTATTATCTTCATATTTGGAAATATTGGATCATCTAAACAAGCAACACTTTTGTAACAATACTTGGATATAACTGTGGCAACACTATACCTCTGTCATCATAACCATATTGCAGGATATTTCCTTGAAATATATCTTATCTCCTGTATCTTGGCTATATCTTGGCAACATTGCAGTATGTAGACACTATACTTGTCAGAATGTCTCAACAGAAGGGCTACAAAATTAGGCTACATTAAGTGGGATTCCAATAATTTGGCAATCTGACAGCAATATATGTAGCTGTATAGCTGGTACATGCTAAAAATATTAAGTTGCTGAGTACTCTATTGCAGCTAGATAATGCAGTAAAAACATTATTCGTTTATAAGTATCATTATATTTGCAAGTATGGCTAGAGATGTCAGTAACTTGAGAAACAAGAAAGTAAATCATAATTTTCTTTTGTTTTTCAGGTACAGACATTGGAGGCTCTTGCAGGATTCCAGCCTTCATGTGTGGAGTTTTTGGTCATAAACCAACATCACATCTGATTCCAACTAAAGGTTTGCAAATTATCAACATACCAATTCATAGATACTTAACAACAAACATTTTGCAGGTGTGACTTACAGAAATGGAAAGGAAGAAGAAACAATGGTTGTTGTTGGAGTTATAGCTAGATATGCTGAGGAGATAACTCCAATTTTGAAAGTCCTAGTCAGTGACAATGCTGAAAAACTTCAGCTAGATAAACCTGTGAATACCAAATCATTGAAAGTGTATTATTTAGCAGACCCAAAGGACCCTTTTGTCAGCCCTTTTAGGGAGGAAATGAAGAGCACATTTGCTGGGTATATTGTTAAAACTTTTAAAATGAATATGTTTAAAAAAATCCTTTATGTTCTCTGTGGTAGCAGAAACGATTTTTTATGCAGGAATATCTTTCATATTTTTGAACAATGGCATCAAGCAAGTTGACTATGCACAAGTTAGCTTCTATGATAAAAGTTAGTCATGAGCATGTATAGCAAAAAAATGAATGGATCAAGTCAGTCACACAGGACCATACAGTTAGTTCATAGTCCCCAAACCTTACTGGCTATTTGGCAACGTTGCTGTCATTAACCTCTGCACTCTCCAAACCTAGCACGTAATTAAACTTTCCCGTCGTTCTGTCGACAAAGCAGGTATACACTGAAAACCAAATTTGTCTGACGGCTTGGGTTCAATATGTACGATAGATAAGTGTGTATAGAGACATATGTTAGAAAGAGATAGATGCCGGCGGGATAGCTGCAATCTCATCACCGCGTTGCCTAGCAACGCTGACGCGGCAGTCTACCGCGTTACCAATATGTTATACCAGTTAAAAATATGCGGCAGATTGCACGACCTTCTGCGTCACAGATGTTAGGCAATATACTCTTTCTAACATGTCTTGATACACACTTCTCCCGCTTCTCTCTCGTACACATCCTAAATGTATGAGGAAATCTATGAAATAAGACTTAATAGGTATGTATAATTACAGAGCTGGAAGCATCTGAATATACTAAATAAAAAAATTGAGATACACTCTCCTCATCCCCAGTGGCGGATTTAGAGGGGGGCGCCCCCCCCCTAGACGTCTGACACTTGCTTTTGTAATCTAACACCATTGTGTTACTTTCGACATCATGGCGACAGAAGCATACTAACTATAAGTTATAGCTATAGGAACTGAGCATTGCGATTTTTTTGGTATCCTTTGGTAACACTTGTTTACAGCACAATTCTTACGATTTATACGTATGTATATACGAGTATTGTGACTTGTGTGACTAATCTAAATCTGGGTACCTAATATATTAGCTATACAGATTGCACTTAAAAGGTGATTTATGTTCTGTTTATTGCTCAATAGTAATTTGAAAAGTGTGTAAAGCTTGACTATATTAGATGAACGCCTAAATTGGAAATATACATCATTAATTAGATTTGTTTAGAGGTGCGCCTGTGGCTTGTCCAGAAACTGCGTCGATTGATGCTCAAAGTCAGTACCACACGTCCCGCATCTCTTTTCGCGTATGTTATTTATGTTGCTATATTGAATTCGTTTAAATCACAGAGCTGCTACACTACACGTGGATATGTACAGCCCTATATTCCTGTACTTGTTTCGGACAAACATACGTTATCAAAATAATTACGATCTAACAGATAGTTTTTTCCAATGATTTCCAACATTTTTACATGCGATCAATACCGGTTCGAAAACTGAAACAATAACAATTATGCCGTAAATTCAAGTTCGACAACGAAAGTCTGAAAAAAACCAACCCCTACTGAGCGGGGCCGTGGCAAATGCTTGTTCCGGAAGTTGTTGTATCTAGTATACAACTTCTTCCCGTTCAAGTGATTGTACACGCGTTAAGGAATTAAGGACCAGTCGACCGAGGCGGTACTGCGCTACTTTTTCCCAGGGTGTCTTATAAATGTCCGCATGTTTCCACATCTAAGCTATGCAGCAGTTATCTTCCAAAACAAAGAAATTAATGATGGTGGATCCCTCGAGTACTAAGAATTCCGGGTGTAAACTCACTCCATTCTCGGAATGGACGGGTGGAGTCGAGGAACATCGAAGATAACATTTGTTTCGCGAACATCTGCGGGATTAACAGCAACATTGATGCTGTACATCACTACTTGCAATCCAATCGTTCTGCCATGCTTTTCTTGGCGGAGACAAAAATCTCAGAGTCCGCACCGATTAACCATCTTAGCTTCCCAAATTACGAGGTGCACTCCAATCTGAGAAAGAACGGGGAGGTTGTGGTCTTTGTCCGCAGCAGTCTTTCCTGCTGCAGAGATGTTTCTCTGGAATCAGACCGGAAGGACATTCTGTGGCTTCGCCTCAACTCCAAAGCATCCCCCAAATTTATTTGCTGCCTTTATCGCTCTCCCTCGAATTATAACTGGGATGACCTTCTTGAATACCTCGCCGTCAAGTTCGACTTCCTGAACATCAATCGCCCCGCTTCAGAGGTAGTTCTCCTCGGTGATTTCAATGACCATAATTTGCTTTGGTTGGGATTAAACAAGACCGATGCAGCAGTTGAAGCGTTCGCTCTTACTCAAGGTCTGAACCAGCTGATCACGGGCCGTACTTCTTCCCCCGTGTCTCGTCACATGCCAGTAGCCTGCTGGATCTCTTTCTGACCACGCATCCTGTCTCTTACAGCACTGCTGTCCTGTCCCCCCTGGGTAGCTCAGACCAAGGTGTTGTGGAGGTTAGGTTTCCGTCAGAACCCGCTGTGGCAGTACGAACTCGCACAGGCCGCAAAATTTGGCATTACGGACATGCCGACTGAGAGGGGCTCAGAGACTTCTTTTCTACCTTTTCTTGGAGAGATGTCTGTTCCACTGACGCGGATGCGTCGTCTGTCTGTTCTTCGATAACCAAAATTATCCACGTCGGAATGGAGGAATACATCCCTCATACAGTGAAAGTGACAAAACCAGGGTCACAGCGCAATGGCAGTCAGTATTTCTGGACGCTGGCCAAGCAAATTGAAAAGAAACTCTCACACAGCAGCCTTCCACCACTTACGTGTCAGGATGGAACGATAGTATCGGACTCGAAGGCCAAGGCGGAAGTCCTTGCCAAGATCTTTGCTGCCAACTCCACCATGGACGTCCCTTCCAACGCCCAAGTGTCGTCAATTCAAAAGGTTTCCTATACTATGCGGGAAGTAACATTCAGGTTTAACACCGTAAGACGAGTGCTCTTGTCGCTCGACTTTAACAAACCTTCTGGACCGGACTTGATTCCTGCCATTGCACCTTACGAATCTGGCACCTCCCCAGAAAACTGTAAATTCGCTCATGTCTAACCCATCCCAAAAAAGGGATCTAAGACCGACCCTTACAACTACAGGCCTATAGCTCTGCATTCTGTTATAAGTAAGGTGATTTAGAGGTGCCTAAATCGCGAGCTTCTGGACTACCTCGAACGTCACAGCTTGATTAGTGACAGGCAGTGTGGTTTCCGGCACCAGCGATCCGCAGGGGACCTCCTAGCTTACGTCACGTAATTGTGGAGTAAACTCATCCAGTCTTTTGGTGAGGCTCATGTCGTTGCCCTTGACATCACGAAAGCGTTCGGCCAGCTATGACACGCTGCCCTTTTAAGCAAAACTTCCATCCTGTGGCCTCCCAGAAAAGTTTTGACTTTATCTCTGGCTGCAAGATATCGGTCGTAATTGACGGGTTCTCCTCTTCATCGCACAACGTCAACGGGGGTGATCCCCAGGGATCGGTTTTGGCTCCGACACTGTACCTCTTACATATCAACGACCTCCTTTCCTGCACGATCAACCCAAACCACAGTTTCGCTGATGACAGCACTCTACATGCAGGAATTCTGAGTGACAGCCGATCTCTGCCGCTCAGCTGGAAAATAGAAGACTAGCGACGACTTCCTCTCTGACGAGAGACCTGGAGGTTATCGCTGCTTGGGGACGCAACAATCTTGTACAGTTTAATGCTTCCAAAACCCAATACTGCACCTTGACGAACAAAAAGCGTCCTAAAGCTTATCCGGTTTCGATGGATGACCGAGCTCTGATAAAGAGCCATTCACTTCAACAGGCCGGAATCCAGATCACCGAGGACCTGGTCTGGCACGAACTTATCTCGTCAAGAGCAGCAGCTGCTGGAAAAAGTTAGGCTATTTGTTTAGGGCTCAGAAGTACTTTTCTCCGCATGACTTTCTCACTCTATACAAGACCCAGATAATGCCTAGCCTCGAGTATTGCTCACACATTTGGGGTGCTGCCGCCCCGACTACATTATTTATGCTCGATGCTGGCCAGAGGAGGGCTGTCCGACTGATCAATGACTCTTCTCTAACATACAGTCTTGGGACCATTTCGCACAGGCGGGCCGGCGGCGATCTAGCTATCTTGTACCGCTACACCAACGCGCTTTGCTCCTCAGAGCTCTCTTCCATGATGCCGCAACGCGATGTGCCTGCCAGACAGACCCGCCCGACTGACCTCCCATCCTAACCGTGTAGTGTTCGTTTTCGCAATCAAAAACAATGTTTTGTGTGGAATGCACCGAGATATGTCTCAGAGTCCCTCCGAATGTTTGATTTTTTTTGTTACCAGCAATGACTTTTTTATGTTTTAATCTTTAATATTATTACACTAGTTAATTATACATGCCACGTACTTATTTTGTTCTCATATAATAAAATATTGCCTTTCTGAGGATTTCTGAGCATTTTCCATGTTTTTTTAAGCTGGCCTTGACCAGATAGAACACAATGGATTTAAGGAGCAATAATAGGATAAATTCTAGAAGTTCCACTAAGGTTAAAAAATGACCAGCCTCAAATATCGTTTGCGCCCCCTTCCCTAGACGAAATCCTAAATCCGCCCTTGCTCATCCCCTGCAACCCCCAATTCTTAACCCTTAAAATAAAATTCTGGAAATGATAAGCTACTGAAACGTCAAAAAATGAACTTTGTTCGTTTTTTTTTTTCATTTATTGCCCTCAGCTCCGTCGCCACTGAACCGATTTTCAAAAACAAGTTTTTTCGTCCTTGGTATAGTAATAACCGGACCAACCGACAGATTGACGGAAGGGTCTGACGTTTTTTATGATGTACATGTCATTTCACTTCCAAAAAACATTCCGGATTTTCAAATATTCGATTTCTAGGGCTGTGAACTACTTCAATGGATTATGTGATACACCACCCAAGGAAATAGCTTTTGACGGTTTTAAATATGGAACCAAACTGTGGAAATATTGGATGACACAAGAACCCAATACAAATTTTAAGAGAGACATTATGAATAGAGAAAGAGAGGTAAACATCTTTTAACTAAAATTTACCTATCACATCTGATACAGTTCTGATCATTTCATTTGCATTTTTTCAAATTTTGAACAAAAAATGCATAACAATTCTTCAAGGGTGCCAACCATGGATAGCTGTTTCATGCTATTTGGCAACTCATCAGCATGGACTAGGCTTGGTCTTAGGCAGGACAAACTATGAAAGCTGAGCAACTATCCTCTATCCATGATATAAGGTCCATTGAAATAAGACTGCACAAAGTGCTATCATTTCCAGAAGCCAGCACTGCCGATTCTGGTAATAAATGGCACTTTGCGCTATCAGTTCAAAAGACGTTATATCCTAGATAGACGATAGTTGCTCAGCTTTCGTTCGTTGTCCTACCTGAGACCATGCTGATAAGTTGTCAAAGTGCATAAAACAGCTGTCCATGTTTGCTCTACATTCATTGATGTGTTCTAGGCTCAACCATGGATTGAAATATTCAAATTTCTCACTGGGCGAGGCGATTTTACGGCATCAACAATTTTGAATTTCGTCAATGATATGCTGCCCACTGCTAAAGACGACTGGGCCAGGGAAACCACCGAAAAGTTATCAAAACAAATTTTGGTAAGTAAATCACGCAAAATTCCATTGTCAGTCTGGATGAATGATCAAAAAACTTGTTTTAATCATAGTCGAGTAAATTGGCACTCTATGAAGAACTAGTGTTTACTTACTGGAATTACAAAAACCTTAGTTTTTAAACGGTATGCTTTTTTAATTCAAAAACCAAGTTCTTATATCTTTGATTTTGAAAATCAAATTTGTAATATACTTCAAAGAATAGAAGTTATTTGCTTTTTTTTAGCTGAAAATTTTTCAAAGAAAGGTGCCACAATATCACCCTGGTTTGATGTTAGTCACATCTGAAGGGAAAAATATTCTGATTCGGAATCTTTGACAATATTATTAAAAAAGGACTCCTTTTAATTAATGTGCATGGCTCAAATTTACGCAACAATATTTTAAATAATTGTTTTAAACGAATGCATTTTTTTTCCTCCAGTCAAGTGCTTTTGGGTTTTTTGGATCATTTTGAATAAAAAATGTGCTTTAGAACTTATCTAAAGCTGATAGCTTTCGATATGAGCGATACAATATTTGAAAACGCCCGAAATATGCCGACCCCGAAGAACAATATGAAAAAGTGTAGATTATAATCCTTCTGAAATCCCTAAATATTTTTAAACATCCGTTAACAAAATCCCCAATGATTTTAGGGGGTATTGTTATTGCAAAAACAATACCTTCTAAAATGCTTTGGTAAATAAATGGACGTGTAAAGAGTATTTAGGAAGCTCGATAACATTGAAATTTTTGTTTTTTATTGTTGGCATATTTGGATTTTTTCATATATTGTGTCGTCTGTATCTCGAATACTATGAGCTTTAGAGAAAAGTTCTAAATCTCAGAACTTTCTGAGAAACCCAAACACACTTTGCAGCAAAAAAACATTTTTTGGAATTTATTTAATCAACTGTTCAAATACCAACAGGACTATGAGCATGTATTAATACTCTCTTCACTTTGATTTGAAAACTTTCACAAACGCTAAAGAATCCATTTCTGGATCGCATCTTCATCTGATTTGTGTACGACGCCGAGTTTGCATTGAAAATTTAAGCTATTTTTGTGTTAATCCAGGACACAATTGGAGAAGATGGGGTTCTTCTGTACCCCTCAGCCCCTTTTCCAGCCAGTTACCATTATGCATCGATTCTGCGACCATGGAACTTTAACCTATTCAGCATCTGGAACGTGTTGCAGTTCCCGGTGACTCAGGTGCCTATGGGACTTAGATATGGCCTGCCTGTTGGCATCCAAGTTGTTGCTGCTCCAAATCAAGACAGGCTGTGCATCGCTGTGTCGAAGGAGTTAGAGAAGGCGTTTGGAGGGTTCGTGCCGCCTTACCCTCTAGAATAAGTTATATTATTTTTTCATTTTTCCCATCACTGGGAATTTTCCTGTGGGTTCTTAACGTTGTGATACTGTTTGGTCAGTATCTTATCCCTAAGAATATGATGTACTGTTTTTTATTTCTCCTTTCCTTTGCTGGGAGGATTCCTGTTCTTTCTAAAAGTTGTGATATGGTCAGTGATTTTTTTAGTTGTCAAGGATTGTTGAATAAGAACAGCATCAAGGTCAGTAATTATCAGAGTATCAAATTCACGTTTAGGCTGACTGTTAAATCTTCACCAAAGCATAAGATCAGAAAAAACTGTTTTTGCCATTGAAATAATATCTAGAGAGGCGCTATTAGAATCACATTTGGGTAAGCAAATCGACGTCAGATGGCCGAAGCCGAGAGGATATCACATTTATCTGACTTAAGTTTTACACTGTTGAGAAATACTTAGGTTCTGCATCTTCAAATTCGACTCTCAGCATTGGGATCTCGAAAACTTTTAATACATTTTTCCAGAAGAAAGTTGCAGGGTTGTAAAGTTTCAAGTTTTTTTAGTAATTTTTTATTGCTTTCTACACTTTCTATTGCGAAGATGGACTTTTCTGTGAAAATGTTTCACGTGTTTTTAAAACTATAATTCTGTACAATCTAAAGCAAAGCTCGATTTACAGTCGTCGGAGTGTAGATCAACTAATTCCCCTGATGCACGAACTACTTACCCGACAATAGCATTCCAGGCAATTTTTTAATGTATATCTTCCAAGGGGCCTAAGAAAAGGACGTATTTTAGATAAATTTGTTTTACTTTCGTACAGGGTGAACCACCTTTCAAGTTAGCATATGCTGAGGATATAGGCTGTTAGTTGTTAACTGCAACGCTACAGCCACCATTTAATCGACTTCGTTTTCGAAAAATACCCGGTATAGTAACCTGTAAAACTATGCCACAGAGAATCGCCTAAAGCGCATTATAATAGCACAAGCACGAAGAAATATTTTCAGAAAAACCCAGCTAAGTTGTGCAAAATATAAACGGGTGCAACTTTTTATGATAAAAGTCTCGGTCTGACTCTGTGTCCAAATAAGTTATGCCATATCCCCTAAATAAACTACACTAAAAACCAAATACCACTAAAGTCGTAATATGTAGGAGATAGAAGCGCTAGAAGCGTGCAATACGGGTTTTAGGAAGAGATAGAAGCTCTTCGTTGCCTATCAACCCGAGTAAGAGGTCACGGATGCCATCGGCGCACTCTTTGTAACACATATTGCACGCTTCTCTCTTGTACACATTACGACATCAGCTAAATTTGAACCTCACCGTTTATCAATGTTACCAGCTTTACGGATGTTTCGGTAGATCTGCCGATTTTAGTCCGATTCTGCCGGACCACCGATTTTAATGCGAATCTATCGAACATTTTCTCAAATTCTGAACTAAGAGAAACGCAACACTATAACCATTTGATGCTACTGCTACCGTTATAATAATAATTTATAATGACCTGCAAGTTTTGCTTTTCAGTTTACCGTCTACCGATAAGGTTTACGATCTATTGAAAACTTCCACACAAATCTACCGAACACAGGTCGATTATACCTAGCAACACTGATCTATATCAATGGCTTTTGCAGTTTCTCCTGAAGTGGATAAACTAGTTTTTCTGGTCTGATCTTTAAGTGTTCACCATTTTGGTTGAAACGTTAGCCGATACTCACGCAAAGTAAAAAAAAGTGTTCCTATGGCGATTCAATTGCCAATACCACATTTTTATTGAACAATCCTTTTTCCTGGGTGTCTTGATAACCACGTTGTATTTATGTGTTTTCAACTATTTTATACAAAAAAACTTGGTTAAGGGTTACATGTTAGGAAATATAAAAATATACATATATTTATGGCGGGTGATATGTTTTCAATAAATATTTACTTTAGCATGATGTGCTTTATTTTGAGAGTTACACAGAACATAATTTTGTCTGCATACAACATATATTTATGGCGGGTGATATGTTTTCAATAAATATTTACTTTAGCATGATGTGCTTTATTTTGAGAGTTACACAGATCATAATTTTGTCTGCCTCAGTTGTCAGACATGGTATGAAAAGCTAAACTGTACGCGAGTACAAATACAGCGTAGGGTTGGACAACATGTTTGAGAAAACATTAATACAACCCAACAACCATTTTAGAGCCGGATAAGTAAAGACTGAATTAGAATATTTTTGATGCACTGATCTCAAAAAGGTATATTTTTTCGTAGCAACTCTATTGTTCGAGAGAGAAGCGCAAAATATGCCATTTTAATAAAAATAACTAAAGTACTACAAGTAGAGAACAATTTTCAAGTAAATGAGAATTTGTGTTACTTCAATAGAAAGTCCAACAATCAAGCATGACTAATTAATTTGGAATAAGACCAATATTAAATTTAAGATATTAACAAAAATTCAATTATAGTGAAAAGCGCGTGGTGCGTGATATTAAATGTTAGAATTATGTTTTTAGTTCCTAATGGGTGATTCATTTATAGGTACTTTTTTCAGCAACAAAATAAAATAAAATTCTTTTTTCTTGTCAAATCTTTTTTATTAAAGAAAAGAACTATTTTTGACATTTATTTTTTAAATATTATTTCTTTCAAATGTTGGCTCTGACTGCGGTTGAGATGGTCCATTCTAAAGTTCCAATTTTCGATGACACGTTGGAGCATTTCGACTGGAATTTGACGAAAGACCTGCGTAATGTTGGCTTCTAATTCCTCAATCGTACTGGGCTGATCAATGTAGACTTTGAACTTAACGTAGCCCCAAAGGAAAAAGTCTAGAGGTGTGATATCACATGATCTAGGTGGCCAATTCACTGGTCCAAATCGTGAAATTAAGTGTTCGTCGAAATGTTTTCGCAATAAAGCCATGGTTGCACGGGCTGTGTGGCAAGTGGCGCCGTCTTGTTGGAACCAAATGTCATCGAGATTACGGGCTTCAATTTCAGGCAGCAAATAAACCGTTAGCATGGCGCGGTAACGAGCACCATTCACAGTTACGTTCTGACCGGCCTCATTTTTAAAAAAATAGGGACCGATGATTCCACCGACCCATAAACCACACCAAACCGTTGTTTTCGCTGGATGTAATGGCAGCTCTTGAACCACTTCGGGTTGTTTTTCACCCCAAATACGACAGTTTTGTTTATTAACATAGCCGTTAAGCCAAAAATGGGCCTCATCGCTAAACAAAATTTTGCTCGAAAACATCGGATCTTCTTCAAGCCGTGCGAGAGCCCAAAGACTGAAACGATGACGATTTGGAAGGTCGGCCGGCTTCAATTCTTCAACGAGTTGAATTTTGTATGGTTTCAAATTAAGATTCTTACGTCAAATACGCCAAGTTGTTGAATACGACAAGCCAAGCTGTAGAACGGCGCCGAATCGATTCTTCACGGTCCTCACGTATACTCTCAGCTACCGCAGCTATATTTTCTGGATGTGGTCTATTTGGTCGGGTATTATACAATAATGAAAATTGGGTTTCAAATTTTTCGACCGTACGGCGAATTGTGCGTTCGGTGGGCCGATTATGTACACCATAAGTTGCTCTAAATGCACGAAACACACTTCTCGCAGAATGTTGATTTTCGTAGTACAGCTGAATTATTTGTAGACGCTGTACTGGACTAAGTCTTTCCATGATGAAATGTCGAACAATACTGAAACAGAAAATGTCAAATTAGTTGTCATGACGCATGCGCCATAAGCATTTACAGCCACACCAAAAAAGTACCACTAAATGAATCACCCGTTATTTACAAAATTGGAGTTATTATAAAAACATACAATGATTGAATTGTATGTTAATATCTTAATTTTTATATTGGTCTTATTCCAAATTAATTAGTCATGTTTGATTGTTGGACTTTCTATTGAAGTAGCACAAACTCTCCTATACTTGATAATTATTTTCTACTTTTTAGTTCGACTTGCTGTTAAAGCGCGTTCTTTTTAGTTTTTTAAACTAAAAATTATTTTCTGACTTTTTTGTCTCAAAACGACAGCAAAAGTACTTAAAACAAGTGCTTCAATTTTTGGTATATTTTATATTTAACAATAATTCTAAATTTACTTTCAAAACTTCAAAATTTACAGATCTTCCAATTATTGTCCAAATTTTAAAATTCAATTTTTGTTCCAGATAACATATTTTTTTTATTCTCAAATTCGATTTTTTTTCCAAGATTGTTTGGTCATCCCCTGTGCGGATGCTCCACCCATGCTTCCTCTTCAGTGATGTCTCCTCCCCGAAAACGTGACAAGAAGGGACATTTGAATACTCAGGGTGTTTATAAAAGCGAAATTTTAGAGCATCCTGAAATGAAAATTCATGATATTGGAAGACGTGTGGCGAACAAAACAATTTTCAAAATTGTTGAAGAATATAAAAAAATGTCTCTTTTTTTTATTATACTCCAACTGCCACGAAGGCCTAAGGCCTAAACACCCATGGGGTACCGTGGGGCTATAGGGGGATACAGGGGAAAGGGGGAACGCCACACGGTCTCTGGCAAGGGAACACATGTGCATGCAACATGCACACATTCTGTCCCCGCCTACGAAATCCGCCGGGTGGTACCTCCGCGTTCGACAGTCAGAGACCGTCTACCACCTACTGACAATCACAACATCCAAAGCCAAGAGAAAAATTTCTCTTGGGACGGGATTCGAACCCGCACAGCGCACGGCGACTGATCAGGAGACCGAAGAGTCTACTACTGCGGCCACCGCTGCTGCATTACATGAAGCTGTTGGATACAGTTGATAACTTTGAAAGGCAGGAACTTCCCACCATAGACAAATTATTACAGGAGGTTAATAGTGATGAAGACCACCTACTTTCAAAAGGACCACATGCTGTAGTATACTCAAAGGACTTCATTTTGAGTATAGAAAACGGGGCAGAAATAGTATTAACCTAACTGGCCTAAAGAATCCGTCAGGTACATGTATCTAACCAATTCGTCATTTGTATTCTAAAAATGATGTCCAGTAGACCGAATCTATGAGCCCGCGCTGAAAACTTAGCTAAACTAAACTTAGCTTTATCTGGTAGATTTGGAACCAACACCTGTTAGATATTCTGCTCATACTATATGAAATAATTATTTCCAGGAAAAGGAAAATGATTTGTTATCTGTCACATTGGCAGTGAAGATGGGTTTGTGCCCCACTGCCCTATGGGCATTTCTGTCAAAGAATACGACCGACTGCCATGAAGGAATGGACTTGAGTTCATTTGAACGAAGGTTTGAAGAAACGCTCCCAAAGCTTGACGACAATGCCGTCATTGTACTTGATAATGCTGCATGCCACACTAGAAAACTAGAAAAAATTCCCACAATGTCCACAAGAAAGGCAGAAATTCAACAATGGCTGCTATCATTGAGCCGTATTCATAAAAGAGAAGCATATCATCGGAAGCATAAGGTAAAAGTATAAGGTCTTGCTTCGGAGAAAAAGGTAGAAGTATAAGCATATCCTTGTTTTCATATTCATAATGATTACCTTATACTTGCGAGGATATCCTCCAAGAAGAAGTAAAAGGTTGACTGGTATTTGTATCTTGAGCGACATGTCCTGACTTGTTCCAGCTTGTAGTTGACGTGGGAGTTCGTTCACTCAGCATCACTGACAGTTGTACTCCAGAGCTTACACAGACCGTTCCGTATTTTTACTGGATACAGTTTTTTATAAAATTAATAAGCATGTCATCCTCAAGTGATCAGGAAACTACAGAACATAATGACAACGACCTGCAGTTCATCGCAGATGAAATTGCCATTGCTCCCATTATTTTGCAAAAGTCACAAGTTCCAAAAATAAAAACGAGAAAGGACGATGCCTTGAAGAAGATGTTGAAAAAATACGAATCAACATTCGGTAAATCATTATATACTTAAGGCTTATTAAAAATAATCAACAACATGAAATCAAGACAAGAAAAAACAGATCTAAAAAAAAACTGGTAATAAAGCAATTAAATTGTTAGATTGGGAAAGAAAGTTGCTGAAAGCTATGGAAGGTGACTGTCATCCTACAATTGGGAAAATTAGAGGTGCCATTCAGGTTGGTAGTGTTCAAGAAGAAGGAAGTGAACTATATACCGAGCGCAGTGAGCAAACAGTATTACAGCGCCAGAAATTCAGAAGATATTGCCACCAAAAAGAAAATTGGCAACAGAGAAATACGAAACTGCGGAAACTAAAGGGTTAACTACAAAAGAACTGCAACGTCTAGTGCTATTATAGCAGTACCAAACAAGTATTTTACAACAAACGAAATTAGAAATGATGCAGCATCAGAAGCCACCTGTAACTTAAGATGTTCACGAAAATAAAACTTATTATAACTTATAAATACACTTTAATCAGTAAAACTATTTATTATGATAGTCAAGTTTCTTCTTATTTGTTAACCTAGTTAACCTAATAATGGCAAACGTACTAAAGATAATAATTCTGGCAAGTGCTCCTTCCTTCTTTCTATATCATGTTTCACCCATCTCATGCAGGTTTCAAATACTTGCTCCTCCCAAACAAAACAAAAAAACAAAAAATGAGCAATATCAGCATTCAAACACATTCTTACACAAATCCCACAGACTAATCATATTAAGTACTAGATTGCTGGTCAAACATCATCAATTTTCAAGCTTTCTAGTTCAATATGATTGATGTTGGCATACAGGGTCCGGCACTCGAAGTGTAACCAACTTCAGACTGCTCTATCATCTGTCACACAGACAGCAGCTGTCAATAAATTTGCTCAATTACAGTTCTGAGTATGGTCTGGTAAGCGTAGAAAAGCATTTTGTCAAAGGTGAACACAAAAGAATTTATAAGCAATGGATTTCAAACGCATTAGTGTGATTGCTTTATATTTGTCTGGAAAATCACAACTGGCCATTGTACGTGAGCTCAAACATCTCGATGTGAATATGGCTTTTGTTTATCGCACCATAACACGTTACAATAAGGGGTATGTACCAACAACGCTGCGTACCGTACATTGTACCGTCACGCACGTGCGCAGTCCGCTTGAAGTGTTCCAACACAAACCTATGACGGTTCATGGGACGCTTGATACACTGTTCCAACAGATCTCCGACAGTTCAACGAACGGTTTTTGGACCATCAAAACAGTACCTGGTCCGTAGCGAGGACTGTGAGTCCACATATGCGCATTGAATAGAAATTAGAATGTTGAAATTTGAAGGTTATAAGGATAAGGAATGTTGTTTTGCCATGGAGAATCAAAATATCCCAGCTTATGTAAGTTTGACGACTATGGGGTTGGGACGTATGGAGCTAACTGCCTTCTGTTTACAGAACTAAACGAGTTTCTTGTTATGCCAAATACAAGTGCTCTGCAGAGCGAGAGTACCACGGCACGAGCACCAGAATTTAGATGGAGTCATTAGGCAACCAAAATTCTCATTGAAGTTTATGGAACCTTTAAAAGGAAGCTAGGTTCCTTCGACGTCAAAAATTCAAAGATGATGTGGTGGAAAATATCACAGGCTTTACTAGACTATAATATTAAGGTAACGCCAAACAATTGCATCAATAGATGGAGGGTACTTGAGCGGAACTATAAAAAATATGTTGATAACCAAAGGCAAACAGGTAAGAGGACTCCTAAAGCTGAGAAGTAATTGAAATTGCCTTTTAATTATGAATCCAATGAGATACACCATAGTTAGATGTAAAAGCTAAAGCAACTTTGCATATGCTTGGCAGGATGTAATTTAATTTTTTCCTGTAATTTTAGGTAGGGGAAGAACATTTTTTGAGTATAAGCATGAAATGGAGGAGGTATTTCTCAAGAAAAAAAATATCCGTCCTGAATTGCTGCTAGCAAGTGATCAAATAGATACTCAAATAGATATGAACAGTGATAATGCTATCACTACAGCTGCACCAGATGTCTCTTCACCATCTAAAAGCGTAAGCAGCCCAAAATCATTGCAAGCAGTGACACCACAGAAGAAAAGTCAGATAATTCGAAAAAGACAAGGTATTATGGAAAAAATAAGAAGTGACCGCAAAACTTAAAATTAGAAGAAATGAAAAAAAGGAACCAACTGATTGAGGAACGAAACAACATCCTCAAAGAAAAGCAGTGTAACTGTCACCAAACAAGCTCCTAGATTTACTGTATTTTGCCATTAAAGTTAAGTCATAGTTTATTAGTTTTGTTGTGTTCAGTATTGAAATATTAATTTTATATTATGTTATGTTCAAATTTGATTTGTGTTCTAGTTTTATATTATTGCAAATGAGTACATAAAGTTCAAACAAATGGGTATGCACTCTTTTTCCAGTACTCTTCAGGACCTTGTAGAGGAAGGTCTTAACCTTAATTAGATACTCAACAGTTTTGAAAATAATGGGTATGCAGACATTAACTCGTTCATAACTTGAATGCTTAACATAACGTCAGAAACAAGTTAGTAGTGACCTATGTGTCAAGTGATCCCAGTATTCTCAACAAAATGGACACAGCCCAAAACTCTGTAAATTATTTAAAGTTGAGGTAGCATCGCTAAACGTCATGGAGGTGGTCATCAAAAGAGTGCAACGTCACCTGAGATGGTTCGAAAAGTGAAGAAGCGACTTGAGCGAAATCCACGACGAAGTGCCAATCAAATGCCTAAAGAACTGAAAATATCCGATGGCAGCGTGCGACGCATAATGAAAAATGAGCTCAAGTTCCAAAAGGCGCATCTTACATCAAAGCAGTAACAAGTGAGACTTGAGAGAGCTAAGGATATGCTTCGCTTGGCTGAAAGTGGTCAATTTCTGAACATCGTGTTTTCTGAAAAGAACATTTTTCTAATTGAGCAATTTATAAACTCTCAAAACTATATATAGGGTTTACTTGAACGAACGTTCACGTTCTTACGAGAATTTGAGCCACCGGTTGGTCACCGGGAAGCAGCACCCGTCACAAATAATGGTTTCGGCTGCTATAACCGCGGATGGGCGCTCTCCAATCGTTTTCATTGAGCCTGGCGTCAAAGGAAATGCGAAATACTATCGGGAAAGTGTTCTTATGCTGCTTTGAAGCCGTGGACAGACAAACATTTCTTCCGCAGGCCATGGACATTTCAACAAGACTCGGCACCGTCGAATACAGCGCCAATGAATCAAGAATGGCTGAAAAACAATGTTCTGAACTTCATTTCGACCACAAAATGATTCTCGAGTTCACCGGACACGGTTCTATCTGGGCCATTTTGGAGAGCAAGCTCCGAGCTAAGAAATACACCAGCCTCGAGACATTGAAGAAAGTCATTATCCGTGACTGGGCCCAAATATCATCAAATCACATTCGGGCAGCTTGTGATTCGTTTTTAGATCGTCTCAATGCTATAGTCAAAGCAAAAGATGGTCATATTGAGCCAAAGTGAATTATTTCTACATTTTCGAATATTTTAGCACATTCTGTACTTTGGAATAAATAAAAACCATTTTCCAAGCAGAATTTATGGCATTTTGAAAAGGTTACACATTGAGTGCCAGACCCATTTAACCAATGAACAGAATTAACATTGGCTATAGATAACTTTTGAAGATGTCAATAATATAATCAAGAGTCATTTTACAGGGAACATTGCTTGACATTTTTGTCGATAACACCATCAACAAATGCTCAATTTCTTTACCATTTTACAATTATCATTTATCTTGATAGACGAGCAACATAATATATGTACAATGAATATTTTTATTATACCTTTCTAGTCAGAGATCATTCTTGCTTAACATATCCTTTACTTCATTCAAGGATAAATTCAAATATTCCTCATGTTGTGACACTTCATGGAAGTAAGATTCTATATATTTTTCTGCAGAATCTGCCAATGTTGAACATCCTAATGACTCAGCAAAGTGTCTGAAGCCTAAGGCATTTTGTGGATGAATCCTAAAAAAATGATTTATAGTAGCACTGTTCCAAACTTATGAGAAGGCTTTTCCAAACATTTTCTTATATATTATGATTGACTTGCTTATAGGTAAACTGTTGCATCATGTTGATTTAGCCTTATTTATATGAAAGCTCTGGAATTTATATCAAGGAAAAATATGTATTTTATTTATTGTCTGTTACAAGTTCTCAGTATCTAGAATTGTCAGTCAAAAGTTAAAAATAGTTATAGTCATCAGTCACAAGTGACAATTAGCTATAACTGTGAGTTACAAGTGGAAATTAGCTATAACTGCCAATTATAAGTAACAGTTAGCTATAATTGAAAGTTACCAGTCACAATTAGCTATACATAATTGCCTATTACAAGTCATAATTTAATTATCAGTTATAAAACACAGTTAGCTATACATTTCATTTACAAGTTGCAATTAACTATAATTGTTACAAATTGTGGATACCTATAATTGTCAGCTGTAAGTGACAATTATCTACAATTGTCAGTTGAGCTAATTACATCTTGTACCTGGCAATTACAGCTAATTGCAACTTGAAACTGCCAATTATACCTAACTGCAGCTTATAACTGACAAATATAGCTAAAAGCAACTTGTAACTGACAAGTATAGCTAATTGTAACTTACAACTGTCAGTCATAGCTTATTTCCAACTGCAAATACAGCTGAATGCAACTTGTAACTGCCAATTGCATCCTCTTCATGCTTTTGTACCTCTATACCCATAACAAAAATGTAATGAATACCTTTGCAACAGATACTTCTATCTCTAACTTTATTTGGTTGAAGATATGAAGCACCTATCATAATACTTTCTACATTATTTTTATCTAATGTAACCATGATAAAATAAGGACTCTTTTGGGATTTATAACCTTCTGATATTGTTAAAACTGGTTATACATTTTGTATTATTGTGTTTAACACGTTCACTGTGTTACGGGGCTAATATGACTCGTATCGCACTATCACCTGGTGCGGCGGGCAGTTTGCCTAAGGTATTCCATATTGCGAAGCTTGTAAAATTTTTATTTTTTAAGATAAAAAATAGATTTTTATAGCTATACAATTGCAATTTAAGAACTATTTTTCTTCGACAAAAAAAACAGTACGACCCAAATAGGCCCCGAACCGCATACAACCTATTAATTTTTACTTGCTTGCGGTACGGGGTCACACGCTAACCCCTACCCGCATCTAATCATTATTTTCGACAAGTGTATGCAGGATTTTTCTCGAATTAGAGCACAAAGCACAATACCTTACAGTAAATTTATTCAGTTGCCAAGCATACGCCGTCGTGGGTGGTACTAATCGCAAAAATGTCTCGTGGAAAAAACTTGTTGATCTTGCACAAGCTATGTCAAGGCAAAGTGAGTCGGAGTCCGAGTCTTCGTTTTATGAAGATTCAGATGACTCGCTGATGAACAAAGATTACATACCAAGTTCATTCGGTGATAGTTCATCCAGTGATGAAAATGAGTTCGAAGTCTCCCAAGATGTGCTCCCGTTAAGCCAAAATAATGCCTCACAAAATGCTCCTGGCCCATCTGATATAACATGGGTCGATATAACAGTGCCCTCTAGCGAATTGTTTCCTACTTTGTGTGATAATGAAATCAGTTTTACTGTACCACCTGACCTTTCTTCCCCTATCGATTTTTTGAAGTTGTTTGTTAATGACGAGTTGATCTTGAAAATGGTTCAAGAGACTAAATTTATGGAAACCAGTAGATCATAATGAATTGCAAAACTTTTTTGCCATAGTAATAGCCATGTATTGGTCCAAAGATTCCTTATATCATAATAAATGTATATCATCTTGTATGACAAGGGACCGATTTTTAATTATATTAAGATGCTGGCATTTCATGAATAACATAGGTGATACTGGCGAAGACAGACTGTTCAAAATTCGCCATTTGATTGACAGCTTGACAAAGACATTCAAAGAAGCAGTGATTTTTTTAAAAAAAAGTAGTTATAGATGAGTCTATGATACCATGGAGGGGTCGCCTAAGAATGAAACAATATATAAAAAATAAATCGCACAAGTATGGTGTGAAACTTCACAAACTTTGCAATATTGATGGTTATGTGATTAATTTCAAAATTTATTCGGGTAAAGAATAATAATAATAATAATGCCTTTATTAGCTGCAGTGAGGCGAAGTTTAGCCAGACGGCTACTCTTACACTCAACCCCACAACAGGAAAAAAGAAGACACGGATCGTACCGTCAGCCACGCAGAGTTGATAGTGGATTCATTACTTAGTGACTACTATGAATACGGCCGCATTTTATATTGCGATAATTTTTATACTTCTTATAAATTGGCAAAAGATTTGAAGACCAAAAAAACAAGAATTTGTGGTACCTTGAGAAAGAATATTTATATTTTATTTATTTATTTAATAACAATAACATCCAACAAAGACCATATACAAAAAAATTATAAATACACATAAATATATAACACAACAATATAATTCCTCTTCATCAAGGACATCCTGATGACAGAAAGATGCACCTAGATGGTGCAAACCACCTGTATGTGCTTTCATCATTCGGACTTACAAATGAAAAGAAAATAATGCTATTTATTGGATTATAAAATACAATAAAAAAAAAAAACAATAATCAACCTCAATATCCCGAACAATAGTTCAATCATACTATGATACAAAAAATCATTAGAAAAACCTTTCAAATAGTGCAGTATTCTCAAAAATATATTCTCTGCAGCTGGTGCTAAATGTTTTAATATTTTTCAACTTTTTCAAGTGTTTTGGCAGAATGTTATATATCTTTGGTCCTATATACGTTATGTATCTTAAGTTTAGGTTATTGTTATTCTTGGGAATTTCTATTTGCCTGCCCACATTTGCACGAGTATAGTAGTTATGACTTACTTGTTTCTGTAGTTTTTCATTTCTATAAATAAAAGTAGTCAAGAAGAACAAGAATTTGTGGTACCTTGAGAAAGAATCGCAATACTGTTCCTACAAATATTATTTCTCAAAAGCTTAAAAGAGATCAAATAGCTGGAAAAGAGTCAGAGGGCATAAAAATTATGAAGTGGGTAGATAAAAGAGCGGTTCTGTAATCACAATACATCATTAGTTAAGACAGGAAAAATAAGAAAAGTACAGACTGTAAAAAAAACACAGTGTATAATCGATTACAATAACGTCGATTACAGTGACCGGATGGCATCTTACCAGAGCCCCCTCCGAAAAAGTTTAAAATGGTACAAAAAAATTGCAGTTGAATTAATTTTAATTCAGCAATA